CTGTTCATCCGTCTAAATAACTCGTTCCTTCTGCCAGTGTTACTGAATTATTACACCTGTCACCACCTTTAACTGAAACTCCTGAATCCAGAGCGCCTGAGAATAAAACACGAACCTGCTGTCAGCCTCCATTCAGAGCTCTCTTTGAATCAAGTGTGTGTTTACCCCTCTGCCATCATGACTTTGTCTGGATTCACACACAACACCCAAGGAAAAATCATGCAAAGGAGCCGTTTGATACATGGTTGCCAGGCAACAGTATAAGGTAGCAGCTTTTCAGAGTGACTCAATACAAAGTGTCTGAGTTAGGGGAGCGTCTTTGTGTGTCTGTGTGTGTCTGCAAGTGTAAGCGAGAGAGACGGAAAAAGCTATTAAATGAATTCAGCAGAGCGCTGGTGAGACACGACACATGTGAACGTGAATCACAGCCTTTATGAGTTTTTATTGGCCGATGTTACACACAGAAGAGTCCAAACGAATCAGCCTATCAGTGCGCGTGTCGCATGCATGACTAACGCAGCATTACCTCCAATTATGTTGCTACATGAAACAGCTATCACTGCTACATGAGGGTAATTTCTTTTATTTCGCCACCAGGAAAAACAGATTCCTAATGGCTCCATCATCTCATATCAGGAGTTATAATGATGCTGCCGACTGTGGTTTCATTTCACTTTGTTTGATGAAACAGAGTCTGTCAAATTACCCACCACAGAGTTATTTCATTTGGTGAATTTTGCCTCAAGAGCAAAACTAAAGAGATCATCAAACCTGACAGAATTAGCTGGTTTTAATTGTAGGTTCTCATGTTGTTACTGAACATTTCGGTTCATTTTTCAGTCTGATTAATTTGGAACATTTCAACAGATTTAGCTCCAAATATCGCTGTTGTTGTTGTCAACCAGCCTGAGAGCTCTTGTAATGACATTTCAGCTGGTTCAGACACAGAATCGTTTCAAGATTGACGAGTTTTTACTGTTATTTTCAGTGAAGAATGAAATGACTGACAGCTCAGAGCCAAAACAGACTTTGTGTACATTTTCAACAGCAAAGATTCACTCTGAGTTGTATGTTTGATTTATGAAAGGCAGCAAGATGAAGTTTTTCCATCAAAACACAAGACTCCCTCGTATGACAAAGAATAAATGCCACATTACAGAGAAGCTTTTTTTAGGATTCTAGTTTGTTTTTTGAGCAGAAAAAAAAAAAAAACACAGGGACTAAGGTCAGATTAAAATTATTTTCTTACGCAAAAAAGTCCAGTAAAGGATTTCATTTGAGAGTAAGATCAGAGCAAAGTTGTTTTCTGAGGATAAGGTCATAGTAAAATCACAGTTGAATAAGTGTAAAATTGAAGTGACTGACAGCTCACTGCAAAAACAGACTTTGTGTACATTTTCAACAGCAAAGATTCACTCGGAGTTGTATGTTGTATGTTTCTGAGCTGAAGTTGTCCTATCAAAACACAAGACTTCCCCACATTAAAGCTTTTTTTCTTTTTACTTTTTTTTTTTAGGATTCTAGGTTGTTTTTTTTTTTTGTTTTTTTCAGAAAAAAAAACAGGGACTAAGGTCACATAAAATGATTATGCAAAAAAGTCTAGACAAAGGATTTCATATGAGAGTAAGATCAGAGCAAAGTCGTTTTCTTATAAGGATAAGGTCATAGTAAAATCATTGTTGAATAAAATTGTTGTAAAATCCTTTCCTTTCAGAAAAAGTTGTAGTATATTTTTCCTCTGGGAAAAAGGTGTTGGTATAAGTTTATCCTTGAGATAATTAGGTTGTTGTAAAATTGTTCCCCAACTAGATTAAAGTTCCACAAAAATCCTTCATTATGAGAATAAGGTCATATCCGGGGTGAAAGTAAGCCGGTACGCGAATTGTTTTTTTTTTTTTTTTGGAGGATGGTAGGGGAAGATTCTTCTTCTCTGATTGGCTACAAGAGAAGTTCTGTAACGTTCTGTTCGATGTAAAGAGCCGACAGCCCGCGCTCGGATTGAGCGTGTGATGACGTTTCACAGCCAATCACAGGCGAAGGAGGCGGGACCTTCACCTACCATCCTACGAAAAATCGCGTACTTGGAAGACATAAACAGCAGTTTACAGCCGGTAAGCAGCGGCACGCAAACTTTCACCCCTGTAATATATGTAGGCTACATTTGCTTACCTTGCTGCCGCATGTCAGTCCGCACTCTGCACTGTAACCATAGTAATCCAACAGGACCATGCGGCTCGCGAGTGAGTCGTCTTTGCTTCCGCAAAAAACTCCGGGAAACGGGCGCGTTCAGTGCGCACTTTTGATTGGACGCTGGTTGCCCAGGCGCTGGGGAACGCCTTCCGGGAAGGGAATATTTAAAGAGACAGCTGCTTCAATCTTAATGTAGAAATAAAACAAAATTCAGAGAGAAATGGATGTTATATTCAAGAGAAAGAGAGATGCAGCAGATGATGATACTGTGGCATCAAAGTCAGGACCTTGTTAAACTTGGGTGTGGTCCTCTTGTACAAAGACTATGAGTACAGTATACCTGCAAGAACCTTATCCTACTTTCACTCCTGGTCAGATCAAAAAGTGTTTTCCTATGATAAAAAAAACTATATAGCTCCATCAAAAAAAGAATCAAGTTGTAGCAAAATAGTTTGTTTAGGTCTTAAAGCTCCTGTGAGGAACTCTGTTTCTGTTTTGGTGGCCCCTGTGGACAAAGTGGTGCACTCTACCTCTCCAGTGATCTAGTACATTTAACTTTATCTGCCAAAACAAAAGCAAACAAGATTATTTTTAACCTGTTTCCTTGTGAATCTGCTGTGGAATATGTAAACAAAGGCTGCAGCTTTGACACCTACCCTGTGGTAGAAATTACAGACATTAAAAACAACTTAACAGTAAATAACCAGTCTTGTTGTTGGTGGTTTTGTATGCTTTTGTAGCTCATATAGAGGCACTAACATTCCTGTTGTTCAATAAGCAGCTATAAAATCCTCATAGGAACTTTGATATCAAAATGCAGTTGTATTATAATTTGGTCAAATAGCTTATTATAAGGAAACAGTTCATCTTTTCTTACAGTAGTGACACATGTAAGCCAGGGAGCCCAGGTAAATGGACTGTATATGGACTACCTTCATTTTCTGCTCCTCTCTACATCTTCTAGACTACATACAGTGTAACTAACAGTTTGACAAACACTGAATCTTAATTACTGGTTAAAAATAATTCATTCTTTCCAAATAATCTGAGGAAAAAAACGCATCTTAAGCCAAACTGTAAGAAACACAAATGGATCCTTTTTTGGGTAATTTGAATAAATGAATGCACCGCCTCTCTCTGCAGCAAATGAAGCAGCAGATTTTCATTTCAAATTCCAGATCTGTTTGTGTTCACTGTTGTTTTATTATTCTGTTTATTTAACAGGGTGTTGTTTCTAAAGCCAGTCTGCCCAGCTAACCAACTCTGTTTAAATAAACCTTAAATAAACTAAATCCAGCCGTACCTGTTCACGGCTTTTCAATGAAATATGTGTAAAGAAAGCAAGGACTGTCTTTTTGAGAGCATGCATTGATTCTCTTTGTATAAAAAAAACCTTTTCTCTGAGCAAAAAAATCCAATTGCAGCTTTTGTTTACGCATTTCATTTTCTATTTTTACTCTGGGTGACATTTTGCTTTGTTTTGTTTTGGAAAACAGTGTGGCACTTCATGTGTAATTGCACTGTTGGGTTTAGTGGAATACATTAGTGTCAGTCAAAGCTGTCTGTTTTTCTACCTCAGATTAAGGTTAGAGAAGTAATTTCATGAACCAAATTGGTATTTTCGACATCCTATCATTATTCTGATGGTAAAACAGAGAAATATTTGTCTTAAAACTCTGTGATGAGATGAAAAAAATCGTGTGATTATGGTCTTAGTTTCACATCCTTTTTTAAAAGATATTTCCAAAAACCAGACATGTAACCATCATAGACTGTATATACTATGGACAACTTGGTTCCGCCTTCCCCCAGTATACAGATTTGAAGCTGAAAAGCTTTCGATATTTCCGTGATTTTTCTTAATTTCCTGAAACCAACATTGGGCAGTAGCGTTGTATGCATTCGTCGGAAGAGCCACTGAGAGTTGCTGTGATGATGCTCGGCTTAAACAGCGTACTCCCTGTGTGAGCTACGCACTCTTCGTACGCCCATAATAACTTTTAAAAACAGAGCTGTACAGAAAATAGAGGACTTGAACGGACGAGAAAAATCTATATTCTGTGTGATAAATTTGTAAAAAAAAGACCATAATCAGACTCCTTAAAGACCAAATCAGGGCCCACACACTCCTGTGAGGAACTTTCTGTCTGTGTCGACTTTGGCGCCCCCTGTAGACAAAGCTTTCACCTTTATATTGCACCATAGGGATGCAGTCGCCTATATCAGTGTGTTTCATGTTTTTCTGTTTTTGAACTGAACCATTTTTAATTCCATTTTAGCCATTAGCTCAATAATTTTTGCTTCCGCCTACATTTTGCTCACAAAACATTCAAGCCATTCCCTTTTACTGCTTATTTTCTGTTTCTTTTCGCTAACTAGCTGAACATGTAGCTTTGCCATAACTACAAGTTCTATATTCCATATTTGTCTTGCTTCTTTTTGTTTGCAGAACATTAGTTTCCTGATAAATTTTAACAAACAATGAAAAAGTTTTCTTTTTTTCCAACATTTTTGACGCTAGAAAAACATTCACCACATGAATTTTGACAGACTATTACATCTAATTATCTTTGGCTGTCTATAAGCTACTTTTAGCCAACTCGGTCATTGAACTCACGTGTTTCCGAATGGTTTAATGAGTATTTTACACTAAAGTTTCGCTCCCCAGTAAAGAGATCAGAATAATTGAATACTCTTAAGTATCACCATGAGTCACCTAACAATTCTCCAGTAATTCTTGAACCATATCAGGGTAAAAAACGGAAACATTTCAGATGGCTGTAATCTGAAAGAAACTTCTGACCAACAGATACAAATCAATAGAAATTTATTTTCTTACTTATAAAAATATCTGCCACACATTTGCATAGATGGACAAAATAGCTTACATGATTGTTTTATGAGATTGTAACATTGAGAAGTGAGCATCCATGGGTTTCAATAACTCATAATGGGGTTCATAAGCCTGATAACATATGGGTTTTGAATAATTTTAACATACTTAAGGGATTTGTTTCCATCAAAACAACATTTCTTGATTTTTTCCAATAATTCCCACTTTATAAATTAGGATAATAAATATTCCAAATATATTACTTCATGGTTTGTTAAATATTTCTTGAACATTTTTGGGACCAATTATATCACACAAAAAGGAGGGACTCTTTATATTCTCCGATTATTGGAACTGAAATGCTATAATTCTCCTCTATCACAAATAAAATAGAAATAAAAAGCAAAAAAGTAACAAACAAAAATCGTCGGAAACAAGTCCTCAGCTTCTCAAAATAACATCTTCACAGATTACAAAGCACACAGATCCACTTAGACGTGTTTTCTTCTGTCAGAATCAGCACTGGGAGAGTTTTTATGGGTACTGCATCACATTTTTACTCCGACAATAATCCACAAATTAATCCTTCAGCTTCTCCTCTTGTAACTTAGTTTGTCTTTCCAAAGTAACCGCTCCAAAAATAATCCACATCGACAAAACTTCCAAAATAATCCACCAGGAGGAGACTCCCAATCCAACCGTTCCCACTTCACGTTCACATTTAACTTTCTCTGAGCGGGTTTTCTTCGCGCCACTTCTTGATCAGTTGGCGTACTGTTTGTAAAAGGCCACCTTCACTCGCTCGATCTGGTGACACAGTTTGATGGCGGGGCCGAGCTTCAAGTCCATACACTCCTGAACGGTGGGCAGAGTCAGCAAGAGCAGCGCCTGACCGTCAATATCCTGCACGGAAAAAGACAAAATAAGTCTTTCTTACTGCTGAGTGGATCAAAACAACCGAGTTTAGGGGACTAAGAAGTGTAGGAAATGTCTCAAGTGTGTCTTTTGAACGTGTGTGTACCTGCTCCTGGAAGATGTTTGCCAGTGATGCACAGTCAGTAGAGTTGATAAACTGCACAACTTCATCCACGCTCCACTCCAGAGGATTTCTGTCCAAAACCAGCTGACCCTCCTCCTCCTCCTCCACCTGAAAAACACAAACAGAAGCTCTGAGACTGGAATAATCACAAACACAGGCCTGTTTTCTCTTAATCCCTCCACTATATTACTGCGGGGCGGGATTTGAAGTCTATGTCGAAGAGAAACCAGCTCTAAATCCTCATGTTGTAATTCACTTGATCTAATGACTGTTATACAACCACAAAAAAAGTTCAGTTATCCTACAGATGTGCGCCGGCTTACAGGCTGGAACTTTACTCTAAAACACATAAACAGTTTTTCACTTGGCTCCAAACCCTAAACGTAGACCTGTACCAACATGATTGGCTGCACCTCAGAGAGTTTAGGGATGTAGTTTCACGCACATGACCCCAGAAAAATTAACTTTAGTCACTTCAAACCTCCAAACCGAAAGAAAATGAAGCAATGTATTGGAATAATTTCCTCCAAAACTCCGTACCTGCATGTCTTGTCCTTTGGCCGGCTGATAATTGTTGTTCTGGTTGTAGGTCGACAGCGAGCGAGTCGACCTCCTGCGGCCCTCAGGCACCTCCTGGCTGCTGGTCGTGTTCCCCGCGCTGAACGCCCTCCGGAGTGTCGCGGCTCTGCGAGGACGGCTGCTGGTCACCTCCACTGAAGAGGCGTCGGTTTGGTCCTCACGAGGCTCCGAGCTGGTGCCTTCACTGCCCGACTGCATCGCCATCTCCTCATCCTCCTCACCTTCATCACTGTCCTGAAAGAGAGAGAAAACCCTGAGTCAAAAGGGTGAACAGAGGACGGGTGTTAAAGTCCTCTTTTTGGGGGTTTATTTTTAGTAAAAACATCTACTGCTGCACCTGATTTTTAGTATTCAATATGAAGAAATGATCAGCTGTGTTTTGGACATGATTCGAGTTTTTTTTTGTCTTATTCTTTGACAAAATTGTAACAGCGAAACTGAGCTAGACAATGGTCAAACCAGACCTTCAGCCCCATTGAAGTCACACAGGAGAAGATATCTGATCTACACAGGAGCAGAGGTGAGATAACCTTCAGCTCCTTCAGAGTGACGTCAGTCTGGACTCATGTTTTACTCAGAGTTTCGGGTTTCTGCTCAGAGGAAGGATTGAGTGTTAAGTTAGATGTGTGTGTTTCCCACAGCTTTAGTTTCGACAGTCAGTTTGAAGTTGGTTAGAAAAGTTTCTTGGTTTGAAACTTCAGCTGAGGTTCAAGTCCCTAAAGGCAGGGTTTGTGGTTCATCACTTTTTTTTTTTTTTTTAACGAAGCCTTTCCTAGTACCTTTGAAAAGTCGCTTGAGGCAGAGACTAGGTCCTGTATATTTGTGTGACACGCCGCTGCTGTCCTAAAGAAGCACCCAGTTCATCAAAGTTATCGGAGCTTTAATATCAGAAAAAATGCTTCGACAATCGCCAATGATTTACACACCCACATCAGATAGAATATGTAGAGACTTTGCGACGTGTATCATAGCAAACAAAGAACATAAAGCGAGGTCAACAAAAAGTATGGCTACCTAGGCTCACACTTTATATGACTTATCGGCTTTTAAACACAGTGCCCATGTGACCCAAACCCAGTGAAACCAATAGCAACCAGACAGAAGTAACTGAACGCAGGATAACCGATAAGCAAAGCGACATTATGGCTCCTACAGCTTTATTTTGAGATACAATCAGTACGATATGATACACTGAAACGACACAACACTGTATTATTCAATATGATTAATTTGGTAACTTGTTAATACTTTGTGTTATGATATAATACAAAACAACTTTGTATTAACCAACATGATTTTTTTGGATACTTTTTTCAATTATCCGATATGACATAATCCGATATGATACATTAGATCTGCTTCAGTGTTATTAACATGATTCCTGATGACGGCATAATACTTTTCAAAACTTTAAGATACTTTGTTTTGCAGTATAAAGCAATGTATTTTTATTAACTTATTGTTTTTGTTGTATTTTTTTATCAAATACATCATGATGTATGAATTTTGACCTCTCACACTTACAAAGTACAGTTTATTTCCCTTTCTGTAGTTACATGTCTGGTAATATCTGATCTTGTGCAGCACAATATAAAATGATAAAATACCATATGATACTGTATGATATGATACAGTACCATGTGATACGTTACTCTCAGTTTAAAAATGAAGATTAATTGCTGGTTCAAAGAGTCGTTTATCTCATTCTAAATATGTCGCTTTGTGCCCTAAACCAATGACACAGCATGTTTGTGATTTAAGGAAGATTTCCACAGAGATGTTGTGATCACCTTTTCTTTTTTCCATCACAGTTTAAACTAAAGCACTATTTTAAATGTGGGGCCTTTCATCGGTGTGTCAAAAAGTAAACTTTGTGCTGAGCTACGTTTTCTTCTACTGATCCTGTAACATCAGGGATCATGAGATGTTTTTAGTTTTACCTTTAAATTCAGTTTCTTTCTGTTTCTCTGAGCAGACTGCTAACACAAAAGACAGAAGAGACACACAAGGCTCGAAGTGAGCTGTCCAACCTGCGGTGAGCCAGCAGGAGTGTAGTCCACAGCAGACGAGCGTCTCTTCTTCTGTACAAAGATGGCTTTCCTCTTCTTTCTGCGGCGCGTGGGCTTGGCCAGCTCTGCCTCTGTCGTCTCCTCTCCTCCTGCCGGCTTGGCCAGCTTCCTCTTCTTCCCGTAGTAATAAGCTGCAGACGCAGAGCAGATGTTGAAAACAATAGACCCAAAACAAACTTCACCTACTCATCAGAGAAAATTGCACACTCTGCAGCCGCGTCCCAGCCTTTGATTTGGCTTCTCCTCATGGCTGCGGTTCAGGAAGTGATGTGTTTAATGACACACACTCACTGTATTTGGTTTTGGTCTGGATGGAGCAGTTCTCCGGGCACTTGTCGGTGACGAGGACGGGGCTGAAGAGGTTGGGGCAGCACTGCAGCTTCAGACACACCTTGCGGCAGAAGTCTGGGATCTGGTCTGCGAGGCGGACGATCCGGATGGTGGAGCGATAAGTTTTCCCTTTATATCTGAAAGAAACGAGAAAGAAGAGAGCAGGAGGGGGGGGTGTCATGACATTGTCTCGCACTTTTATTATTATGAGATCGATGCATAATTGAAGTATCCATAATCCATCACAGCGCTCCATGGTGAACGGTGATTGCCTGCAGAGTAACGGTGTGAAATGGGCAGTTTTAGGAGAGCTGGAGGGAATTCACATCATCCAGTGAGTGAAGGTGAAGTGGGCTGAGGGTCAAATCTGCAATCCTCCGTTTAATGTTAAAGGTATGGAGAGAAGATCCGTCAGTAACACTCAAGGACAGCTCTGACCTGCTGTCCCATGTGGATTTTCTCAAATCGAACCTCCAGCTGAGCCGTAGTGGAGTCATAAATATTCAAACAGACTCGAAATAAATCTCAGCCTCGTCCTCCTCAGTGTTAAAGACATGTTTTTGTTTGTTTTTCCAGACTTTTTTTTTGAAACACCAAAGGGAAACAACACACCCAGGAGGAAAGCTCCCATTTCAACATATTACAAGTTACGATTTAACATGAAAAGATGTTTTAGTTTTTCGTCCTATGAGACGTCCTTAATCCCAGAGGTCTCTTCTTCTCTCTCTCTTTTAAATAAAACAAACAAAAAAATAAACAAACCTTGCGTTTAAAGTCTTACTTTAAAAAACAGGATACTTTTACTCTCTTTGCAAAAGCCTTAAAGCCCAAGGCTAAGTCGCCCTCGCATTGGCTGAGCTTGTTTCTCTCGCTGTGGTTACATGTGCACTTTTTCTTCTGTAAAGTGATCCGATTAAGACTTTCTTGTGCATGCAGCAAACATCTATTCTGAATAAAACGAGCCTGAAGTCGCACTGCTGTTTGTCTTTTCCAATGGTGATAAACCACGCTCCGGCTGCGTCATTATAAACGACGTGTAACAAGCTAAGTTGAGGCTGCGTGTCTTAATATGACTCTTTAGGGTTTTCTCTCTCCTTGCACCAGATTTTCTCTTATACTTTTCCCACAGTTGTGACTTTAGATTTCAGTACTGTTAATATTCTTTAACCATCAAGATCTTCAACATCCTCAAATTCTTTAGAAGTCTTCTTCAAAATGTTGTATCTGCAAAATGTCTTTGCTAGGGGGCAATAAACCGACAATTTACTGATACCAAAAGTTACGACAATAACCAACGTTATTTTGTCCATGTCAATATATTCTGTGTCAAAAAAATAAATAAATAAAAGTTGTTTTTTTGATGTGTGTAGGTAGGCTATGGTCTCATGTCCCTTTACGACGCTGTCCTACATCAGAGACGTGACTCCACCCCATCCAGTCCGTAATAAAGAGGGAAAGACAAGTGAGGAGATGGAGGACGGTTTAAAAGTTGTAGCGGCTGAAGTAGACGAAGTTAATGTGGGAGGGGGTGAGCAGCTTGTGGAGTAGTTATCGTCTATTATTCGTTATCGAGATGAACTGCTCAATGTATCGTGATATTGATTTGAGGCCATATCGTCCAGCCCTATTCTCTTCATCCCATAAACTCAAAACTAAGCCTGAGTTCTTCTTTATTTCATTAAAAATGTCTCTTTAGACTGAATATGAGCCACATTAACGTCATATTCAAAACACTACAGTCAAAAAAATGACACCTGAATTATGTATAATCAAGTCAGGAACACTTTCATCAAACAGACTTTTTATTTGCACTCATGAATCATATTTGGTATGACTCAGCTTTGAGATCTGTGCCTATGTGGTATGCAAAACCTGTGGCAGTAAGAGCAGCAGCAAAGACCTCCGTCATCCAGAGCAAGAACCAGTCCAAGTAATGTAACTGTTAACTTTTTACTATGATGACCTGGATTACAAGAAATTCAGGTTTTATCTTGACTAGAAATAAAACAAAATGACTCATTTAATGTTGCGTTTTTGGAGTGTTTCTGTTCTGGCGATAGTAAAGGGGAAACTTGGTCACATGTGGAGGCTGTGAGGCTGACAGTAAGAACAATTTTACCTCAAGACGCAAGAAACAATCCTGTTCTGTCTGAATAACAAGCAGAAAAAACTACTCCTTTTGACTGTAAAGAAACGTCTGTGGGCCTGACTAGATCAGTCTCCTCCATATAAAGTGTTTAAATGAAGCATTATTATTCTGGATATTTAAGGTAATACTCTGACTTTCAGTGCTCCATGTTAACACAGCTTATCACAAATTATTCAACTTGAAATATGTGATTATTCATCTGGAAATCAAGCCTTTGGGTAAACTCAGAGAGGCATTTCTTTTTCGACTCTTGTTGGCTGATATAGACGTTTGGTTTGCTGCCAAATTAAATAAAAAAGGAACAAGTTGTCAAATCCTCCAAACAAGCTGCCATCCCACGAGAAAGATTCAGAGTCTGGTATGTTCCTGGACCCAAACCTGACTTGGATTCTATTATGAGTCTATTTTATCATTTTTAAGCGTCTACTGTAAGAAATTTCAGCTTCTGTTTTAGTAGATTGAACTAAACTGAAGCTTCTCCTCACAGAGTCAGACATGACTTGGCTCTGCAGGCAGTAAATGCAGCAGTAAATGAAGAGTAAGTCCTTTGTTAAGTTCTCCAAACATTCATGCATGAATGTGATCACTGTGCAGCGCAGGTGACTCACTACAACCCCTGACTGGCTGATTCTTCCTCGCTGCAGCCAGAAAAATGGAGCAGTTTTTGATGAGGAAACACCGAGCATGCAGCCTGGAGCTGTGGAATAATTTGGTCTCTGCGTGCAACTGGCAGTGAAAAAAAAAAAAATGTGGGCCTCAAATAAACCTCTGCAGCAACAAAAAAGTCACATCAAAAATTCAATGGAGGGGCTGCAAAATGTTCTCGCAGGGACAGAGAGGCTCTTATGAGAGGCTGGAGACTGGGCGTTAAACCACTGGGAATAAAATACCCCAAAAAGATATAGAACTAAATTATAGTATAGGTTTTTACTTATGCATTACACACTCTGTAATTACTGCTGATTTATTCTTTCACATGTACTGTAAATTATGTCTACTCACAGTAAAATATCCTACATTTGCATTTCTTGCACACATAATGTAAATAGCAGGGATTGACATGTTTTTAACTTTATACTCTTGTACCAGATATTCTTATACCAATAATTTTTATGTAGAAAAAGTAAAAACAACAGAGAGAAATTGTGTTTTAGCAATATTTAGCAGAAATTTTCTTAGAAAAAATAATATGGTTCACAGTTCTTCCTCTAAAGCTGAAGGCATCCGAAGTCCCGCCCCCTCTTGATTTTGATTGGTCATTGATAAAAATAAAAATTGCTATTGCAGGGCACTGAGATAGACAAAAAAAGAACTGTAATAAACAAAGAGAGCCGTGAGTGTACATACAAAAATCATGCAGCATTTAATGCTGATCTACACTGATTTTACTGCCACGGGTGGACACAGGCCCTTACCCACTGCATAATACGACGTCTGAATGACATCTATTGAACGTATTTTTTGGAAGATGAGGTACAAATGTGGACGTCATTTCAACGCCTAAAAGAGGTCCAATAATGACGTCTAAATCTTGGATCCATTTTGTGCGTTGTGCCGACGTCTAGATTTGGTCTTCAGATGACGTCTGAATTCTGAACGTCAGAGCGACGTCTAAAAAAGGTCCAATTTAGACGCTGAAATTTCATCCAGATGTCTAGATGTGGTCTTTGACGAACCGACCCAATACTGACTTGATCTGCACGTCTCTTCGACGTTATGTTTGGTGGGTATTGTCTGGGTTTCTTATTAGAGATGACAGATTTTTCTAAACAAATACAGACACTTAAGCTGACATGAGATTTGCATTTTTAACTTGTTTTAGGTGTAATTATACTTAATTTTCCATAAAACATCAGAAAAAGGAGTAAATTAAAGCTATGAAGCTACTGCAGTGTGTAACTTTCAAACTCGATACTGAGTGAAATCCATTTTCCCTCCGTCTCGTCTTTCTATTCTGGTTTCCTCACTTGGCTTTCAGGGTCTCCTCCTGGCAGTCCCAGCTCTGATCCTCCAGCTCCTGCAGCTCCTTCAGGACTCGTCCGGGCTTGTAGGCGGCGTTAATCAGCATGCTCAGCAGCTGGAGGCGAAATCAGAGCTCAGATTAAAACAATGAATAAGTAAACTCAAAGTTCAGCTAAATAACTTTCAGATTTGTCCCTTCCTGTCGGAGCATTTTTCTCCGATTCTTTGTCGAACACAGATCGTCTTTAACAAACTGTGGACATGCTCATAAAGAAAGTGCGCGTACGTGTGCACGCTCAGTCTCTGGAGAAATTAAGAGGCTGTTTTGCTGAGCGGTGGTGGCGATGTGTGTGTAAACACACTTGACTGACAGCTCCTCACATTAGAACGAAGGCTCTGCTGGGAAACTGCAGGTGGTTAACAAGACATCGCTGTCTCCCCCTCCATCTTTCACCTCCTCCCTCCTTCAATCTCTGTCGCCCCTCCTCTCCCTTTGAAAGCGAGTAACTCTTTGATTAAACCTGCTCCTCGCCGTCTCTCCCACATCTGCTCACCTCTTTGAGGACCAGCGTGCATTTTCCGGGGCCGACGGCCTGCGGCAGCTCTGCGATGCGGCCCTTGTTGAGGTACGGTCCTGAGAAGCAGCGGTGGTTCACAAAGATCTTGGAGCAGCAGTATCTGTTAGCAGAGCCTAGAGAGAGCAGAGAGGAGACATGTTAACACTTCTGAAGCCAGTAATCACTGTTTTAAAACATGAAAAATATCACACTTTAGGAACATTTGATTGATTTCTCACTTTACAAACATATTCAATCATTTGGACGGCCGTTCAGTGAGCCTTTTGGGAGCTCTCCACCCCTCTGGCACATTTCTTATCACTAAAGTTAGTCACTAAATTTTCCTCCCAAGTCTTAAAATGTTTTGTCTTTTCTGACATGTAGTTCAATTAAATACAAAAAAGATACAAACAAAGGAATGAGAAATTTATGCAAAATATCAGCCAAAGTCTATTTTTGGGGAATGAATCATTCCTCTATTGTGCTGTTTGAATAAAACGGCACATTAACATGAGGCACGGTTTGCAGGATTTGAGCTCCAACGAAGTTAAATCAATCTTCTTTTTTGGCTCTTTGGACCACAGGTTTAGTCTCAGCTCAAACATGTGATCACCGGTATGTTTGATAAGTCCTAAGCTTCAGTAATAAAACCAAACTTCACTCAAAACACAGACTGACCTCACTCTCCAAGAAAATAAATCAAATTAATTAAGGCGTCTTTTATCAAGCGACAAAACTGTTCAAACATTTTCCCCTTTATTATATGTTGACATAGACCAAGTTATCAGGCCGGTTAACAGCATTGTGAAATAATCGACAACAGGGTCAACAGGTGGAGAGAGGAGAGCAGGGAGGGGAGCAGGAGGAGGCTGGCGTGTTTCTGCGTGTCTGAAAAGCCAAGGGACAGAATGAGCTCGACCATTAGAGAGAGAGACAGTGAAACATGCTCTAATGACTGCTGGGCTAAAAGAGTCATAGACATTGTTCTGAATCATAATAAAACTCCAGCCCAAGTCTCGATGTTATAAATGCTGTTACGGAAAAGCTTGAAAAGACTGAATGATTTGTTAAATCTGCAGCCTGTGATAAAATGTATGTGGTAAAAGAGCTCAAATTAAACTTTTTATGATGGAATGTGAAAGTATTTTATTGCACGTGAAAACTAAGGGCTTAATTTAGTGGGTTTTAACACTAACATCCAATTTCCACCGCATCCGGAACGGCTACGAAAAGGCTGTATCCACTGATTGCAGCTGATCAAGTTAACGTGTCAATTTCCACCGGCTTTTTTCGGTTCCACTGCAGATCGCCGGACTCCGCAGCTGATCGCAAGAGTTCTATTTTTTCTAGACACCTGAGCATGCCGGATAAATTCCGCACAGATTAACCCGTGCTGGAAAGGAAGTCGGGCACAGACACAAAATAAAACATCTGGCTTCTTTTCAAAATGCATGGTGTAAAATTGGTGCAATTTTACACCATGCAAATGGGCAGAGGCGAAAAAGTGAAAGGCTTTTGGACAGCATTTCACCCTGACGACACCGTGGATGAGGAGATGCTGATTTTCGAAGTCTAGAGGTGGATTTTCTCCTCTGGAAGGACACAATCTACTGCTTTTATGGTCAGCCTCTGTGGCTGTCTTTATAGAGACAACTCGCACAAACTCGCCAGAGACAACTAGTTATCACGCAATTGCATGTGAATCCGTGGGTTCGTGTGAGTTCTCGCAATTACCGCTGTTTGTAATCCGGCACAAAATTCGCCTCACCAACAAATAGGTAGGAATTGGCGGACGGTGAAAATCGCGGCTGTTCCGGATTGGAGCTGTTCCGGATGTGGTGAAAATTGGTGGTGAAATGAAGCTAAAGCTCTGCAAGTGAAGACAAGAATTGGTCCCTTTAATTAGTAGAACACTTTACTGTTTAAAGATCGAGATTATTCAGTCAGACAGACATGCTTTAGTCAACGAAAAAGGACCATTTATTGTGTTTTTAAGAGGATTAAGAGGCTCTAAGTTGCTTAAATGCGTGTGATGCAGATGTCACATCATCTCCATACTTCAAACTGCAGCAGATTTGAGTTTAAGGATTTGTAGTTTCATTTTAAATATCTCAAACTGTAGTACTTCAGCTGAAAATTCTGTGCTCAGTTCGGCTTTTCTTTAACATTTAAAAGCAAATATAGTATTGTTCCTCTATAAAATTCTTGTATATCATCAGTATGTGACCTTAGACATTCCAGCACAGAGGTGAAACAGAGTCAAACCAGACGCCCTCTTAGTATGACTCCCCCCCTCACAGATAAAGAAGGGTCAACCTTACCATGTTGCACTCCGCCCTCCCTGCAGCCCCAGAATACCACGAGCACCTGGAGCTGCAGAGCGCAGGGTGAACAGTAATTATATGAGCTGATGAATATGCATGAGCGAGTGGGAGGATTTTAAAGTGGGAACTTGGAAAAAAAGGGCAAAGGGTCTCCTACAAACAGACCTTAACCTACTGCTCTCTTTGTGTTTGGATCTTACATGTTGTTTACATACAAATGCACCGGAAACACGCTTTCAAATGATTCTGCCGAGCTCTCTTTGGCATCCAGACACACACCTAAATCTGCTTAAGCTCACAGCTGCTCTATTTACTATTGTCATGATAATCAGGACCTACTGTATGTCCGAATTCTGGCTTCTAAAGCTCTTTTACTGTTACTGAAATACAAGGTTACAGTGCCAGGGTTCACTCTTACACATGAAAAGGAAAGTTAAAAAACAGGTCAACCTGGTCTTAAGCGTGTATTAGGAGAGGATTTATCTTTTCATTCATTTGGGGAACTATAAAAACACGATAAATTACTTGCTTATGGTCGACTCAATTGCAGGTGCCGAAATGTCAACACTCCCATTCATTCGTTCATTTCTATTCAACATTAATGGTTCACACATGACTTTTGACCTGAAATCAACCCTGAAACAAGCTTCTTCTCGCCAAGATGGAAAAAAAGATCCCCTTTGTGGGTTCATTGGTTTAAAAAAAGTTATAACTACAAGATAAGAGGCCAAAGTATGAGATTATGATTCAATACTAAAATCATCAACTGATAATAAAAAAAGATAAAAGCATAATTCATGAGATGACAAGCGAAAGGGATTGGATTAAGAGGGCAAAAGTGACATAAACTCATCATTAAAAACAAAAAAAAAATCTTAATTATGGGATAAAAGTTAAAGGTATGAGATATTGAGACTTTGAGAAATTATTGAGATAAGTCATTAAAGTACCAAGTACCAAAGCAGTAAGTCATTATTGTGATATAAAGAGTCATAATTTTTGAATAAAATGAAAAATCCTGAAAGTTTGACCAAAATTCAAAATTATAAGATGAAAATCCCAAAATATGACACTGTGTTTTTTGATAAGAAAATAAAGTTAAAATTTGAAGTAGGTAGATTTAATGACACAAAAGTCATTTTTTCAAGAAAAAAGTTAAAAATCTGTTCTAGAACGTCAACGTTACTTTCATGGCATTAAAGTAAGTCCTAACTTCAGGTCTCATTATTTATCAATCACTCAAATAAAACTACCGTCTTTATCTTGATTTCTAAAGATCCCATATTTTTATCTCATAATACGGACATTTTGTCTAGCAATATTTACTAAATGTCTTATAGCTAGATTTTTTTATCTCATAATTTAATTTTTGATCTCATATTCATGACTTTCTATCTTATATTTTCAACTTTTACTGGAAAACTGTTTTTTAAAAATATTTCAGAATTTTTTCTTACAATACAAAATTTAGACTTTTTTCTCTTGTATAGATTTTTTGTCTCAAATTTTTGATTTCCAATCTGAACAGTTAAATATTTTTCCTCTCATAGTTATGATTCCTTGTAATACATTAAAACATTTATCTGAAAATTCAGACTTTTGTCTTATAATTTTTTCCTCATAATTTTGAACCTTACCATAAAATTACGGCTTTATCTTTTTATTTGGACATTTTCTCTTTTGTCTATTTTATTAAGACGACTATTTGTTATTTTGGCCCCACATAAAAATCTTACTTCAAGCCTGTGTTATTATCTTTTTTCTCTTTGGCTTTCTCTTTCTCTTTGTCATTAGTGCACAGTTGTAAATCTGCACTTTTACATAGTTTACAGACTCCCACGGACCCTGGAAAACAACAAAAGTGTATTTCAAGTTGTAAAACACAAACACTTCATCAACTTTTTAATCACTGTTTGAAAAAGAGGCTGCATTTGTGCTGCTTGTTGTTGACTGTGGGTGTATTTTTCTTCCTCCAGCTGAACACTGGCCAAATAAAGACAGCAGCAGCTTCTGTGCAGAAACAAATCTGATAACAGAAAAATGTTCCTGCTCTTCACTGCAGCACAGATAGACCAGGGTTTCCTTTTGTAGCAACATACAAGTAAAAAAAAAAACGTGTGTATATTTTTGTTGAATGTTGTACATGTGATCAAATCTGGAAGGGGGATTGAGCCTCTGTTTGTGTTTTTTTTAAACATCTTTTCAAATAAACTGAGTTCACAAACAGGAATTGGCAGCTTGTTTAACTTTTACTCCACTGAGATTATCACTAACATCAGCTACATGAGGATAACACACACAAAAAACACTGAAGTCCTTCAACACTAAATATTCAAGGGCCTTCTTTATTCCTAATTTGTCAGCTGCTCATGAAAACGTTAAAATCTCCATCAATCATTATGTTCCGGAGGTTTTAACTTAGTTACGCACTCACTCTCAAAACAAGACTAAAAATCAAACAGTACCAGTATTAACCAGCATAATCTGAGCAATACCTGCGGAAATAGTGTCCTTCTGCTATTCCTATTAAACTATTGTCGAATTTTTAGATTGTTATTAAAGTCAAGTGGTTCTAATGTGACAAGTGAGGGATTTCTTAGCTTCAGGTTTTGCAGGAAAAACGACACGCAAAGACAGTAGCAGCAGAAACAACATCCCTGCTCTCTTTAGTAGTCATTTGCGGTCCTTGGCACAAGTATTTCAGGGAGGAAATTAATAATGATTTCATACAACACAAAAAATGGTCAGTAAATGAAGTTTTTATAAAGACCAGAAAACAAAGAAAAGTTTCACATAAACTCACAGATGTATTTGAGTTTTGGGGCATGTAGACGGCCGGGCAGGTTAGCATGCCCCATGTATGGGGACCAAAAATGGCCTCAAAAATTTACTAAAAAATATAAATTAATTAATAAAAAAAACTGTATTTGAGTTTAAAAAATATTTGAAGGGTTTAAAAAATATATTTTCCAAAAGGTTTTTTGTTTTTTGAATTTGTATTTTCTAAAATGTATTTTGTGGCATTGTGAAATACTTTTGTGCTTTGTAAAACAATTTGTGTTTTATAAATTATTTTTTTGTCCTCCTGAAGTATTTGGCCCACTGTTGATATCTGACAAAACTGATTTGGAATTTCCACCTGTGGGACCAATTAAGGAATATCTTATTTCATCTGCATGGAAGTACTGTAGTATTGTTAACAAGTACTGCTAACAATCCAACTCACAAAATTTTAACTTGAACGACAAACTTGCCGATGTTTTGGCCCAAGCGTCAATCAGAGTTACCTGAAGCACATCAGAATGACATCTGTTCAACAAACAGGCATTTTAAGAGTTGTTTACTTCTTCTACAAAGCTTGACTTTTAACCCTTTTCTAATCTGCATCATTAAGCAAACTTAGGACTGACTAATTGCAATTAAATAAGAGAAAATGCTGCTGAAGTGAGCCAGTGAGAAGCCTCTGTGTCATTTAATGTTTACAGTGAAACTGAGACTCCCGTAAAAAGTTTTCTAGAACTTTCAACTTTTTCCAGAGCGCGTCATAAAAAATTATCTTTCTACCAATAATAAAGATGAGTGGAGAAACTGAATACACAAACTAAATCCTGGGCATGAGGAAGTGTGAGGTTTCTGAGTGAAGGAGTATCTACAGAGCAGGTTTTCTCTTCACTGTCATCACAGCAGCTCATTAGCATTAATTACTGCGGATAAATCATGTGTAATGCGCCTCTTGATTACCTGGATCTGCGGTGACGGGCTGGCAGAGGCTGACAGGAGCCGTCTCCACCGGCTGGGACGGAACCAACCTGCAGGAAAAAGGCAATCAATAAAGCGTCAAAGCAATCAATGAAATTATCCCCACTGATGTAATCAGGCAGGAAACAACAGAGCAACCAAACAATCGCTCATTTAAACGATCAATCTCCTCCACAGCGACTACACTTTGTGTCAGATTTAGAGGCACGTGAGCTCGGAGGCGGCAGCGATGGAAAGGGCAACTTATTGATAAAAGGATTCCCCCTGAAGGTGAGAAATGGAGTTAGCGCTAAGATGAGAGAGCTGACAAAGTGCAGCCGAACACCTCATTTTTCTCCCGCTCCGTGACCGTTTTTCCCGCGGCTGCGTTCGCCAGCCGACGGTGTAACGTGTCATTTGTCAACAAAATCAATCAGCGCCCCCGGAAAGCAATTTCTGCTCTAAAAAGCCACTGTTTCAATTAATGTCTTTAGAGTGACAGAAGGAGAGAGAGAGAGAGAGAGAGAGAGAGAGAGGGAAGGAAAGCCTTGAGGGTCTTTAAAGAAATGTTCACGGAGTTTTTCAGCTCGCAGGTAGAAAGATAGAAAACAATTTCTTTAACGCACTGAGGTGAGAAAGGTGGTGGATATGGTTACCCCACACTGATGTATCGACTGATGTGGCCTACATTTCTGCTAAAGCTTCACTTAACGCCATTTAACACCCAAACAACAAGCTCAGGAGCTGTAACTTAACAACTGTAGTACATACACGAGAGTTGTTTCAATAACTGAACATACACTGGATTCATGTACAACAGTATGTTTCTTCCCTGCAGCTCTTGGCTGAATATCACCATAAACACCTCTGCTGTTTATATCCAGTGAACCTTCAAAAGCTCCACATCGATCAAACTGAGAAAAGTCTGAGAGATAAATGTGTCTCTTACTGTTTCTCTGGCTGCACCACCGCGATCTTCTTCTGCTTCTGACCTGCAGAAAAAAAGAGTCGGTATTCAGCTGTCACTCTGGGCTAAATATGAGTGTGTGTGTGAGCGTGTGTGTGTGCGTTTACGTACAGACAGGTTTGAGTGGAGGGGTCAGAGGGTAAACGTTTGCCTCACACCAGCCGACAGGGAAGATGTCCATAGACTCGACGTCCACGATGCACTCTGACTGCGGCTTGGGCACACCTGGAGACAGGTAGATGGCAGGCAGACAGAGAGAGAGAGAGAGAGAGAGAGAGAGAGCGAGAGAGAGAGAGAGTAAGACGACTGTCACACACACACACACACGCTTATACACACAGTTACACAGAAACACACAGTTACTCTTCAGACGCAGCAGGAGTCCTCCAACCGGCTATCCTCCAACAATTAATCCTCCCTACATACACATACACACACACATTTACATGCATGCACACACACACACACACTTCTGTACCTTCCAGTCGGAGCCACAGCAGGCGTCCTCTGACCTGTGTGATCTGAGCCACACACACCTCCGCCAGCCTGTGAGGGTTCACCGCCTCGAGCCACATGTCCTTGGCAAAGCCTCTGTTCTGCCATGTCTGAGCGCGCGCACACACACACACACACACACACACACACACACACACACACACACACACACACACACACACACACACACACACACACACACACACACACAGAGGAAGGGTTGATGAGAGAGAAAGAGAGACTTTATTTTAAATTTCTGGACAATGATTTAACCTGGAGTAACCTTAAATCAGGGTAAAGTTTAACGTTATTCTAACTGAAATTTCGTCAAAGTTTTCTGACTTTGTTTCAAGATTTATTTTGAGTTCAAGAAGTGTCTCTTCTACTGAGGAAAAATTTAAGAAAAATCTGAAAATTTTAAGGTTTTCTGAGAATTTTCCAGAAAAAAGTTGAGACTAGGGGCTCTATTATCGTGACTCACCGGCGGGCACGAGAATAGAGCCCTAGATCTTTATTCACAGAGGACTGTAGCTCTTAATTTAAAAAAAAAACTTTAGGAGTGAGGAGGTCCTTTCAGAGGATCAAGAGTTCCTCAAGTTGGGGAGAAAATAGCAGAAAGATGATAAAAAAAAAAGTAAAAATATGCTTCAAATTGCACAAGCTAGTGCAAAGAACTAATTCAGCTGATGAACTAATGCAACAGTTTCTCTCATGTCTGAAACCTGACTTTACTGACTATACATGGAGAGGAGATCTCACCTGGCAACCTTTACCAACATTTGTATCCTATTACATGCCGCTGTTCCAGGTTCGAAATGGTGCTAGTGTTACATGGACTAGTTTTCCATCAATAAAGGTTTGATAAAAAAATAAATAAATATGAAATAATCTGAAATAAAGTATGATATGATACTAGCATGAAATATTCCAAGTCAAAAAACTCAGATGTTTCTGTTCACATACAGCTCACCCACAGGGTAATTTCTGAAAATTTTCAGAAACTTTCTTCCTACTAAAATCTTTTAACCAGAAATATCTTTCCTTTGAAACTATCATAAACAGTGTGGGAAAATTATGGCTAACTCATCATCTAAAAATTAGATTAAATTTAAATCTTCACTAAAACATCAAAACCGATGTACCTGTTATTATTTTATCATCATTGTTGATACTGCCTTTTATATTTACTATTCTGTTTCCGCTTTTGACCCCCATTTAGATTGCATTTATTTTTTTTCTCAACTACTTTATGTTTATCGTCTCATTTTATGTTGCGTGGTTCTTGTATTGTCTGGGTTCCTTATGACATGAAAATGGGCCTCTATTCCATTTTTACTGATCTTTTTGTTTTTATCTTTTTCCATGTGCTCTATGAATACATGTCAAAGCACTTTGTAAACTTCTGTTTTTAAAAGTGCTACACAAATAAGGTTATTATTATTATTATCATTTATCATTTTAAAACACAAAGACCAAAATAAGATTGAAATTAACCATGTTATATGAAAAATGTCAAAATCTAAACTCTAAATGAATGTTTCTTACATCAGGGAAGCAGGCGTCAGGAGCCGCTTCAGTCCCGCCCTGCTTCAGGTAGTCGGCCCAGTCAAAGTCCGGACCCTGGTAGCCGCGGGGTCGCTCCAGACCGACGCCGTTCTTCAGACACCACTGGATCGGTAAGATACCAGGCGAGTCAGAGTGACACACCACAGAGCGAGGCTTCGTGTCCTCAGAGAGATCGTCCAGAGTCACCTGGAAGTAGATCTCATCGTACACCTGGAAAGAAAACATTTATAGTTTTTACACTTTTTAGTTTAGATTTTATTTCTCATGACAAGTTAGAATTTCAGACACTTTTTGTGCATGAAACATGAGTAAATTGAGGAAAAGAAAAGGCTCTACAGTAATAAACAGCTGTCTCTGCACTGACTCAGCATTACTGGCACAAAAACAAAGTGCTGCCCTTTTCTTTAGAAAACATGAAAAATGCAACAACACATCGCAGAGGCAGCCGAGGAATGCTGCAGGGAGCGGTCAGCTCGGTATTTCGTCCTCAGATAAGACGCGATTGTTCCCGTCGTTTGCTTCAGCGTGACTCACCTTGGTGACAGAAACGGGGCAGATCTGAAGCTGCTCCCACGGAGAAACCATCTCCAGCTTCATCCCTGCCTTGAAGGAGTGTTTGGGCAGGTCTACGTGGTCCTGACACAGTAAAGTCACAACTGTTAGACTAATGTGCTCCATTTTTGTCAACGCACACACGCACACAAACACACACGAGCGACACAATGTGGGTCAGGAAAACCCTGCTGGGTGGGTTTTTAATGCAGGAGGTGAAATAATACACTCATGTTTGGAGTTACTGAGGAGCTGGGCTGCTGAAGTCTGGATTTAAGTTTTTTGATCCATATTTCTGTGAATAAAATCCTGCTAATGTTTCCTAATTATGATTTGAATTTTTGTAGAAGCACATGATACCTGGTGTGAAAAAGGTTTTTGTTCATGTTTGAGAGAGGCCTCCCGTGGGTGTGGTTTGAGTAAATGTTCATGATTATAAGAGGAAATAATGATTTTCTAACTCAGAGTCAAGATAAAGTGTCAGCTTGTCTTCTTCAGTGATTCACTGTCACAGCTGTGGGTCTTGCAGTGATTTGGAGGAAGGGATTTTATAGCTTTAATCTCATTATGTTATTTAAGAAGTTTAGGGCGGCGCTATAAATACTTCTTATTCTTCAGCGGTGTTAAGTTCTACTCGCTGGAGTCTTTTCATCAGTGGGGACGTCGATATAATTATCAAAAAAGTATTAGCCTGATATTTATGAAAGAAATAAAAATACATAATCAGTCGGCAAAGATAAGACACATTGTCTTTTATTGCTAATGATGTTCGAAGTTATTTTTAATATGTGTCATTAGCCGTGTGACAGAAACGTCGAATTTAATCTAAACTTACAGTCCTCTCCTGCCTCTGATTCTCTAACACCAAATCCAAAGACTCTGACGCTTGTTTTGGGTGCAGAGGAGTACCTCGACTTTGTCTGTTTTCTCCTCCCACATGATTCGTGCTGCTGCGGTGGCCACACACTGAGGTAGAGTAAAGTGTACACGACCCTATTTATGTTAACTTTAAGATAAAGATTCCTTCTTAAACTGATTTATTTGTGATGCGACTGTGACTTTTATTTTGAAGTATTAAAATATTAAAAAAAAAAAAAAAAAAAAGCTTTTTTCGGTTTATTTAAAGCTCCTGTGAGGAACTTTCGTTGAGGGTCAGAGCTGGCGCCCCCTGTGGACAGAGCTGTTTTTGCTTATCTTGCCCCCTACATGCTTTAACAATGACATTAGACAGAAAATCTCATCCTGCTGACAAATGATGATCAACTTTTAATGTAAAAACTGTAACAACTGAACGAATGTGCTGTATGAATAAAGCTGCCATTTGCGGGCCCATCCCTTTCAAAAACTGTCTGATCTCAACCTTGAAAGTTGTTACAGATGCATGAGGCTCATTAGGGAGTTTTTGCTGATAAAGACAGATTCTGTGTTTTTCTGTGGTTTGTTTAATTGCCAGTGTGACCTTGAATTAAGCTCAAAGTCTTCACTTAAACATTCCCCTTCAACAATCAAGTCGAGGAAACTAACATTTCTATCAATAGTGAGTATTTCCTTTTGGTCAAACTGACAGGTTCTTACAGGGACGGTCTTATTTTCAGGCCTAATTAATGCCAAATGAGATTTATTCTCACAGCAGATGATTTCACATTACAGAGCTGTAAAATTACACATGAACATTTATTATCCTGGTGTCGCTGCAGACAATAGAGGTTACAATGGAAACAAAACAGCTCCACTCATCCAGGTAGTCCTGCAGCCTGGCTTTGTGCCAAGGCCACACACACACACACACAAAAACACACACACACACACACACACACACACACACACACACACACTCATTATGTACGGGGTAGTATTGTGTGTAAAATCTTCTGGCTCACCTTGAACACCTCTAGTGGCAGCGGGTTTTTTTGTCCGTCCAGCTGAGCGTCCTCCAAAGCTCGCTGCCAGTCGGGGGCGCTCTTCAGAGTCCTGAGGCCTGCAGAGAGGAGAGGTGATGCTCAGTTTTCATTAGCCTTTGTCATATGATCAGATCCACTTCAATCTTTTTAAATATCACAAAAACACTCCTGAGAAAAAGTATTCGAGCCGAGGCTGAGAACATTTAAAAAAAAGAGGAAGTTATTTTGTAAGTTATTTTAAGTTATCTCGAGCACTGAAAGAAAAAAGTCAAAACATCGAGAAAAACTCAAAATTTCCTGAAAAAAGCTGAAGTTTTAGAAAAGTCAAATTCCATTTTAAGTTTAAGTGCTGACACAGCTTCACTTTTTTTTTTAAACTCCAGATGATCTTTGCTGAGAAAAGGAGCACAGAGGAGAAAATGTTCACCTATGAGTGCAGGAGCTTTTAATTTAGTAACAGGTTTAAACTAAAAGTTAGGGCGTCACTTTAAAGCAAATACTGACTTTTTTTCAGTTTAGATTTGATTAAATAATTGAACAATTGATGCAATCAGTTTTTATAAACAGGTTTTATGTTTTAAGTTTAGAAGCAGTTTTCCGTCTTTTGAAACTTTAGGCATTTTAAGTACATTTTAAGGAAAGTCTTTTATTTTCTGTTTTTAATTTATAGTTGTGCATCTTTGACCGAGATTACACTTGGATTAACAGAGAATTAATCTGCAGTAATTTTGCATTTACATATTTGTGTTTGATTTTTTTCATTTCTTAAAAAGCATGTTAAATACTCAAAGAATAATCAAAAGTTTTTATAAGTACAATTGATAATGAGATAATTGATAGTAGAGTTGCTGCCCTCGTTTTGAAGGTAAAGTTTATATAACTGCTCCACAGCGAGTGAGGGTTTGCTCTTTGTTTAGAAAAGTCTGCTACTGGCTTGTAAAAGTACAACACTGTTTATACTGACTGGGCCAATATTCCACTTAAATTAAAGGGTGTAAACAGAGTTTAAGAAATAAAAACTCTTATTAAGTATCATTAAGTTTCTCAAACACAGTGAAATTAAGTTGAGGGAAAAACAAACCTTGTCCCCACAGCGGTTGATAAACAAAGAGGCTTAATAGGAAGGTGTAAACTGATCAGATTATCACCTGTGGGCGGTTCTAACGTGAGCTGGTTCTCCTGAGCCCAGCCCAGTGGGCGGAGCCTCACATCCAGGTAGAACAGCCAGGTGTCCTGAGACTGTTGCTCCTCAGACAGACCGGCGTAGCGCAGACGGAGCCTCCCTCCGACGTTCTGAACGACTCTAACCGGCCAGTAGAGGAACGGGTCCGAGACGTCCTGGAGCTCTAAGACCGAGTCCTCCACGACCAGGTCCACCGTGTTCTTACCCCGCAGAGGCTGACAGAGAGGCGGAGAGAGGTTTTACTTCTTTAAACATCCAAACACAGAGATTTTCTCTTTGTTTATGGTGGAGTCAAACCTCATTGTGCTGTTTACAATATAAACAGTTAAGAAAGAGAGGAAATCCAAGTTATACAGCCTCCTGGTTTCAGAGCCTCACTGTGGTCTTACTTCAGCCTGATGAAGTGGATTCTGCAGCAGCTTCATTATCTTATCCTTCTCATTTATTCATGTTGTGTATCATGTGAAATATGACTAATGTTTAATGTATGTTGTTTGCAGTTGTTGTAATGGGCTTTCCTCTTTAGATGTGCATTGTTGTTTAATGGTTTTTATTTATTAATAACTACTGTGTGCAGCTCTTCAGTCCAAGAGACAATTCCATGATGAGGCAGTAAGTGAATCAAACCATCTCGTATCTCTTCTTATATCTTGTTGTATTAAAGTGCATTTTATAGTATCTTGTATTATCTTAAATCTCATTGAATTGTGTTAGACGGTATTGTGTGGTATCCTGTTGTATCTTGCTGTACTTGTAAAGTTTTATCCTGTGGTAAAGTTTCTTATTGTATCTTGTCAAAGTGTATCTAATATCATGTTGTATCATACTGTACTGTATCATATTTTATCAAACTATGTCAAAGTCTGTCATATCATGTCAAATTGTGCATCTATTATACTGTACTGAATCATAACTTAACACACTGTATCATGTTGAATTGTATTTAAAGTGCTTCGTACCAGAGCCGGGCCAAAGGCAAAAGTGAACTAAGCCCCTACAATGAGTTATAAAAAAGAAAGAATTTTAAATATTTATAATTTTTTGCATGTATGAGTGATGCTTTCTATATGATCAAATAAATATTATTGTAAAAATAAAATTAAAAAAAGTAAAACCATTTTAGTGCTGCTGCTGATGCAGTCCTATGATTCTTACTGCCGATATGTCAAAGCTCCACTACCGTAATGTGCCTCCTGCTGTGCAATGTGCACTGAGCATCCAAAGAGCAGGTAGTTGTGGGGCAAGACGGTATCGCAAAAAAGGACATATCCTTCAGGTATGTCTGCATGTCATGGAATGTTAATCAAAGAGATTTGTGAAGGTGTGTGAATGACCAACAATCAATATTATTGGCAGATTTAGGGCCCCAAAAACAAATTTTGCTTAGGGCCCCATTGAGGCTTGGGCCGGCTTTGCTTCATACTGTCATATTGATATCATAGTATAGTAAATCACTGCAATATTGTACTGTATTATAACTTATCACAATCATATCATATACTGTATTTTTATATTGTATCATGTTGTATCATATCAAAACCATTTTATCATAGTGGTTTGTATTATACTTTACTTTGTATTTATTATGTTCTATAGTATCATATTGACTTGTATTGTAGCACACCACACTATTGTATTATTGGAAAATCATGACATACTGCATCATCATGTAATAATTTAGACGTTGCACTTTAACCCATTTTTTGCTATTTACATCAAGAAGCAACAGTTGCATAGCTGTTCTCCAAGTACTTAACCAAAATAATTATGTTAGCCATTGAGCAATATACAGTGTTAGTATAGATATAGCACTGTTAGTCGGCTCGTCTAAAGTTGGTCTAAATTTAAACGTCTAAAAAAACGTTCATTTTTAGACCTGTGGTAGCCTGATTTTAGACCAGTCGACTCGGCTACATTTAGATGTCTATTAGACCTCTTTTAGACCAAAAAATGCTCAGTGGGATGTTATATCATGTTGTATCATATAATCTTTTTCCAAGTTTACACACACAAAGTGATTCAGGTCTCTGCATACCAATTTGGTATCTGTTGCTAAATGTCAAACTGGCAGTTTGTACAAACACTTTTAATCTCTTAAAATCAAATTAACAACAGCAATCTAAGCTAAAAGATCATGTGAGTAAATGGCAAAAACATTTGATTCAAAGTTCAAATACAAAGTCAGACATCTTGCCTCAAATAATGAGAATATCACATGTAAAACAAATTTGGAGTCATCATAAATTAAAAAGAAACATGAACCTTTTGAAATATTTTCATTTAAACTTGGGCAAAAAGGTTTTAACACAGTCAAGTAGAAAGACTTTTGATTTATTTCCTTCAGGCAGCTGTGCTCAATTGGAGCAAAACGTCACTTTTTTCTTTGTCTTCCTCTTGCTTTTTTGTTCAACTTTAATTTGTATTGAACGAGTCAGAATTTTGAAATAGTCAGCATTTTCTTTTAATCCGCTCACCCCCTCCAGCAGATTAGCGGGCGCTGTCCTGGAGCCCGTCAGGTCCTGAACCAGGAACTCGGTCCAGTCGCTGTACTTCTCCTTGATGGCTGCAAAGAGCGAAGAACACAAGAGCAGAGACTGAGAAACACATTTAGAATCAAAGTGAGAAAAGTGAGCACACAACCGGTGAATCATTAATTATTTGTCGGTGCATTATGAAGTGTGGTCACAAGAGAACAGCATGCGTGAGTAGGTGCATGCGTACACTGTCAAACACAAACACACAAAGAAAATCACACTTTTTTTCCAAAGGCAGATGCAGATTTTTGAATTGAATTTGTCGATGTGAAGTATTTTAACAATGAATTTTGATTGTTTTTTATGCAGAAGTGGTGATAAAAGATTAAACTATTCAGTGTTTTTGTCCTTTTCAAACACCTCAACAGTGTTCATCGCTCTATTCACACTGCAAACATTAGTCCTTCATTCTGATTAATAGCTGAAATCAGATCCTGTTCCGGCTGCACGTGCAAAAGAAAAGACTCAGTTATTTTTGGAGACTTGAACACATGAATAACTGATTGATTTTAGTGAATAATTCTATTTAAACAGTAACGTATCCAACAATAGCTGCAAAATGAAGCAGAAACTTTAAATTATGCCTCTTTGTTTAGCTGTGGTGGCTGTTTGTGTGCAGAGGTGTGAGATCAGAGATGGGAACGGGAAGTGTCTCATTCAGATTTTCAGACATCAAAAAGGTCACCGGGTTACTTTATACTTCCTCAGTGAGCGGTAAACTGTGCATGAATTCAAAATGACGGTTGAGGCCGGGGTCGGGCCGCTACAAATGAGGTTTTAATGTCGAGTTTAGAGAGCAGAGAAGAGAGCAGCGACAATCATAAAGGGAAATGTCAGATTCAAGGAGGCATTATGAAACAAAACAGACTCGCTCTTTTCTGAAAGCACTTGGGTGTAGCTCTAACAAGATGTTTCCTCTCAGTGAGTATGCGATTTAGCCTTTTTCTAGTGTTTAATGAACAAAAAAGGAAAGGCTGGAATACAAACCTCGGGATTTTATCTTACACTGTATATTCATAAATTCTTTCTACATCTATTTTCATTCAAGATGCACTAGTTTTCATTAAATTATTTCATGTTCTTTCTGTTTCTATTAATGCAGAACTATCAGTGTTTGTTATTTTCATTATTTTAATGAATCTGACTGATTAAGCCTGGTACTGTGCTCTGATTTATTCTGTTTTTTTTTTTTCATTTTTGGACCAGTTGGTGGTTTGTGGGCCATAATGAAGCAGGATAATGGTTTTTCTTTTCTTAGCAATACTGTGACTGAATATACAAAGAAAATCTTAACCATCTATATTGTAGGGCTGGGACGATATGCTTTTCTCATGATTCGATTCTTCTACGATTTTTTGGATGCTGATTCGATTTAAATTACAATTCTATGATATTGTTGATTTTCTCGATTTTAAGTCTGCATTTTTAACACCAGTGAAAAAGTTGAATGTTCATAATTGTCTACTGACTATTCCAAGAACCATATTTCCCCCCAAAATACACATATTTAAGTCAGTTTTTAAGATTTATTCTTAAATTTGAAAAAAAAAAAAAAAGATTTTTGAACAAAAAAAAAACTGATTTAAAAATTGTAAATCAAAAAATGCAATACATATGTGAATCGATTTTTTTCTCCCACTCCTACTATATTGTATTAATATTTATGTAGACCAACATAAAGAACATAGATAGGAATGATTTTGGCATTGGATAGAAAAGCAGGAATATCTCCGCTACCTCCGAATCTTTAAAATTTTTCTTAAAAACATGAAAACCACAAAAATTTACACTTAATCATGAATCTGAATAAAAAAAAATCAGTGTTAGACAGCTTTTGTAAATTGAAGCTTCATAAAAGAAAATTTCAGTTACAGACAAACTATCCTGTAACCATGGCAACAAAAACACTTGTCTTAGTAATACATCAAATAATGAGTTTGGTCTAGACCTGCTCTTTTGGAAAGCATCTTGGGGTAACAACTGTTGTGATTTGACGCTATATAAAGATTGATTAAATGATTGATTGATTGATTGGTTGATTGATTAGCTGCAACTCATCACTTTGAGGAGAAACTGACTACATCCGTTGGCACCGGATTTCTGGATGTCAGTGACTTTAAACCTGGTTACAAAGAAATGCGAAGAAACAATTACGAATCATAAACAGTATTTTCCTGTTAGCTTGATGTTGCTAGCTCATCGCTGATAACACAAACAGCTAACATGGTCATAAAGCTAACACAGGCCGAGTTTAAGCATGACTACTAAATGAACACTGACAAGAAAAGTAACTCCACATTTTGGCCTGTAGCTGTCCTGAAATTCTCATTATTATATAATCGTTCAGTTTATTACCTACTTCATTCTAAGTACAACCTCATGTAAGATTTATGAGGGGGCGTAAATGAAAAGAGATCTGGTTAATGATCGGCAAGAGAAACACAAAGGACCAAACTTTGTTTTAATCGATGTCTATGAAATAAACACAACTCATATCTGTAATAAGGATAAAAATAATGATAAAATATGACTGTAATCCAAACTGATCTGAACTTTTGTCTGACCCTCAGTAAAAGTATGAAGCCCAGTGCAGACTGTTTGTGCTGCTGTAATGGCATGTTTTTCTTCTTCGTCTTTATAATTAACCCTCTTCACAAAAACACACAAATGCAGACTGATGCCAGTCAGACCAGCGCTCTGACATTTCTCTAAACTTCCATCAGATCTGCATGGGGACTTGCGGTTTTTATCTACTTCCTGTTTCCCACAGTGCATCCCTGTTACATAACTCCTGCACTTGCGTGTCTTTGCCCTTTATTTGCTTTTTCTCCTCCTGATATCAGCCTCCTGTTTATCCCTCCCCTTTCTCTCCCTCGCTCTCCTTCCCGTTAAATTTGTAAAGAGCACATTTCTCAGAATTCCAGAAAGATGCTGCGTGGCCTTCACTGTCCTGCGTGTTTTTCCTCTTCGTCACAGGCATGAAAAGCCTCCATAAAGTCATAGACACTTGTTAGAGTCTGTGATCTGCTGCCAGATGAGTCACAGTAACAGAATGAGTACAACGTGCGTGTGATCCGGCATCCCCTGCAGCAATGATTAACGTCAAGCTGAAGTGAAAGTGAAATAAAGTGTATACTCTCTCATACACATGCAGCTGCTCCTAATGGAAATTATGTTTGTTTTTCAATCACAATTATTTAGTCTAATTATTTTTTAAATTTGTTAATGAGGTCTGTGTTATTCCTCATAGCAACGGTGCCAAAACATACATAACATCAAGTAATACAACAGACTTTTTAGGAGTTAATGGAGGTGAAATATTTTTTTTTCCTTGAGTTTTAGAGGTCTTACAGTACCCACAATGCTTTGTGGAAAACTGTGTAAAAAGGACGGTCACTTCTCATGCAGTATGTACCATCATGAATTAGAGTGTAAAGAAAAGTGACAAATAAGAGGAGTGTAATCGTTGCTCTGTCACGATTACACTAACATTTATATTTGATGTCATTCTTCTTGTAAAACCAAGAAACATTTTAGATAAAATAAAAGATTGTTGAAGGAGAAGCGTTAAGTTTTCAATAATGATGACAGGCACAAAAAAAAACATTGACTGTATGCACAAGACAAAAAAGAAGTGGGTAGAAAATAAGGCTTCATTATTTCATAAAAAAAATTACAGCGTTTTATGTTGATGTTACTGTCTCCATACACCAAGCGCGAGTAAAATCATTCGCGCGATAAATTATATGTTAAGTCAATGTAAAGATGCGACTAGACGCTCCTACTACTCTGGTGGCGTGAATGACGCGAATTGGACGGAAGCTGAATATGTCTCAACTTGAGTGGATATTCGCGTCACGACAACTAATCAACACAAAGGTTGCCGGGTGATGTATGAAAATGAACGGTTGTTCACTGGTGTCTAAAATGGAGGATAAACTGATAGTGTTGGTCTGTGGGTGCCCCAAATTATATGATACCTTTTCTTTTAATTATCGAAAAAGGGAATAAAAAGGAGGCAAGTGAGTGAGGAGGATGGATTATCTGTTAAATTGTAAAAAACTTTTGTCTATCATTTGATCCCACCAGTTGAATTGGCAAGGATCACCGTTGAAATTACTGTTGACGCGTAAATGAAGCGAGTAAATACAACTCATTTTACTTGTGCTTGGTGTGAGTGCCCCACCTTAGATCATTATTAATTGCCTCACTGAGTTAAATACGTGATCCTGATTGGTCAAAGACCTTATATGAATATGTACATGCAATGACAGCTTATGTGCCTGGAGAAATAGAGGAATGAAAAGTGTTTCAAACAGACCGCAGACACAATACTGAATGTCTATATTTGGGAAAGGATAAATTGATGGTCGAATCAGATGTTTGTCTTGTTTTATGTCTGTTTCTAAAATGAATAGACTGATTAACAGGTAAATTCAGTTACAGGAGAAACTTGGTGTCTGTACAATGAAAAAGGTGGGTCTTTATTGGTAACTGTATTGATAGACGAAAGTATTGGTCGAAATGAGATATCAATGTATCAGATACTGGCAAAAATCAGCACTGTGCATCCCTACTGCTCATATTGAATCAGTCTAAAGTCTGTAGCAAAAATGTCAGGAAATAAAGAGGTTCAGATGTGAGAGCGGCCTGAGGACCCTCTGGACCTCAATCATCTAAGATAGAGAAAATTCGAGCAAAAATTTGTCCTGCAATCCGTGCAACAGCAGATGAGAGCATCTAAAAGACAGCTGAATCATTCTTGAGTCTCCCATTTTTGTGATTTAATGTCCTGTTTCTAGCTTCTACTTATTTAAGGACCAAAAACTTTCTGACTCCTACAATCTTTTTTCAATCAGAGATTTGTGTAAATACAGCCGACAGTTTGCTCTACGGAGGCAGCTTGGGGTTTTAAATACATAATTAACTTATGAGAGAACAAATCAATAAATCCTTTCATGGCTCTGGTCCTCCTTGAATCAAATCAACGACTGAGGAATTTGCCGGCGAATAAATCAAATTGTTTTTCCTGTGAAGGTAACGTGGCCTCGACGCTCCCTGTTCGCCTGTTTAATAACAGTGTTTTTCCTGCGAGACTGTTTTCTTTCCTCACTGCTGCTGCTGCTACTGCTGCTGGACTTTGAAAGCACGCACACACACACATACTCTCACGGGCCATACACACACTCCTGTGTTGATCCCTCCGTGCAGAAATAGATAAACTATTTTTACAGATCCTGCTGAGATCAGTCAGGAGGCCATTTAGAGCTCAGCTGAAGCAAAAACATGCAAACTTCACCCTCTCTCTCTCCATCTCTCTGTCTCTCTCTCCACCTTTTATTTCCCCTCCCCCACCCCCTTGCACTTCCATTATACTGTATTCCTTTTTTTCCACATAAATAATGATCCATTTTTCTTCATTTCCATCCCAAAGGCAGCAGACGCGTAGAGGTGAAAGCCTGAATTTCACATAACAATAAGTGCATAATTAACCTTGAGGGAGGAGATCTTCAAAAACACCCCCTCCTCTCCCTCTACCGCTACACTTTCCCCCCTTTTCTCCCCTCCTCTGCACAAAAACCTGGCTGAAGCCTGCGAGCAAACATCGAGCATGGAAAAATATGAATTTACATACATGAAAGTTAACATTTGCATATTGCGCAGGCTCCTTCTCCCCTCCCAAACAATCCCAGCTTTGTGCACAAGCCTTATTTAAAAGCTTTACTTTGGATAATCAATGTTGTAATTAAAGAAGAAGAATCGCCTGTGTGTTTTTAGCCAACAGATTCTAATCAGAGTTAATGGGGGCAAATTAGGCCTGATTCCCCCTCTGTCTTATCCAGTCATTACGCGCTGGCATGGAGACGAACAGCACACGAGGGTAGAAGCCAAGTCAATTCAAACAATTACCCACCTCCATTTTAACCGACTGCCTTTCCAAATAGGCCACAAGCACAATGACTGCGGCATGTAAAATGTCACATAGCATCATTTGGCTGTTGTGTGACACCTGAACAGTCGCAGACGCTATAATGTTATCATTTTTATAGCCCTGGTTAATGGTGAGGGCAGCAGAGATATTAGAGCAGTTTGTGTAAATATGAATTGAAATCTCTTTGATGTGTTTGCGATAAGTGATGAGGAGGCCTGCAGGAACCGAGAGCACTGACTGAGAGCGGTTCGCCTTCTCCATTCATAAAACAACCTCCTCAAATCAAGAACCTATAAGAAGAAATGAGGCCTTATCGACCAAACAAAGAGGAATATGTTTCAGATTGTAGAAAACACACTCGACTTGTGAGTTTATGCAAATTTTGAGGTTACAGCTGGGAGAGGTTTGTTCAATAGAGCTTCAGTTTTCTGTGTTTCTATTTTGATAACCTGTTCCAGTATCCTAGAAACATGCTAACTTCCCTTATCACTGTTTATATGCACTATTGCTGCTCTCTATGCTTATTTGCATTTCAGGCTTTTAAAAGTTCATCTATAATCTGCTCCAAATGTAATTTTTTTGCGTCATTTCTAATAATACTTAGAGGTTTAAACCAGGGCGTGCAAATGCAGTTTGTTGCATTGTTATTGGCATATCTGGATAATAAAAACAAAGCTTTGTATTCATATCAACATTCCTATTTTGGTGATCATAGTTGGCTGCTGGTCCACATTGAGGTTTGGTGTTGAAATTGCAGAAGACAGCTGGTGAAAAAAACCCAAACATGCAAAGTCAACTGTCAGAAAAGTTGATCTTAACTTTTCATCAGCAGGTGTCACAAACAAACTGAAGTAGTCAGTTTTTTTAGTCAGTTTTCTTCTCTAACAGAGATGTCGTGTGGAGACAAAGAATAGTGTTTGTGCTGCTTGGGTTTTATATCTGTGTTTCCGCTGCAGTAATGAAGACATGAAGCAGAGCTCAGGTTACATGGCAACGACAGTTGCATGACAATAGTCTCCTATTCAGCCACGAGACAATGCAAACATGTCTATTATCTCCCCATAATAAAGACAGAGCGTAATAACATAAACACTTCAGGGCTGATGGATTTACTATTCAGGGATTCAATCTGAAAGAGTTTTGATTATAGATTTACAACTATGAAAAAAACACTGCTTTAATGCCATTTTTAATTTTTTTTTCTAAAGAGGTGATCTGCTCTCTTTTGGTGGAGCTGAAATAAATGCTAAAAAAAACGAATGAAAAGACAAAAACTTGATTATCACGCAGTTTGAAGCTTGCACCTTTAAGAATCTGTAAATAAGCTTTTACTCTCTCCTGGTACAAAGAAGAGGTTTATATAAGCCCTCTGTGCAGACCTGAGCACCCAGCAGCAAATTTTGATTTCATACCATTGTACTAAAATTACGTGTGATATCTTTTATAAAGCGATAAATTGCAACAGTTTTCAACCAAACCATTTTCTGTAAAAATTGTGATTTATGCACCGCATGTGTCTAGGTAATGCCAGCCTAGCCCAAAAATGACAAATCAAGATTTTTTTCCCAGCCCAAAGCCTGATTTATGTCTCTTGAATTCTTACAAAACATTTTCCCAGTAAATGGTACTGCACTTTAAAAACACACACTCAAACTCAGGCAAGTATCCCTCTTAACATAAGTGCAAAATTTAGAGAATGTGCTAATTTTGGCAAATTACCACAATCTACCACATTTACTGGCTTCTACTTTCAGCACAAATGCTAATCGTGACTGCCAGTGTGTAGAGGTGTAGTTTGTGTAAATACATCTTTCTCTATACCATAAATTCAGAGCTTGTTCAACTCCTGTTAACCTCTGCTCCTGTTGCACTCAATTTTAGTTGGACATGAAGAAACCAAGACGAAATGACACCAACAGAAGCATTGAAACTTTGCAGATGTTCACTTTTTGATAGTGGACTTGCAAAGCAAAGCAGACACTCAAGAAGGTAGGTTTAAATGCGCATAAGGGAGAAGGCCATGTACATTGCACTGCATGAATTTGAAGCACAGCTATGTAACATGTATTACACTCAATATCAATATCAATTTCTACAAAAAAGCTTTTTGTAGTTGACGTTTTGTTTCAGGGAATAAAATCAGCATACTATTTTAGTTGCTTTGATTATTTAATCAAAATAAAATAGTCAAAGCAAAAAAAACAACAAACAAACAAAAAATATGAGTGTTTTTGTGACCGTCCTCAAAAGAAAGGCTGTTCAAGGTTTGGTCCTCTCAAGAACACAGGGACAAAACATCATTCACACACACCTACAGGAGTTAATGTAGTAAGTACTTTATGAGGGCATAATACAAATCTATATGTTGAAAGTGGTGAGGAGTTACGATGTCACCACAAAATATTCATAATGCTCATCAGAACATTGTATTTGGAAGGACTTGACAAAATGCCAACACATGTAAAAATGTCCTCAAAAGACATGTTTGATATCAAGACTCGGTCCTCACAAGTACAGTACATAAGATACACACACACACAAACACACACACACACACACACACACACACACACACACACACACACACAGATAGTAGACAGGTCTGTCTTGGACCGTCATCTGCAGCAGGCTCTGGCAGGAACCAGTGTGGTGAATTCATTATGCAAATTGTCTCTGTCAGGGATCTGTTAGCATCACATGACCAAACTTGTGGTGTCGCTTTAAAAAGCTCTGTACGTGAATGGCTGAATGCATCCCACACACACATACACACACACACACACACACACACACACACACACACACACACACACACACACACACACACACACACACACACACACACACACACACACACACGGGATACTGTGGGAATTCACAGCAGAAATTCGACTCTGTCTGAATAAGACCCCCCACCCATGCCCATCCCCCTGAGCCTGACCTCAGGCTTTATATACATACACTGTCTAAATACCATAAATATGTATACAGTAATTTAAATTATGCTCTCCCTGAGTAAATTTAACCCTCAGTGTCGGAGAAAAGGATTTATACAATACTTTACAATACATGCAATTCAATTTTTCAATTTTCTTTTGATTTTATAAACAAATTAGCAAAACAATTTCCATCTTGAACCTATAGATTTTAAAGTAAAATAATCTGCTTTTTATGACTGTAGTTACTATTCAAGGAGGGGCTGAAAGTAGTTACAGGGATGATGGAAAGAAATCAAAATTTTAGGCTGTTAAACTGTGTCAATTTGACTTTTTTCATTTTTAACAGCTTGGGACATTGTTTACGAAAGAGTTATGCTTTAGATTCACACCCTATTCTTGCAAATGAAGAAGCTAATTAATGAGAAAACTACTGAACTCTTAGGAAATAAGAGGGAAATAAGAGGGTGCTCTGGTGAGTTTTAATATGTTAATATTAAAATGTTAGTATGTTTCGTCCCACTGACATTTAAAAAAGAGGTTTTGCACATTCTCTCGAATTCGGAGAGGCTAGTAACCCTGGAAATGTTTTTTACTGGAAGGATAGTTTTTATTAAAAATTCAACAGTCCAGTCTCATGAGCCCGTAACTGTCTTTTTTTAAACCATGGCACCATTCCTCAAGACGTAGAAGCAACTTTAAAACAGACAGGAATAAACGAAGCAAAATGAAGAGACACTACAGTCCCGCAGCAGCTATTCAGTTTTAAAAGCTTTACCGATATGAATCTCAACTTCTGTTTTTTAATGGTTGTTGTAAAAGCCAATTTTCATGGTCTGGGTTTTGATTTTCCAGTGAGTAAAGGTAAAATATGTGGTCAAGGTCAGACTATCATTTATTTAATATATTTAACTCAACAGAAACAACTAGTTCTGTTGTATTGATTATATGCATGTAAGCTTTGTAAATATTTTTGGGTGCACAGGTGGGGATATCATCTCCTTTGTGTAGAGATACTGTAGTACCCACTGAGCAATAGACAGCTATAAGACATCTAGTTTTTTTAGACTTAATTTCAACCGTCTAGATTCTGTATATTTTTAGACAGAATTTAGACGTTGCACTTTAACCCAATATTCGCTAACTATTTATTCCAAAAAGCAACTGTGAATTGCATAACTGATCTCCAAGTACTTAAAATGCCATTGACCAATATAGAGAATAGCATAGATATAGCCCAGATTTAGACTTGGTCTAAACTTGGTCTAAATTTAGACGTCTAAAAAAAACTTTCATTTTTAGACCAGTCGTCTCGGCTACATTTAGACGTCTATTAGACCTCTTTAAGACCAGAAAGTTCTCAGTGGGTAGAAGCTTGGGAGTGATTTTAACATGTATGAGGTTTTTTTTTTGTGTTAAGACTATCAGCTGTTAGATAAATGGAGAGCTCAGCAGATCTGTAGGTCTTATGATTTTTATTTTTCTGATAGAAGGGGACATAAATCAAGAGAGGGCTCCTGTGACTGAATTAAGTTAGTATATGTTTATAAGATTTGCCACAGCTGTCTTAGTATGTCATTTCATATAGTGTTGTATCATTTTGCATCTTATATTGTATCACAATGTATTGCAATTGTGCATGAGTAGACATACTGTATGATGGCACTATTTCTGAATTATCAAAAAAATTGGGTTTTTTTTGTATTGAATTATTCATTTTTGCTCTAAACAGAAAACGTACACTCCCTGTTTGCCCACATCACATTGAAATAGCTAACTGATATATTGGTCTCTAATGTTTGTTGTCTTCCTTTAACTTTCAACACTTCACAGATAATTTTTGTCTGAGATAACGAGGCACCTTTCATTATCTAACATGGAAATTTTTTAGCCATTGCTGACTAATTGCAACAACAACAGTTCAATGCGCATGTATGTTCAAAGTTTCCAGCCAGCCTGGTGACTAATATTGATTTGATCTGTGATTGATACTCTTTCTACACTCATGTCTTTAAGTTTTGACCTGAAGGGGGATTTCTGTTTCTGACACAGTCCAAAGTTTGTTTGTTGCAGACAGAAGTTTATCAGAGCATCACATTTCTGACTAAGCTGCTGCTCCACTTATCAGACGAGCACAGTTTTGGCCTGAGTGAGTGTGTGTTTGTCTGTGTGTGTGTGTATGTGTGTGTGTGTGTGTGTGTGTGTGTGTTATCACTGCTAAGACACACTCAGCTAGAAAGGAGTCACATGCATGACAAGGCAAGGCATGGAGACCGAGCTGTGAGGTCACTTCCGGCAGAAAGGAGAAAAGAGGAAGGGGACGAGGAGGAAGCAGAGTGTGCATGCAGCTCTGAGCATGTGTGTGTGTGTGTGTGTGTGTGTGGTGAGTGTGTGAGCCACTAAGTGAGCATGTGAGCAGGCGAGTTAGTCAGACGCTCTGTTAGAGCTGCTTACCTTTTCTTAGGTAAATGTTATCTGAGAAACAAAAAGGAAACAAATGAAACAGGTGTAAGCACACAAAAATACACAACTCTGCTCTCATGTTCCAACACACACATACACACTCAAACCAAAATGTGCAAAACATGACGCAAAATCCTGAATTACCCGACAAAGTTCAGATTCATAAACTGACAGTCATTTGCAGAAGCCTCATTAGAGCAGACTGCTCTCACAGTTCATAATTTAAGCTGCAGTTTAAACATGCAGACATGTCAGCTGTCAATCATAATTACATTAAAAGCATTAAATGAAATCTTAACAAGATGAACAAAAAGAGATGATTTTAGTAGCTGAGCTGTTTCAACCATCACCAAAACCATCACTATTGTTTTATTTAATTAGAAGTAGCAGCTCAGCTTGTAGCCCCTCCTGAGATACACTGTCCACTAAAGAGCATTATGGGAACACAATCTCTCTAATATGATGTGGCAATAACCACTAAAAAAACCTCTATGGTTAAAGACACTAAAGAAATAATGTAATGTAAGAACGAATAGGTAGCAGCAGCTCAGTTTGCTGCCCCTTTTGACAAACATTATCTACCAAGGAGCAGCGGGGGGACACTGAGACAGTATGATTGTTGAAATCTGTGTGTTCGCTGGTTTTAAACACCAGATCTGTTTGTTTTTTTAGATGAAGATCAAATAACTTGATGGAAGAAATATAGAATCCATAACTTAGGAAACCTCTTACGTAAAAAGCTGAGAACAAACAAGCTTGCTGCAGCTCAGCTGGCAGCCCGTTCTGGTGTATATTATCCAATGAAGTGTATTCGAGTAACACTGTTTTATTAATCTATGAGAAGACCTCAGCAGATATTTAAACCCTTCCTAGAAAACCTTGTTTCTGATGAAAACAAAGACCATGACTAACTAAAAGCAGCAGCTCGGTTTGCAGCCTCTTTTATGTCCACTGAGGATCATCAGAAAAACCTTGATTAGATCAGAGCGGTTAATCGCCAGAGCTGTTTGTTTTGTAGAAGTCGCAACTTTTACAGATAATGAGGGTCCAAGGAGAGACTTTCTAAACCACTGAAGCTTGAAATCTAACTTTAAAAATGCAAAAATCAAGAAACAAGCGAGCAGCAGCTCCGCTCACAGCCCGTCTTGACAAAGATGTCCACAGAAAATGAGAGAAATATCAACTTTAACGATTAATCTTCTTTAATCAGTGTATCTACTGTTTTCTACCACCAGGTTAGTTTGTTTTGTAGAGTAGAGGAGGCAACCTTTGATTACAGACAGCTTCATGATCATAACTGAAGATTTGTCTGTCTTTTTTAACAAAAAACTGACAACCATATTGGCCGTTATTGACTGACTATGCAAAATCCGATTGCTTTACTGGTTTTCTGTGTAAAACTCAAAACAAGTTTAACAAGTAAGACAGCTCTCACTTGGGGAAAGTTACTATTTTTGTCAATGTATGGGAGATAAGTAAAGGTAACTCATGCATTAATAAACAGAATCAATACTGAAAGCTTTGTTTTAGATATCTATGACATAAAAGTCTACTCCATAGAACTATGGAGCTTAAGGTCAACACGTCATTTAATAAAAAACTAAATTAAAAGTGAATCAAACTGCATGTGAGTTCATAGATTTGCCCTAAAAAACTGAGAGGAATTGACAGAGGGGAAAAGGACACTAAATGCTGATGTGCGGGTGAAGACACCCGAGTCAGGTGGAAATGTAACCAGGTCATCTCTGCAACAACAGAGCCACACGCCATCCATCAGCAGGGAAGTGTCGGGGAAATAAATGGTCTGAACGAAGCTGAGGGTGAGTCATCTATCTGAGGGCGCAGAGACTCAACGCTGTGGGCAGAAATGCCGACGCCACGACACGTTCAGGAAAAGTTGTGATTCTGAGAGAGAATTGGAGATGCAAGTTGAATAAAAGGATCTTTTTTTGGTGTTATGGTTGAGATCAGGTGCAAGACATGCTCTTAGAGGCTGTGGGTGTGATGTGCCAGAACGATAAATGACGGTTGAGCTGCCGCAAAAATCAAAGCTCTTCAGAGGAAACCAGTCTTTCCACTCTGTTTGTATGAAGCTGTCTTTGAAAAGGGAAGACCTAGGGTTCACAGCGAGAGTGTGTTTGTCCGTGTGCATTAAAATCAGACCAGCACTTCCGTAAATCTACAGTAACCCAGTCAGAGCACTGCCTCTGACTGGGTTCGGCTTAGGCTCGGCAATTTCATTCCTGCTTGCCAAAGAGGAAATGGTTCGCCATTTTCTTGATCCGCATCAACAGGTATCAAGAGGAGATTCAGGTGATCATTAATCTTGATCTCCAATGTAGTGTTGGCGACACTTATCTCTAAGTGAGCCATTCATGTCTGGCGTCATCTTGATTATGTATAACTCGATGATGAGCATTACTTATGAAACTGATTCTTTCTTAACTTGGCAATGGACTAAAATAATACAATCAACAGGTAACTCAGTAAGGAGGAAAATTACAAATTCGTAGAATATTCTTGAGCCTTTTCTGAAGAATATCTCTGTATGTGGAAAGTTAACCTTTGAAAAGTTTCCACTTTCCGGGCAAAGTTTGTCCTGATTGATTAAGTAGCTAAATTCCACAGGTCATTCCACAGGGCCCCTTCATTGTGAACAAAAGTGAAGTTACATAAACAGTAAAGGTAAAAGTAGAAAAGGAATCACTTCTTAAAAAGCCCAGATGTTATGAGTAGACGCCACGTGGTAAATGCGGTTTGGTTGCTGCCGGTTTGTCAAATCGGTCAATAATACTTTATATTAATACATCTTTGTGGAGACAGAATTTAAACCACTGCTGGAAGATTACTCAGACGCAAGGCCACTGCAATAACTCTCCATCTTCCTTTTAACCTTGAAGACTTACAGTTCATCAAAACATTAAACTAAGTGTGTGGTGTTTCCACGGTCAACGTTCGCAATAAGATGAGAAGTCTGGAGGTGATTTTTGGCTCAGATTTAGCCTCCTGTGACAAAACCCTGACAACTTTAATGACACCACTGTCATTCTAGATCTGTTTTTATAAACCTCAACTCACTACTTGTCTCAGAAAGAGCCATTAAAGGTAAATTATGACACCAATCATGTTCAAGCCCTCCCCAAATAACTCTAAATTCAACTCTCAAGAAAAGAAACATGAAGTCCAAACTACAGTTTCTAGCCCTACAATCCCTAAAAAACCACAAATTATGGCCAGAAAATTCACATTTTTTTGGAGCTGAAATGTTTATTTCACTTACTACTGGAAACCAAAAAAATCGAAATGTCCTTAAAATTTAACAAAAATATTTATATATCTCGTTTGACACATTAGATGTTTTGGTGACTGATAAACCACAAAAGGACATTTTTATCATTTATCCGACCATATTCAGGTGTTTTTTTAGTAACTTGTTGATCATATTGATTTGATAGAAGTATCACAAAAGTATATATAAAATATGATACAAAAGGCATTAAAGGTCTAGTAAAAATTGAAGTTTTTTTTACATGTCAAGTCCTTTTCAGCTAGAAGATAACACACACTCACATTTACATAAAACAAGTTTCTGCTTTGACGAACACACTTTGAGAAATTTAAGAACAAAAGAGGACAGGATTAATATTTAAGCCGCAAATCTGGACAGAGTCCTATGAATTCATAAATAAAACACTACAGCCACAATTTTTGAGCTGGCAGTGTTTTTGGAAAACTTATTTTCACCTTTTTTGGTAAGCATTTTCTAATCCTGAGTTCAAACAGTTTTCACTGGAAGTATAAAGCTGATATACTCCCCAGAAACCATAAAATAATGAGCCTTTGTGAGAGAAAACTAAATCTCTGACCCCACAGTTTTTGCACAATCAAACTTAAGATTATCATTTTTTTGTAGGAGCAGTTCAGGATTTGATTCAAACATAACGTAGGTTTAGTTCCTCGCTCATTGCATTCCTGAGATTGGCCCTTGTTTACCACTGACAGAAAAATGTTCACTCGAATTGCTGCAGACAGGACAGGCCGCTCTGGTATCTGACTCTGATATCTGCAGACATTAATCTCACCCTGGCACGTGTGAGCAACAGATTGAGTGCATGTCTCCGAGTGTTTCATCCTACCTTCAGGGGGCATGAGGGTCTTGTTGTTTTGCGTGCACCATCCCACCGGGTGCAGCTCGGCGGTCATGACATCACACCAGAAGTCGGCCTTGCGGTCGTCTCCGTATCCGCTGAAGCGCAGCAGCAGCAGCTGGCCACATGTGGTGATGATGGTGGCCACCCAGTACGTGTCCGGGCTGTTTTTGTTGGCCACCTCCAGCTTCATACCGGGCTGGAAGCTGCTCTGCAGGCTGATCTCCACCTGAGACAGACACAATGCAAAATTTAAAGGGATATTCTGCTGTTTTTTTAATGGTTTTGTAGCTCTTTCTTTAAGTTAAAGCAAAATTGATTGAAGAAGAAGATCTTGGGAGACTACAACAGATCAGACATCATCATACCAGCTTTAAAAAGATCCTTTTTTAAAATTATACCAACCCCCTCTTTTTGCTGATGAAAGTGCCACACATAATCACTTCATGGAAAACAAAAGTGGTCAGAGGTTAACCAGGGTTTCTCTTTCACATAAGCTCAGTAGAAGTCTGATATTCCGCTTAAACTTATTTAACTTGCTGTGCTACTTCTCACGCAAACTCTGAATAAAAAAAGGGTTGGTAATATTTGTTGGCGATTTCAAACATTGGTTTGTTTTATCATGCACAGAAGGCCCAACTAACACCTTTTATAACAAAGCAGTTGTCAAACCAAATCAAGAATGCCAAAAAAAATCCTGTACAAAATTACCATGAATGTGTTACTGAAAAAGCTGAAAAAAGCTGACTGAAAAAAAACAAAATAGTTTTAGCTGTGATTTTCCACTACTAGGTGATATTTTTGATAAAATACACAGGATTTTATGCCTCCAAACTCAATTGCACTGAGGTTAGTCATGGAGTGCCACAAGGTTCATTGTTTGGACCGATTCTTTTGATAATGCATGCATCCATTAAGTAATGTCATGAGGGAGCAGGACGTAAATGTTCACTGTCATGCAGATTTATTTTACTATTTACCTATTTATCTATTTTACCCATCAGTGAAGACAGAAAAATGGTTAAAATGCAGCCAAGAAATATGACACGACAGAGTATAATGTCCAAAGATGAGGAGGCCAAAAAGACCGTCTGAAAACCACAAATGGTCAGTCTTCAGGAGAGTGTGTGAGCGTATTATTGAGAAACAGATTAAGGTATGTTACCAGAGTTGTATCAGTGCGTACATGTTAAAAATTTAAATTCACCTTTGAAAGATTACTTGTGGGGTGCCACAGGGTTTGGTACTTGGACCACTATTGTTCATATATTATTAATGATAGATGTTTGCTTTCATTCACTTAAGTGTATATTATTTGCAGATGAAAGATGACTATTTTCTTTAGTAGAAAACACATGAAACCATGGGTTATACAAAATGGTTTAATGCCAAATATTATCTCTTCATTTCTGCAAAACATAGTGCCTTATTTGGGGGAATCAGGCATCAAACTTTTACAAGAAATAAATGAATTCATAAAGTGAATTTTTTTTCCTAATTAAATTGGGTTCCTTAAAATAAAAAGCCCAAACATAATATTAAAAAGTGGGTACAGTCTAGCAATCAGGTTTGTCCTATATTAAAACAAGCCTTCCGTCAATATTTTAGTTATCAACTGAGGACTTGAATAAGAAGTGTGTCTAACTGACTGGGCTTAGGTTTTTTTTTTCAGTCATCTGAGGTATTAATTCTTCCCTAATTCGGACTCATAGACTTTATTTAGTTGCCATTTATTTACTCTACTTGTACTTTATTTACTTGACGTAAAGTGGAGTGTGGAGCTCTGAAATGTTTACAAAGTTAAAAAGTACTAGCGGAAAGTATGTCTTGGCCTGCTCTTTATGTTTTCTGTCATCTGAAACTCTGGAGGATTTTAATTCAGTCTGGGAAAATGTCCCTGGGGATCTTCAGCTTTGAATTAAAAGCAGGAAGCCTGTCTTACAAAATAAGGGCACCATCTGACAATAAGATGCATTGTGGGAACTTTAGGATCCAACGTTTTAACCAAAAGTTAGTGCAAACTTTCACCAATTACTGAGTTCAGCTGTTTCAGACACAGTCATTGCTAACAGGTGCTAAAATCCAAAACAAGGATTAAGAGTCAGTCGGAGCTCAGTGACTCTCTGACACTGCCAGACCAGAAAGCAGAGCTCATGTTGTAAACTCCTGCAGAAGGGATAGTGGTTCAGAACTGATTAAGGGTTAGGTTTGGTCCTTTTAGAGTCCAGTGAAAGGTTATAAAGATATTTAAAGATTTGCTGCACTTACATTTTGTGTCAACAGTTCACAGAAAGTCCTCTGCTCCACAAAACCCTGACCTGAACCCTGCTGAACACCTTTGGGAGGAATTAGATCACCAATCTCACTAAAGCTCTTTTGGCTCAATAAGCACAAATTCCCACAGACTCACTGTAAAGTCTATGAAGCTTTCCAAGAAGTGTGGATGCTTTTACTGTGCAAAGGGGGCTCTTACTCCATTTTAATGCCTGAGGTGTTAGGGAAATCCTCCAACAGCTTTCCACGAATGAGGCGCCCATTAAGCTCATGTCATCTTCATCTGGGTGAGCCAGGTGTTCACTGACTTTTAATTACACCCTCCAGTTCTTATTCTATTTTTCTAACTTATAGTTACCCCTAACTTGCGATAAAACTTCAACCCTTCTTCCAAAACAGCCTAGAGCCAAATTTCCCAAAAACATGTCGACTTTAACTCAGTAAAAATCAGTTAAAGGGATATTCTGGCGTAAAATTAATTTATGATCATAAATGTTCTTCCTTGAGCTGTGTCACCCCGCTGTACTGGCCTGAGGTCTCGCTACAAACAAGCGGCTGCTGGAAGAGAGTAGGTGAGTTGTGTTTAGTCTCTTTGCATAAGAAATTATGCAAAGTTAAAAAGATGTTTGGTGGCTAGGACCCTATATGTACTGTTGATGAAGTTAGGTGCTGTTCTCAGCATTATTTGTGGCTATAGAGTGGTGTTTTGGTTGAGGTTTGTTTATGGCTCCTAACTGTGTTATGCTATCCTGCAGTCGTTACTGAAGTTGGTATAACTAGAGAAGCAAGCAGTCGGCAACATTCATCTCTCGAGGAGGTGTCTAACTTGGTGTTACGATGTGTTTGACCCTAACTTAATTTATGTCGGAATATCCCTTTTAGAGTAAAAAAAAGTTATCTAGTCCTTAAACATGATAAACTTTGTTGTTTTAATATGCGTAAAGTCATAATGTGAAAGAAAAACGAGTAAAATTCGTAGATAAATTGTGCCATGTAAGAATTTCAGGTGGAAAAAAAAAATGCAAAAAATATTCTTGGACTGTGTGTCCTAAGAGGGCTACCATAAGCTGTCATTCAGAGATTGTTGTGGCTGTAAACTGGCCGGCACTGCCAAGCTAGCAGGGATCATTCCTACAACTTTGGCTAAAATTCCCTATAAGGTCTGTTTACAGTTTTAAGAAAATGTTTTCATGAAAAGATAAAAGAACATTTTAAGAATGTTTTTCAAGAATGTTATCCAGGATCATTCTGGGAAATCAAAGAAAACTTCCTGCTCAGAATGTTTTTAAGAACATTAGGGCATAATGTTCTAACAATGTTGTCACCAAACATTTTTAGAATACTTTGAGAGAACATTATCCTGAAACATTCTGGGAACTTCAAGAAAATTTCCCACTGCAAACATTACGGCAACATTCTTGGCCACATTTTTGGAATATTCTTAGAACCAAAAATTTTGAGCTGGGTGCTCACAAGTGTTTGCACAGTTGGATTTCCATTTATCATTTTCTTATTAAGTTTATCAAGTTTGGCAAACCATAAAGGGAATTATGGTGCTACTGCCCAAGGCAGGTTTCGAAAAAGCTCCTCCTTTCTTGCTTACTTCCTCACTCCAGAAAGAAAGGAGGTCATAAACTATGAAATTTGTCATCTGTCATGAACTGTGCACATAATAAATAAGAAATAAAAGTGAAACGGGCTTTCTTGCTTGATCTACCTTTTCAAATACTGTAAGTGGACTGAATTTAGTGCCGTCAGGAAGAGAGCTCACAGTGCAGCTCTGAGCAGCAGAGTGGAGATGCTGACAGTTAACTTTAGATCAATCACAATAAAAAGAGACGGCCTGTAATACAGGTAAAAACTGATGCTGTTAAAAGGTAAAGAATATATTGAATTGTAATGCATGATCCTTGTAAACACACCAGTGAGTTGTTTTTCATATTTCCACATTTCATATCAGAAATATAAAACTGCCTCGGCTAATAATCAAAAGCTTCACAATGTTTCTGTAATCAAAGTTAGTTTGTTCAAGTGTTAATTATTCTGGAAAGTTTAGTTTTAATTGGCTTTTCAGTGTTGGTAAAAAATCCTCATTGACTCAGAAATGTAAGAAACTTTAATATAAAAAGAGGAGTGATGGAAAAACTGTTCAGTCTCGGTCTAAACTATGTTTAATTAATAAACTTGTTAAGTAAAACTCCCTCACAGTAAAACCTCTGCTCTGAACAACAGCCCTCCAGTCTTTCCTTCTGCAGAGAGAGGCGATAAATCTGCACAACAGTGAATGCAGCACAGCATAATGCGTTTCCACCAATAGCCTCAGGCTGCCATACAATTCTTGAGAACACTACAAGCCCAACAGGATGTTCACATTCAACAGTCGCACAAACGCACACACTCACAAGTGAATGGAAAAAGCCAACATCTTAGAAATAAACACAATACAAACGTCCCTGTGACTTCCTGCTACAACAATGCAAACGTGCTGTATCACTGTGTTCAGCTTACGTAACAGAGAGCTACAGGCAAACACTGACTCTGTGTGTGTCTGTGTGTGTCTGTGTGTGTGTGTGTAGGCCCAAGAGAAATCACTGTTTCAATTTGTCCAGGCACACACAGAGAGGCAGAGATGAGGGCTGCTCTTTACTGAATCACATTTTTCTGGGGAGTTCATGGTCTGTTTCCCGGTGACTCAATCCACTTACCAACAAGGCAATTTAGCCTCCCAAGAGACCTCAGCTGCTCAAACTACCACACGCAGTTTGTCTGACATCGGAAAATGCATGTATTTTAACAATTACACTGCGAGCAATGTAAGAAACTGAAAGGATGACACACTTCTTTAAATCTTAAATAAGACATGTCTCCACATTTGCGGCTGAGCGCTCAGCCCAGCGGACAGCTGCTCCATCAGCTGAGGTGGATAAAGACCTCACATCCAGGATCAACCAAGCTCGCCCATCTGGCCCTGTGCTGTGATGTAACATGTTGACGCAGGCAGAGAGTTGTAGGTACGGGCAGAGCTTTAGATACAATCAAAATGTGAGTGAAAGTCTGTGAATTTTCGAAAAGCATGCAAGAAATTTCAGGGAAGAGGTGTTGCAATATGAATTCACAAACAGTTGAGTCATTTTGGAGTCCAAATGTTGAGTGTTCAGAAAAGGGAATTACCCCAGTTTAGTAAACCAAAAAAAGTGTTGGTGTTGCTTGCCTCAAAGCCACCAAACTCCAGTGAGAAAAACAGCAATTTTACTTTGCAGAGTTGCTTTAATACAGCTGCATTGATTTGTAGTTTTCTTGTGGTATTTGGTGTCAGTGGTGTTTTGGATGTTAAGCTGACATCCAAAATATTATTAAGGTGAGATAAAAAACACAAAAGCAAGCTGACTGATGTGGTGATATTCCTGTGCAGCATAATGTAAAATGACTGTTTTTACCGATGGAGTTTGGTGGCTTTGAAAAGAGCTTTGTCAAGGCAGTGTTTGGTTTCAAATCCTCTTTCTCTCAAGAAAAAAAGAGCTTCTTTCTCTGCATATTGATATTTTTTTATTGTATATAAAAGTATCTTCAGTTGAAAGTGACAGTGTTGATGAGTTTTGTGGTGATGACTCAAAGCAGTGTGAGGGGTCAGGTGTCAGTAAGCAGCTGAAGAAATTGCTGCGTCACTTCAAATCCTCTCATTGAATCATACATTTGACTGTCAAAAGTCAGCAGGATGAAACTTTCTGTCGGAAGACACTTATAGGACCAGATAACATCATTCTGTGTTTTTACCAAGCTTCGGAGACAAGAATCTTGTCCCTGAATCTTAGTTTAAACAGCAGTTTAACATTAACATTTTATGTCTCCTGACTTTGATATTAAATTATAGGTTAGTCCTTGAATGAAAAACAGCAACAGAAAATATATTAAAGCTCTAGTGAGGAACTTTGATTTTGTCTTAGTTTTGGTACCCTCTGCGGACACAACAGTTATTGCTTTTCTTATCCTCCACATGGCTAAGTATTGTCTTTCCCGGACGATACATGTAAAAAAATGTTTTCTGTGGGTTTAGTAAAAAAGAAAAATCCATAATAAATAAATCTAATCCACTTTGGATTCAGCTTTGGAAATAATTCATCATCATTTTGGCAGCACAGCTGTAGTATTAGCATAAAGAACAAAGAGTTTAAGCGGCAGAACTAAAGCAGATTCAGTCAAATTAATGAGAAAAACACCTCATCCAGCTCCTCTGTGCCTGTGTGTGTTATAAAATAAAGCAGCTATCACTTCAATCCAACCAGATTCTTTAAAATGAAGACAAAGGAAACAGAGTTTTATATCCCCCCCCCTCTCTCTCTGACGTTCCTGCGCCCGCTCGCAGCAGCAGAGATTAAGCAGGTGAGTCTGACATGTTAAACAGGCCGCTCAGTCGCTGATGGCAACATGCGGCTCAGGTGACCTCTCAGCTGACCTGGACTATGATTGTCCGTCCAAAATAACTCAGCCGGCTACGCTTCACTTCACTTCAGTATCAGATACAAGTCCCAGCCAATCAGAGAGCGGCACAACCGGCCTGCTGAGAGTCACTGCCAAAAATGTACCTTAACCTTTCGAGTCACATCCAAACTCTCTTCAAGAGTTTTCCCATGAACGATGTTGCAACAAGGGAGATCATGTTGGTTATCTTTGAACAAGTTCGAGCCAGTTTATTTTTAAATCTGATGACTAAGTTTTCCAGGGAGTTTATGCTGTTTCCCGACTCTGAGATAAAGATCAGAATCAGCTAACACTATCTGACACTCTGCGGACGGCAACAAAGACTTTTTGTGATTCTGCAGAAAAACTGCTGATTTCCATCACTTTTTTTGGCACTTAAAGTCCTCGACAATTAGCTGTTTGCAAAATCAGGCTGTGATGATTAGATTTTATCATGTTTTTTGGCTAATCCTTGAATGACCAAACAAACAATCTTTTCAGAGCCGTAAATGAGCAGGATTTGTGGTTTTATGCTTCTGCCTATCACTCAGATTAGTGAAATAACCACATCTCTCTCTCTCTCAGTTTTAGCCTCAAGAGTTTACAGTTCTTAAAATGCAGATGTTGCTGCAGATATCCTTAAAATTTTTAATCTTTACAGAGACACAGTTGAGCGATAGAGTAACCAAAGTGAGCAACAAAGACGAGCGCCACTAAATCAGTTTTTAAACAAAGGTAAGTTAACCTGTGACTTTTTGAGTAATGGAAATGGTAAAAACTGAACACACTCTCATCTATTCCTATTAGACAGTTTATGGTGAATTGTAGTTCAGGCCATAAATCCAGTTACAATCTGGCGATACAATAAAACTAGCCTCTTATCTTTGACCATTTGAGCCCAATTCATAAACATGTCTCCAAAGACATAAATGGACAGACGAGGGATGTAACGATAAGAAAATTTAACATCACGATTATTGTGACCAAAATTATCACAGTTATCAATATTATCACGGTATTGTTGAAATATGTTCAAAATGTTTAAAAAGTTCTTATACACGCCCTGAAATCATTTAACAGAGTTGTATTTTAAAAACAATCAAAATAACACGCAGAATGAGCTTTTTCTTAACCTTAACAGGGGAACGCTAAGCTTAAAAAATTAAAGATGGATAAAGATTAAAAATGTTTAAAATAACCTAAAATATGTAAACAAATCAAATGAACCACACCGATTGTCCGTTTTCTCCACCATAAGGAGCTACTGCTGACTTCATGCACTACTTGAGATTCAAATATAAAAATGTCAGCATATTTACTTTCCTAGTTTGAGTAGTGATCTGCGAGGGGAAATGATGCGCCCGCTGGCATTGAATAGCCTCTCAGATGTCGTGCTGGTTGCTGGGATGCACAAAAACTTCCTGGCAACCCTCGCAACCCTTTGTAGAAGCCGAAATACGCCCAGACTTCAGACTTTGTTTTTTTTGACAGTGGAAAAATCTCTGCAATGCGCATGCGTGTGGCACGCCTGTGTCCGAACGAAGTACTGCTGTGTGCGGCTGCTCTTCTCAGCAGTGAGCAGTCTGTGAGCTTTACCAGAGTGTGGCAATCAAACATGGTTTTAACGGTAATTAAAAATTGAAATGGTAGTACTAGCCGTCAGACATTTTACCGCGGTTAATCATTTAACCGGTAATCGTTACATCAGATGGTGAACCCAGGAAACTTAATGCCTTTGAGCATGGCTTAATAATCTTAAAAGTATAACTTTGATTTTTAATTTTTTGAGGTGATTTGGGATGAACACACAGGTATGAAAAGTTGAATAACTCTTGTGTTAGTGTTTCCTAACGCTGCCCCTCCTATACGTTAAAAATCACAGCATTCCAGCTGCCAATCATGAAGTCCCTCCCCTTTTTCACAGCATCAAATTAAAACAAAACTTCTCAGAAAAGTGAATATTCGGATATAAATCAGCATAAGAAATAACTATGAAGAAAAGAGTCATTTTTTTCTGTGTATTTTGATTTTTACGTTTGATTCATGTCCCATCTGTTTACATGGAGGAGGTGGGGTTTATGACCTCTACTTAAGCTGGTCAGCAGAGGGGGCTCTAAACATTTTAGTTTCACTTTAAGGGGATGTCGTGCTGATGTAACTTCAACCAACACAATAGTCCAACAATAAGGACAGCGAGGTTGATAGTTTGAAAATGTGGCATTACTCCTTTAATCCTAGCAGCACAACTGGATGATCTTGTTATTTTATGTAAGCAAATGCTGATGTTATAATAATGAATTCAACCACATCACCGCGCCCTGTGAGAGAGCGCTGACACAGAAAAGATGAATAACCTGGAATATTAAACACATTGTTGACATTTCTATCACTGTTTGTTTTGTGGAAACATTCCCAAAGGCCTCCTTCAAAAGCAGTAATCTCATTCGGTAGTCTTTGTTACTTTCTGTATGCTTTATTCATCACCTTCAATTACAATTATAAAACCAGCTGAAGTTGTCTGACAACATGTGCGTCATAGAGGAGCAGAGCCAAAGAGAGCAGCATTAGCGCTTTCTGAAATATGTCTTTAAAGGATTTTCTGCAGATGCTACTTATCTACCAGGCTGTAGTTAAAGGATCACAGAGATCATGCACAGTCACTCACATGTTTGAAGGTGGTGTGAGGGGCCGCTGTGGCCCCCGTTTCCTCCATGTACTCCTCCCAGTTAAACTCCGCCTCCTCTTCCATGGAACCGGCCTCTGAATTCAAGAGAAGATCACACGTTAATCATCGACAACTAAAACAAACAAACAAACAAACCTGTCTTTCATGTAACTGTGACTTTGATTGATTTTGTAGGGTACAAACAGCAATTAAAACATCACTGTCAGTCAGTGTGATAAAAGTGATGCCAAAAACACGGCAGGAATCTCTCTGAAGATGAAGCAGGTTGTTCTTAAGTAATGCAAGAGCAGCTTCCAAAAGTGAGTTTTACCTGCAGGAGTCTGAGAAGAGTTGGTTTAATGTGTCTGTTTTTGTCTATTTGAAGTGACTAAAGATTGCAGCACTGAACCTGCTGTCTCTTCTAAAGAGAGGGGACTTGTGTTTCGATGGATTGTAACGTCTGCTTATTTATTCTTCTTCTTCTCAACACTGTGCGAACACATACTGTAAACACACACTTGTTAACAAGCTGAGTGTTAACAGCTGTCACATTTTGTGTCAAAAGTCGCACCAGGTCTTCTCAGATTTGCCTGCAACACTGTTCAGGTCAACGCAATTCAAGTAAACACTGATAGAGTAAGGCGACCCAAAGAGGCTGAACGATTTCCTGCAAACAACAGAAAAACATCAAATGTTCAATAATAACTTCTTCAAATGTTCTTGTATCCTCCTCTTGCATCACTGAACATGGTTCTCACCAGATACAGGGAGGAAGAAGGGCAATAACTATCTGGTGTTTTCACAAATGATTAATGTACTTATTTATTCAATTTATGTTTGTTTTTTTTTTGTTAATATAATTTAAGAGACTGACTGATATTACTGAGTAAAGAAGAAGGGGTAGGTTTAAAAAAAAAAGCATAATATTTCATCCTACCCCTTTTTTTGGACATGTTGGGTTTGCATTATTATTAGTTCTTTTAATTAAATTTAACTTAATTTTGTTTTTATTTCTACTTTTTTGCTTTGAGTTTACTTTTGATGTTGCACGCACATGTTTGAAAAAGAATAATAAAATGAAAATGAAATGAAATCGTTGTTTGTGATGCTGGTTTCCATTTTTTGTAAGATTTTGACCAAGTTTTCCAAAATGTCTTGTGGTTTCTGTCTGTTTGGCACGTGCAAAGTGAATGTGTGCAAACATGTGGTATACAGTGTGTTATCCGGCTGTTGTATTAAATAGAGAATAGCTCTAAACACAGCTGAATTGCTTGTCTGTTCAAGGGTTGTTTTCACACTAAAAAGTGTCTCAAGTTAAAACATATACTGGATATATTCCATAACCTTTACGTTTAAAGATTTAACAACCTCCGACGAGCTAAAATGTCAGACAGAATTAAGAGAATTTAAAGTAAGATTGCTGTCTGTTGTTTTAATACTTTTGTTTAACGGCTAGGACAGCGGATAGAGTTGGAAACTGGGAAGAGGGAGTGGAGGATGTAACGCAGCAGAGGACTATGGGTCAGATTTGAATGGCGGATGTTCTGAAGCGTCTAATTTCAAAGCCATTTACACACAAATTCAAATTGCAGGTGAAAACAGCTCTGAAAAAAAACATTGCAGCAAACTTTAATATGGAAAACTGTGAATGGGCGAAACAGCCGGACCAGTCCTGAATAAAGAGGAATTATTAAAATCAGAAAACTAAAATTTTCCTTCTTTATACGCAGCTAAAAAGCTTTTTTTTAAGCCTCACCTGTGTTCACCTCCTCTTCTTTCCCATTGGTCGAGTAGTGCGGCTTCATAGCGGTGAGGGCCAGAGGCTGCTCCTGACTCTGAGACTGCATCCTGCACCTCCACGTCCTGCTCAGCGTTAACCTTTGACCTCAGGTGAGTCAGCTCTTCTTCACTGCATCTTTTACTTCTCTCCACAGCCCTGGGACACAAGAGATAAACCAAGTTATTCTGGGTCATTAAAGTCTGACCAACAATGTCTCTTTTTCAGAAACAGTCACTGTTTTAGGGGGATTTTAAAGAACGGTTTTGGCATTTGCTAAAATAAACCTCGGTACAGTTAGAGAGAATTTCCCTGGAAAATTAATCCAACTGACAGGAAATGCTGCTCTTTGCAATTTCTACTTCTTTAGAAAAGACGGCAGAGGAAGTGGGTGGTTTGCATGAGAAGAAACAAACAACAAAGACTGAGCGGGCAAAAAGAGAAGAATACCAACTACAGAAATCTTTAAAAGACTGTAAGAAGTTGAGCAGCAACAACAGTTTCAGAGTGTAAGAAAATAATATCAAATCTCCAGTTTTCAGCTCTCAAACTAATTTTCAGCCTCATTACAGACGAGCAGAAAGCCTGTTATTGTGTGTAATTGCAGACCAGCCTCTGCCCACCCAGCCTGCGCTCTGTAATATCAGGTTATGCATATTGTCTGCAGGCTGCCTGTATTTGCATACCACAGCAAAGCGTCACCAGATAACCAATCAGGGCCAAACAAAGAAGAAAAACTCGAATAGCAGAAGTGTGAGGGTCATGTTGGTGAAGCTTAAATACAGACACTAAAAATTTGTGTTTATACAGGAGGAGTCTGAGCTGGTACATGCTGGGCTGTGATCACTATGATAGATTAAACACATTCAGTTTGACTAATGAGGTCATTAGTTTAGATAATTAATGTAACAATAATTCAATCTATCTTTGTCGGATTCAGTTTAAATTCATAGAAGGAAGAGGCGGTGTACGGTGAGCATTATAATGAATAGTCGTGACTTTTGTGAGCTAATTTTGACAGGGATGTTGGTTTGAAAATGGTCATAACAACTTTTAACTTTCATTAAATTCTGTTTTCTTTATTAATGTCATTTTTACAACAATTCTATGTCGATTTGTAACCTAAGAAAACAAGAGGGATCTCAGCAGCGCTCTTGCGTGGTAAGACGGATCAAACACAACTTAAGCAGGATCATACAGCCTTTGTAGATTTAAAAGGATTCAAGGATCTTTACAGATAAATTAAGTTTGGATCAGATCTTGAATCGTGGAGACCCCCTGTATTTAAGAAGAGAATGGATTAACTATTTTAAAAGTTAACGTTTTTCACTGGAGTTACACTTTTGATTAACTGTAACCACCTCTGGTCAGTGGGTGATTATGCAAATTACAACCCAGCATCACCATGTGAAACCTCACATCACCTTCACGTCAAAATGTTAGGTCCACATTAAAGACAAAACTTTATCAAGATTTTAAAGATTTTTAAAGTAATTCTTAAGTTAAGACAGAAGTCTAAGAAAATCTGGTTGTAATGGTTTGAGATAAAAGTCATAAAGTTATTAGAATAAGTCTAATTTTTACACGAATAAAGTCAATATGTTACAAAAGTAAAATCATTAAATTTTGTGAATTAAGTCGTGATAAAGACATAAGTTTGATTTTTCGGTTAGAAGCCAGCTTCTTGTGCCTAAATGAGAAACGTGAATCATCTTGTTAAAACTGTACTTAATGTTCTGAGACGTGTGGTATAACCCTCAAAACAGGATTATGTGGCGAATCACTAAGTTAAAGCTCCTGTGAGCAACTTTTGGTTTGTGTCAGTTGTGGCGCCCCCTGTGGACAGATGTCTTTGCTCATCTTGTCCTCTACAGCGATTTCTGACACAAAAATGTCATCCTGCTGACTTTGGACGGTCCAATGTGTTAATTATTGTGAAAATTTTATCTGTGAATTATAATTGTAATTAAAATTGTACATTTTTTTCTCATTAATGTGGCCCTTACACTCCATCACATCATTTTAACTCTGCAGGAACAATGCAAGGGCAGCCGTACCATCTGCAAGAGCGGACTGTTAAGCTGAATTTAAGAAAACCACATTTGGATAATTTGTGTTTTTCAGTTAAACCTGCAGAAAAAAACTACAAAATCAAAATATTATTTACTCAGTTTCATTTCAATTAAACGCTAATTCACTTTCAGTTATTTTATTTGTGTTATTAGATCCGAGTTAGATCCAACAAATTCAACAACAACATCATATATCACTCATGAGCCAACCTGCTCTCTCATTACAGGCATAATTTGGACCTCGGTGAAAACCATGTGAAAATGAACACTGAGGGATGCCAAGTTACAGCCTGCGCAGACTTTTTTTTCTGAACAGCTCGTATTGGGTTATGCAGCATATGTTGGAACATGACATTTTTATGCCAGGAGCGATATTAACCTCCTCTATTCTATAAATCACATTCTTAATCTATGATCGTATCACATCCTTGAACACTTGTCAGGAACTGTTGGTTTAATCCACTGTCGTTTATCATGTTATCATTTAAGGGGGAAGTTGATGTTTGATAGCAGCTACACTGACGAGTCGTCTGCACACACGACTTATTAATCAGTTTAATGAACCCAGATATTGGCCGATACCAATTATTTCAAATTGATATATATTGGCCCAATTACAGCAGACTGAGAAATCAGTCAAAAGGGCAACAACATCCAACAAAAACTGGTATCTATACAGATGTTTAAATCAGGACTGAAACTACCACTGGTTGGTCTGCGAATCAACTCAATGATTCATAGATGTAATAGTGAAGAATAATTATTTTACGTCCTTACGTCCTGTGTACACTTTTGTGTCTAAATCCAAAAGATTTTTCAATCAAACAAGCAGTTTCTCACGTCGCAGAAGGATTAAACAGTAAATATTTGGTCGCTGAAAAGCTGGTTAATGATGAAAATATTTAAAATCTGTTAAATAACTAAACATCTGCACTCTTAGTAGTACACCATAGATGTTTTACAGATACGCCAGCAGTGAGAATGAAAGATCATAAAGACAGGTTTTCTTGGGATTGAGTCCTGAGCTTAAAAGTCACAAATATGAAGTTTAAAGGAAATCAGACAAACTGGTTTAAATGATAAATGTTACAGCACAAATAACTCGAGGCAAAAACAGACTGAAAAATGCATCAAAAAGTGGTGAATTTGAGAATAAAAGCAGCACATCATCTACCCATGAAAACAATCCTCCTCACAACAACAGACCCTGTGTGTCACTCGCCTGGCGTTTGTCCTACAGCCGGTCACGCAGTCACATCACTAGTGACTCACTCCACCACTTCCACCCACTTTCATCAATCCGACAATTAACACAGAGGCACACCGCTGTCACACATCAATCCTCAAATCAGGCTCAAAACAACTCCAGGAGCAGGTTAGTGCTGTCAACTCTGACATCCAAGAGAGGAGAAAATATCCTTAATCTGTGATTTGACATCCTGAGATGATCCAAAGAAAGAGGAAAAGTGAGAATCCAACAATCCTCAGAGGGGAAAATATTGAATCCAGCGTCAAAAACACCCTGAAATCCTGAGAAAAATTTAAGCACTCAGACAATGCTGGAGCTGCAGAGAGAGAGCCGAGGGTATTTACAGAACTGTGAGTCTTCAGAGGCAGCATGTGTGTATCTGTGTGTGTGCCACCTCCCACCTCCTCTACACACAAACACACACACTCACACACAGACCCCTGACGTCCCACAGTGGCTCCGGCAAACATCCATTGCGTAAACAACAAGCTGAGCTAATTTGGCTCACATGACGCTCTCCGCTCGCTCTCCGCTCGCCCCTTTCTCCTCAGCGTTTTCTCTCCTAAGTGCCCCACAGTCTGCAGCAGCACTGACACATCGCTGTCGTCAGCATGCAGCCCTCTACAGCGCTCATTAAAACTCATTAAAGTGCACTCCAACGCCCTGAATCAAATAGTGCGGGGGGGAGTTCACACAGGACCAATTGAGGCTGGGTATTCAGTTTTAGAGTCCCCCAGAGAGGCTGTTTTTTCCCCATTCCTCATTTAGATATACCGCATCTGCTCGTCCGACACTTTATTAAGCTTTATCAAGATGAGGCACCACATTACAACCAGGGAGTTCATATGTAAATTAAGCTGAAATTAATGTGGAAACAATAAGTCGCCTGATCTGATTGGATACTACAGAGCAATCAACGCATCCAGATTTAAAAATGTGACATTTGGTCCTTTTTTTCTGTCAAATACAACCGAAACTTTTTCTCTTTTAAACTTTTTGGATGGTTAAATGCATGAAACAGGTTATTTTGAGATCTTAAACTCATCCCTGAGATCATCTTCCACTGTTTTCAGACATTTTATAGTCACACTATTCAAGTTTTTATAACAATAACATGTTTTAATCACTATAACTTATGGAAGTTTGATATATTACCATGATTAAAAGACTTCAATGGCAGTTTCTAAGTCCAAATTAACTATGCAATCCAATTCTTACTAGTTTTTTTGGTTTGTGAATCAACTAAATGCAATAAAATGCACATTTTGATGCTAAAATATTGATTTAATAAAGGCTCTACTGTTGAAACTATGAATTCCAGGAAGCGCATATTCTGTTTTTTCTTACTAATAAGGCTCTTTCACATTCAAATCTCTACGTTTGCATGTATTCCAATGATGTCCAAGGATTCCTGGTGATTGCAACAACACTTTAACTTCTTAGGAGTTCCACTTTGATTGCTTTCTCTGTTTCATACTATGACCTGCAACTGTACGGCATGAGTGGTCACAACATCCCACCCAAGAGTCTTCAACAGTGTTGACTCGCCTCTAGTGACCTACTCAAATCAAATCAAATGTTATTTATATAGCCCCAATTCACAACAGTCGTCATCCCAAGATGCTTTTCAAAGAACAAGGGCAGGTCTAGACCACGCTCAATGTTTGATGAATTAACAAGAACCAACCTAAGATGGGTTTTGGCTCATCTCATCAAACAATCTCATCTATTTACCTACTGAACAACCACTTCTTAAATCTAGTTTCATCTAGAGATCTGTGGCTCCAAATTCGCTCTCTGTTGGTTTTGAGGATACGGCTTCACGCTCACATCAGTCTCTTTATCTCATAGCTTGTTGCTAAAACTGGAAGTTTTTCCTTTTGACTCGTCGACTGAGCCATCTGGGACTTTTTGAGTGAAATGTATTTCCCACCACAGAACCAAAAGCTGCTTATCTATGCTGTAAGGGACAAAAACCTGCGCATTCATTTTGGACCTTAATCACATCATGCTAAACACGTTTAAGCCGACAGCCCTGAACGAGTACATTTAATTGCTGCCTGCATTCTTGTGATTTGCCTTTATTGCATTGAAACACAAGAAAAACTACCTTTAATTTGAAGGTTTTAACAACTACATCAAAAGCAGAACATAAAAACTGCAGCCCTCTCATTGTCCTCCATGCTGTGCAGAAATTGGAGGCAATAAAAAAAGAGAAAAGGCTTATTTTCCTACATTTGTTGCACACTGTAAAACCTTCAATTGGTTTCATTTTTAATCCAGTTCACTGGAATTATGAGACAAAAAAAGGAGGAAGTGTGTCACTGCCCAAATATGAACTGCATTGCTCATTTCCCCTCAAAATTCACTCTGACATATTTATTGTCTCTGCAAACTTCCAGAGAAAAGGTCACATATTTTACGCTTCTTATCAAGTTAATGCAGCTCCCGGAGATCCTAAAGAATGTTCTCATTTCAAAGCAGACTCACATTTATGTGCAAAGGCATTAAACAGGAGAGTATGTCACAGCGAGGGGGCCTGTGAAATAGATTTTCAGTGGGTGGGAGCAGCTCAAACTTGACTTTTAGGAGGAGAACCCAGCAGGGTATACAAGACTCTCTGAACACCAATCCCTCTAACAAAAACAGGGCGCACTTTGATAGGAAATGACACCCAGAAAGTCGAACCTTAATGGTTTTTTCTGCACTGTCAGCATGTTGAGTCATCGCTTCATTTGGCTCCTCACTGGTTAAACAAGTTTTTAACCCTCAGGGATGAAATAACATTTACAGTCTTTGTTCTGAAGGTGACTGTCAATATCTCTGAAACGAGCTGCCTTTTCAGAGCAGGGTTTGTTGTAGTTGGTGAAGCCCTCTGGCCTGGAGGAAACAGCCCCAGATTGGGCACTCGGGATTAAGCCGGTCTGGGAGAGTTAATCTCAGACGCGGGACATTTGTGCCCCGCGGATTGAGAGCAGTTTTTTTTATTGATTAGCCCCGAGTGGGGCGCTGAGCATCCACATGTTGTCCTCCTGCCTTTCCCTAAACCCATCCATGCCAAAGATTTAATGGGGGATTTAGGAGATTAACTACCACTGCATGGGCTTGGGTTTTATTGCATTACTGCCTATTAGGTCCTCCTCTTTTAGCCCCATCCAAGAGTTGTTTCCTCTCGGTATCAGGAGGCCTGATACAACAATTTGTCCTCTGTTTCTTTCTCTGGTTTTTAACATGTGGACACAATGTAGCCTGTGTGTTTTTCACCCGATTAGTGCAGCTTGTGATGCTAACAGAGATCAGCTAACTATCAAATGATGAAGAGCAAACAGGGAATGCCTCCAGAGGACCACGAAAAAAAAAACAGCAGAAGAAGAAGAAAACAGAGCCACAGCCAGAGAGGGGGGAAACTCCCTCAGCCCAGTATTTTCTTATTTCAACATCAATGACTGGAAACCACTTCCAAAACACACACACACACACACACACACACACACACACACACACACACACACACACACACACACACACACACACACACACACACACACACACACACACTTATGAAAACAGGAGAGGTTGAATCTGATATTTGACTAAGTCCTCCCTTTATTCAAATATAGGCAGAGAGAGAGCCTGTCCACAGAAAGAAAGAAAGAAAGAAAGAAAGAAAGAAAGAAAGAAAGAAAGAAAGATAATGCAGTGAAAAGGACAGACACAAAAGACACAAAAACAGGGAAACGGCAGGAACGACTGAAATTAATAAAAACAGAAACAAAAACAAACAAGACAAAAGGACAGAAAAAGAGAAGAAAGACAGAAAGATGGAGACGGACATGATACAGGAGTATAGATAGAGGTGGAAAAAAGACAGGACCATGCGTTGACAAAAACAAGAAAAAACAGGTGGATGAAGCAGTTGAGGGGGATAGTGACGCAAGAAAAGAGCAACAAATGACTCACTTAAACACCAAAAATCAAAGAAAACTTCAATCTTGTTTGTCTGTCCAGTTTCTCTTTTTCTTTAAGACAAACTAAAAACAAGAAGACAGAGTCACCAAAAGACAGGCTGAGAAATGAAAGAGAAAGAGACAGAAAACTGAATAGAAAACAAAACTGGAAGAGAGAGAAAACTACAGAAGAGATACAAGAAGAACGACAGACTAGAAAAAAAAAAACAGAAAAATGGAGACAGACGAAATAAGAAAGAAAAACAGGATGAAGGACAGACAAACTAACAGACAAAAAAGGAGTGAGAGACACAAACTCAAGGACGGGCAAAGTGGAAAAACAAACAGACAGATAGACAAACTCAAGGAAAGAAAGGAAAGAAATAAAAGACAGAGAGAAAGACAGAAACAAACTGAAGACAGACAACAGGAGGAAAGAGAGAGATGGACACATGTGTTGGAAAAAGGGAAACAACAAAAAAGACAAAAAGGAAAGGAGAGAGAAAGAGTGAAAAACAGCAAAACAAAGGAAAACTCAGAAAAAAGGACAGAAAGAAGGACAGACAAACTTAATGATGGAAAAACAAGGATGGAAAAACCTACAGGAAGAAAGAAAGAAATAAAGAAGAAAAACTAAAAGACAACAAAGCAGAAAGACTGATGGAGAAACACTGAACAATGAAGGAATGAAAGGCAGACAAATGAGAGGAAATCCAGACAAACTTAAAGAAAAGCAAAAAGATGGACAAAGCTGAGGACAGACAAAGAAAGAAAGAAAGAAAGAAAGATAGAAAGATAAGAAAAACAGAGAAAGACAGAAACAAACTGAAGACAGACAACAGGAGGAAAGAGAAGGATGGACAGATGTGTTGGAAAAAGAAAGAAATAGGGAAAAAGACAAAAAGGAAAGGAGTGAGAAAGAGGACAAAGCTCTGAAAGCTAAAAAAAAACTGAGTGACGCACGAGAGACGCAGGCAAGAGAGTGAAAAACAGCAAAACAAAAGAAAACTCAGAAAAAAAGGAAAGAAAGAAGGACAGACAAACTTAAGGATGAAAAAACAAGGATAGAAAACCCTGCAGGTGGAAAGAAAAAAGACACAAAGAAGAAAAACTAAAAGACGGAAAAGCAGAAAGACTGATGGAGAAACATTGAACAATGAAGGAATGAAAGGCAGACAAATGAGAGGAAATCCAGACACGCGTAAAGAAAAGCAAAAAGAACAACAAACTTGAGGACAGAGAAAGAAAGAAAGAAAGACAGAACGAAAGAAAGAGAAAAGCTTTCAAGAAAAGGAAGGATAGAGCAAACCGACAGAGGAAAGAGGAGTGCAGACAAAGCTAGAAACAAGAGCCAAGGACAGAGAGAAAAAAGACTGAAAAACCAAGAACGAGTAAGAGAAATCCAGACAGAGGAAGAGAAAGAAGAGAAAGAAAGAAAAGCTTGGATTGTAAGTTGATTATTTTCCTGTAAAGACCCTCCTCTCTCTCTCTCTCTCTCTCTCTCTTTCTCTCTGTCTGTTCCACTGATTGTCTTTCTTGAGAAACACTCACAGCCAGATTAACACACAATGTCTTATCACAAACAGCTAAATGATAAAAAAATGGCCGTTGGTGGTTCTTACAGAATAAAAGCCACATAACAAACCAACAACAATGTGCAGCAAAAACCACTCCAATCTCTCCATACCAGGGGGGGAATAAATAACCCTCTTATTGACCATTATTCTTTCCACCAAAGTGCTCCCATTTCGGCATTTCTCCACTTAAATATCTTTACAGCAACAAGAAGTATTCAGGCAGGATTTATTCAATGCACATCGGCGTGCGTAACGTGCAGTCTTTATTGTTTCTCTTCATTATGGTGACGAATTTAATCTGGAGGAGGAATCCGGGAATAATGCAAAGCTGTAAAAACCCCGGATTTACAGTCCTCTCCGCAAAAAAATGAGAAATAATCAAACAGATAGGCGCGGTTTAATCCAATTATCTGCTTAATCATTACGAATTTACCCCAAAGAGACACAATAAACTGGAGAGAAATATCCAGTCCGAGTGTGAAATCCTCCATTATTTCCACGCAGAGATAAAGAGGCGTAAATGTGATCAAAATGTGGTCTAAAAAGCAGAGGTATCGTGAGAGCTCGAGCATTTTTTGGTTGGATAAAAGTGAAAGAGGAAACGTTGAGTGCACATGAGGAAGATGAGGCTGAGGGGTGTAGCCGAGCAGCAGGCAGACAGGCAGGCAGGCTGGCACTCCGGTCGTGTACTTTGCACACTCAAAACTGCAGCGGAAAAAAACTCCCACGGAATCGCCAAATGCTCGCTTTGAATTTAATTCATTAAACCTCGTGTTTGTCCACCAAAAGAAACAGAACCGGGCGCGTTATCTGTCGTCGTTTTATTTTTTCCTCGTTCAAAGATTTTAAGGCGCAGTTTTTCCCCTCGAACACCATAACCCGCCATGTTGAAAGTGGTTTGACATTTTGGCAGTGTCCGGTATTTTCCAGCGGCTTTTACGCACCTTAAGGTGACGGGGAAAAAATCGCATATGACTCATATCTATGTAAATGACCTCAATAAGTAATTTCAACGCGAAGATATACGGGCAAGTCGAAAATGCGCCAAACAAAATTGCGCTTTTGTCCTTAAACACAACATTAAACCACCTTAAAATGACATTTAGGCCACAGCTTGTACAAAACGGTAAAATTAACCTTATTTACGATGAATTTAGAGGCGCAAACAGTGCAACAAAACAACGCAATAAACCGTTTTACCACGCGTGCCACGAGACTGCGTCCTCTCCGTGGGTGAAAGCTGTTAATTACACACACTTTGAACAACTTGAGCTCGTGAATTTTTTCTCGTTTCTACAGAAACCGCCTCGGGAGCACTTCAGGGAAGAAGAAGGAGGAGAAAGATAACTCTCCGTGTGTTCATTTCGTCGACATAACCAAAATTACAAAAGGCAGCAAGCACCGGAAAAGCATGTCGCGAGAGCCGGAGCCGTCACCTGTCTTACCTGGACAAGTTTTTTGTCGCCTCTCCTTCACGAGACCCCCTCTGTTTTTTCTCTCCCCTCTCGCTCTCTCTTCCTCTCTCTCTCTCCCTCTCTCTCTCTCTCTCTTCTCCTCGTTTGCGTGAGCTCGAGCAAAGCAACGCGAGCGACGTCTTTCAGCTGCTGCTGCTGCTGCCCCTGTTCCAATATGGCATCTCCCCTCTGCGCATGTCCAAAAAACATCTACAGATATTTTTCGAGCCAACTCCTTCACGGACCTTTTCAGAGCAGCCGAAAAAAGTGTTTTTTTTCTTCAGCCTGGTACAAAAAGGGAACTGAAGACGCCTACAAAACCAAACACACCACACTAAAAAAAAAACTACCTCTTACATAACCTAAAAAAAAATATTTTTAACTCTTGAGATAACTGAAAAAGCCCTTAAAAAGAGTTTTTAAATAAAGTAAAAATCATTTTGGTACATATACATACACATTAGTATGGGTGCCTTTTAAGACTCCTGTAAATAAAAGTATTTTTTTATGGGTCTATTTGTCTATGTATCTGTTTTTTTCTCTCTTTTTCTTTCTTTTTATATTTTGTCTGTTTCTCTCTCTGCTATTTGGACTTGAGCCTGTAATAAAATTCATATATATACTTTAAAAAATGTTATCTTTTTAAGTATTTCTCAAAAAGTTATTCCACTTTGTGCATAATTTTATCTCCAGGCATTAACATTAATGGCCCCATACACAAAAATACAACTCCCATGACCACCGAGCCAAAATGAAGCGATAAAATTTCATCACTTCCCACAACCTTACTCGCTTCTGTGCATGAATATTGCGCCAAAAGTCAATAATGAATGACTTTTATGAGCGTTTGCACTTTGAGCTGTTCATCCTGCAATATTGAGCAATTTTATTTGGCAGTTTTTGGCAGTCGCTCATCTGAAATTGCTCTTGAGAAATCCTTGTAGTTTCAAAACGGTCGCCTCTTGTTAAAGTCAACAGTATCCTCTAGTGGTCGCAGTGTATTTCACCACGGTAACGCTAGTGGAAGGTTGGTTCATGTTTCCATGAAGGTATTTACTTACTCTGCATTCAAGGTGAGTTGTTTCCACCTGTGTAGATGAGTTGTAGTCTCTGTGCAACTTTTTTGCCAAATTAAACCCTCGAGGTGTCCTGAAACTTCCCACATGGAAACTGAAACCTAAACGACTCTGGTCACTACCAACTGACACGTGGTTTGACAACGTTGTGCCGTTTCTGGCACGTACGAGATATAAGCAGCTTGTTTCAGGAAGTTTATATTTGAACCTAAAAAGTCAAGGATCTGTGTGTCGTGTCTGTTTACAGGACTCTATCGCTGTTTTTGGTTTCCTTGCACGATCTGGTGGAAATCCCCCTCAAAGTTCCCCTAACTTTGATCCAAATGTGTAAAACGAAATTGCCAAAGGAAAAAAAACCCTTTGAGTCTAAAAAGTATCTGAACTTATTCACCTTCTGCAATGACACTGCTGTATATTTTTGTCCTGTTTTACTTGATGTGGTTCTGTTCATTGAGGGTAGGAGAAAAAACACGTTAAAACTCTTTTCCTGAGTCAATGACAGGATACTGACAAAGTACGGGAGACCAGACATGGTTGTAACACATTTTACTTCAGTCACTGCAACTTGTTAAATTATTAAGCTAGTATTGTGGCTTTCTTTGTACCTTTTAAAAGTCGCTTGAGGCAGAGACTAGGTCCTGTATATTTGTGTGACACACTGCTGCTGTTCCAAAGAAGCACCCCCAGTTCATCAAAGTTTTTGGAGCTTTAATAACAGAAAAAAATGCTTCCACAGTGGCCAATGATTACACACGAACATCTGATAGAATATGTATACACTTTGCGACGTGTATCATTGCAAACAAAGAACATAAAGTGAGGTCAACAAAAATTGCGGCATCCTAGGCTCACCTCTCCACCCCAGTGCAGGTGAGCAGAGCAGCATTATGGCTCCTACAGCTAGAGTTCTCATATTTTTTAAGACATAACCTTATTTGTTTTATGCAAAGTAAAACAACATAGTCCAGTTTTAATCTGCATTTGTGGCCACAGAGATGGACTGTGTTCAGATGATCAGAATTGGTAGTGGTTTTGAGCCTGTGCAGTGACTTCCACTGCAGAGACATGTCTGTTTTAATGCATTGTCACCACAATCATATTGGTGTCAAAACCTTTTGATGACATTTCGTACTGTAGATGATGAAATCCCCAAACTCTTTGCAGTTTTATGCTGAAGAGCATTATTCTGAAATTGTTGAGCTATTTGCTTACACAGTCCTGGAGTGGTGAACATCTTCCCATCTTTCTTGCTAAGACACCCTGTTTTACATTCAGTTGTGTTGCTAACTTGTTGCCAATTAACCTCATTAGTTGGGCAGCGATTGCTCTTATTTTTTCATTTTCTATTTTTTTGCAGTGTTTTCATCTTTCTCAGTGATGTGGTTCAGATGATTCGCAAACCAAGTTCTGCCTTTATGAAGTTTTCAGAGTCTGGGATCCCCATGCTACAACCCTTCCCTGTCTCCCCTATAGGGGAGATCGGGCTAAGGTGAGCCATTTCTCATATTTCAGATCACTACATCAAGGCAATCATAGTTTTGTCTCTAATTAGTCTATCTGCATATATTTCAAAATGTTGTGCATCCCCGCAAACCAACAGATTGAGTGTAAACATAACTGTCTTGATAATATAGCATGCCAAAAAAGTGGTCTCCTATGGTCAACCTACCCTGTGTATGGGGTAAATATTTTGTCACATGATCAATTTCTTTCACCATTTCCAAGCAACAACTTACGTGGCTCAACTTACCCTTTGGCTCAACTTACCCCACTCTTCTCTATCCTTAAGATGTAAACCTCAAAACAACTGCTTTCCTGTGGCCTATGAACATTTGAGTGACTAAAAAGTAGCTGGAAGTTAAGAGAACTCCGAGACATATTTGTCGACTAGTTGTTTAAAAGATCAGTCCAACAGACCATCATTTCTTTTACAATTTAAAAAACTAACACTCACAGTTATGGCTTCGGACCAGCTACAAAACAGAAAGATCTGGGTCTTGAAACATGAAAAAATGAAAATAAAAAAATAAAAACGTGAGAAGAGCTGTACAACAGGAAAGTGGTAGCTGCTTGAAAGCAATGTTTTATTTTGAAGCCTGTAAAGGGGAAGTCAGGTTGAGTGTTGTTTATACGGAGGTGGATCTGATTCATGAAGACACAAAGGACTCCTGCAGACAGGAGATGAAGAGGCACTCGTGCCGGTGTGATACCACTGGGGGAACAGATGGTTGGAGCGTGCGCCATGCCCTATTAATCTGCCAGAGAAGAGGCTTTCCGAGCGCAATAGAAAGGATTATGCCCCCCTCCCTGCCCCTTTGTACAACACACACACACGCATTCACACGCACATACACACACACACAGGGTCAACATGAGCACGAGCCCGCAGCCACCCTGCACGAGGTAGAGGACAAGGATTTTGTTTTGGCAACACATGTAAACGGTTCAAGTTTAGGAAGGTTTTAGAAAAAGGAGTTCCTTTTGCAGATTCAGTGAACTCTTGTGGAGCCTTAAAAGTAAAGAAACCTGAAGGACTGATCCAGATGAAATCCTTTAATGTAATTTGGGAAGATTTTTATTTAGGGACACTAGTTAAAGCTTGAATCAGAATCTCAAGATATGTTGAATATAAACAATGCTGTCCCTTTTAATGAGTAAGGTTTGGTTGTAGCCCATGCTTAATTACCAGGGGCTGATCCAGAGGACCAGCCAGGGGTGGCCTGACCCATTCCTCGAACTGATCACACTGTAACTTTTAAAGGGATATTTTGGCATAAAATTAAGTTAGGGTCAAACACACCTGAGTAAGACACCCCCTCGAGAGATGAATGTTGCCGACCCCTTGCTTCTCTAGTTATACCAACTTTAGTAATGACCGCACGATAGCACTACACAGAGGTCTCAGGAGGTGACACAGCTCAAGGAAGAACATTTATGATCATTTCTCTATCATTTCCTTGAAGTAATAATCACCATATTAATCATTTTGCACTGCAGACGCAGTAGTTCTCCCGCCTTAGCATCTCAGTCTGATTGCATTTTCATGAAAAAATTATCATAATGTTCTTCCTTTAGCTGCGTAACCCCGCAGCACTCCATAATGTACTGGCCTGAGGTCTCGCTACAAACAAGTGGCTGCTGGAAGAGAGTAGGTGAGTTGTGTTTAGTCTCTCTGCTAAAGAAATTAGGCAAAGTTAAAAAGATGTTTGGTGGCTAGTGCTATGGCTGGGACCCTGTATGTACTGTTGATGAAGTTAGGTGCTGTTCTGAGCATTATTTGTGGCTATAGAGTGGCTTTTTGGTTGAGGTTGGTTTATGACTCCTCGGCAACATTCATCTATCGAGGAGGTGTCTAACTCAGTGTTTGACCCTAAATTAATTTAACGCCGGAATATCCCTTTAACTGTAAAAGGCCAGAAGCAGAACTGCCTTGAAGTTATTTTGGCCTGTTTTGTTGCCTATTTGTAGATAGCTTTCTTTATCTTTTGGCATTACTTAAAATTGTAACATTGGACATACAAATATTTACAAGTGTTTCAAGATTTAGATTTAGGACACCAGTTAAAACTTGAATCCAGAGTCACAAAGCAATCTGCTTTAACTGTGATTCAAATGAACTGTGTAGAAAAGCAATGAAGGTGCTGGATCTGCTTGTTAAATGCCCAGAGCTATAGAGCTATGGCCTTTAATATTAAAGTTGTAAATGTTGCTGTGTCAATGCATTCTTCATGTTTGATCTTTTGTGCAATTTTACACCAACTTTAGCTTGAAACATTTCTCATTTTTTACTTGTAAAAATAGGTTTAAGCTCATGTTTGGTCACCAGGGGTGGATCCAGAGGAGTGGCCAAGGGTGGCTTGTGCCCCACCTTAAACCGGCCACCCCAAACCCTAAACTATGACTGGCTATGGTCAAATTAGAGGCAGAATTGGTCAGAATTGGTCTTTTGTTTTTCCCAGAAGCAAATCAACATTTCTGATTATTCATCATTTTTACACAGAAAAACATTTGTGAAAATAATTAAAGCTTGAATCAAGTTGGTAGGTGACTGTGTTTTAGCATCCTCTTAGCATAACTAATCAGCTCCTCTAAATTGGATCCTGTCGGCCTTGGTGTTGGCTCTCTGCCTACCTGTCTGGCCTCAGGTAAATAATCCCCTGAAGTCTCTAAATTGGCCTACATGAGATTATTTCTACAAGAATCACCCCCTCTTTTTATCTTCCTCTCTATAAACACAATTTGATGTATTTAACACAATAAGTCCAACAGACTTTGAACCCCAATATTTAATTTATTGCATCTTCACGTGAGCAGCTATTTGCCTGGAGTCCTCGTGCACGCGGTGATACGGACGACTGACTGCCAAGCAAAAAGTCTCGGATGGCCTCGCGCACATTCAAGGAATTCTGCTGCGAAAACCGCACAGACGTTTACGTCAAGGTAGCCGACGAACAACAGGAAAAGGGGTCATTTTGTTTCAAAAGTAAAACAGCATAGAAAAAAAGGGGAACTAAAACTAAAGAATAGTACGGTGGCCCTGAAGGTAAACTGCATGAAAATATCATGATGTTAAAATATATTAAACTGCTGAAAGTCGAGTCTACTGAAAGTTTTAAGAAAGAAGTAAAAACCTATCTTTTTAGACAGGCTTTTAACTGATGTTGACGTTGTCGGGCCTCTGTGAAGTACTTAAATCTGTGCCATTATATGTATTGTGTTTCTCTGTATTCTACTGAATTTTATCCTTATTGTAAGGTACTTTGTGATTTTATCTATGAAAAGTGCTATATAAATAAAATTTACTTACTTTCTACTAACTTAAAACCACTTGCAGTTTTGTAATATTTTTGTAGTGTTTTTGGCTTTTTTATGGAATATTTTTGTCAAAAAATGTGATACGTAAATAGATGTATTTTCAAGAAATCTATTCTTTTTGTGTTTTTATATTTTGTTGACATTAAAATATTGTGCCTTTGAACTTGATGGCCTTCAAATAGGGATGGTGCAATTTGGTGTAATTCTTTCAAACTTTGCCAAAATTACAGTTTTATATGGCTTATAAAAACTACAGGGCAATACAGGTACATAAACAGTTGGTAGCAAAAAACTACAAAGGCAATAAATATTATACTATATCAGCACAATAGCCAATGGACAGCCATATGTACAGAACACATTAAACTGGGTTGATGTATGTAGTAGTCTTTTACTAAAAAATTGACAGTGGTATGGTTTAAATGTCAATTTTTCTTATTTGATACAAAAGCTGTATTTTATTAGAACAGTATTTATGTGCCTCTTTGCAGAAGGTACACTCTGCTTTTTACAAAAATTACAATTACAGGGCAACCAGTTTGTAGAATAGAATAGAACAGAATATTCCTTTATTGACCCCCCCCCCCATGGGGGAAATAACCTGCCTGTGGCTGTTTTAACTTTTCCTAATTTAATCTTATATTTTTCTTCTTCTGTGTTTCACTATCTAAGTTAGATATGTTCATTAACACATTTTAAGTATGCATTACAAACATTTTTACTTGACTATTTTTTTAATTTTCCCACTTCATGCGCTTTTATTTTGAAGGATTTCACAGGAAGCTTGACATTCAGTTGATTCTACTTAACAGTTTGTGTTTTTCTTTGACAAAAACATGGATGTGAGTCATAAAAATCGACCCTGTCGACTTGCCTTTGCATCATGAAATGTAGCAGCAGTCTCCGGATATTTTTTCGCAGAAGTTTTTCCTTGAACTGATCGCTGGAAATTATAAATCCGGCGGTTTGTTTTCCACCTCGGTAAGAGAGGTTAAGCTCTTCTTTGCCCACCGAGGCTGAGCTCCTTTTGTCTCCAGCGTCTGTGTGTTTTTTTTCACCGTGTCAACATGGATATGTACGGATACAGCGGGGTCTTCTTGGTGAAAAGATTTCTGGACAAAGACGTCTTCGAGGTGACAAACATGTCTGACATTAACAAGGCGAATCCACACGGCTGCGATAACGGAGCTCTGACGGACAGGTTCGGCGTCCTGATCCAGGGACTCCTGGCTATTGTTGCCTTCAGTACGCTGATGTGTGAGTGTCTGATCCGTTCATTCTTGTGTGTCTGTAAACACGAAAATATCACATTATTATAGTGTTAATTTAGGCAGAGGATGCTCGAAATACAAAGTCATTAAACTCAATTTTAAAAACCTGCGCGTGTCCACGTGGCGTTTTGTTGACGTTTGTTTGGACTGAGCCTCATTAGCTGCACACCAAACCCCTTTTAAAAACACACTTATTTAATGTTGCCGTCCTGTTTACTAGATTGAACTTAGACAATCTTTCAAATTTTCTTGACAAACACAATTTTTTAACCTTGTAAAACAAATCCGGATATTTTGTCAATTGTTTCTGTAGTGCCTGATCAGCGTGGCACCAAACTCCATTGAAAAACATCTGCTTTTTATTGCACATTACTTCCCCATGTTAAACTCGCAACGTGTATTGTTTCTGCATCTGCATTTGGCCTGTATTGGTTTCTCATTTGTTTCTGCATAAATTACAGTCTCCGAAATTCCTCAAATATGATAGAATTATGTCTTTTTTGTTTAACACCATCTTATAGACATCTCCCACGTCCACAAACATAAAGAGTCATGGCATGTACATATATTCTAACACACTAAACCTCTTTTGGTAACATATTTTAAAGCCGAATCTGACATTGAGACACAAATTAAAGTATCCACAATCTAGGTTCACCATACCTCATAGAATATGCTTGAAAATAGAGAAGCATTAAAAAGGAAGTATTTTTTAAAGGACGTTTCGATAGGGGTAAAACTTGCCAACATTATTATAATGCAATCCTTGTAAGCTTTTACAGTAAGCAAATCATCAGCTGCTGTTAAACTAATGTACCATTGTATTTGAACTTGTACTCCAGGGATTGTATATGTCTTTTTCTTTTTATTGCACAGAATTTCAGTCATGGTTTCAGAGAACATGTAGTATTCGTTGAAATATGTGCATGATTCAGTCACACTTGCTTGTGACCTGAACAGCAAAACAAGATGTTCCTTATTGACAGCCAACGCTACACAGTGATCCCTCTATACAATGCCCATTGACAGCCAATTAGGTTGTGAATCAGTGGCTGCTGACTTGGAGATGTTCTGCAGTGAGACCATGTTTTGTGCTCCTGCAGCAGTTGAGGCAAAAGGTGTTCATATCTGAGATCATTGGACACTGCATCAAGTGATGTAAGAGTGCTGGGAAATTTTGTGCAGTATGCGATGATGCACGGCACTCAAATGCAACCTCATGATAAACTGCTTGAAAACATCCTCCATAATAGATGAACTCTAGCTTCAGTCATTTTGGCTCTGTAGGGATATAATTACATGCAAACTTGAGCACTTATTTGTAAAGTGGAAACTTAACTACTTTGTAGAATGCTCTTCTTTGCTGTTGTCTGAGCAAAGAGCCTTTAAAATGCTCTTAGAGTGAAGGAAAATATACCTGATATTGTTCCATGATTCTGTATCGACTCTTAAAAACACTTGAAATGAATATATTACATTCAAAGATTTCAATATTTGCTGATTAAACCAATGGGGATAAGATGCAATTCTAATTTTCCCAACAGTACCAGCCTTGCATCAACATGTGGTTGTTAGTGATCAGGACACAAGTGACTTGCTTTAAGTAAGAGCCTTCAGACTTCACATGAACCATCACTCTCCAGTGATCAGATCTCAGCCTCTCTCTTTAGATGCAAATTTACTCTCTCTGAAGACTGAGCCTGTTAGTATAAGCCAGGCATCAAGTGATCATTGCTGCAGATACAGGGAGAGTGGCCGAGGACATGAGCGTAAATGACCATGTCTGGGTTGCGTTACATTGGGTTATTCTATCATTTTATAACATGACTGATAATTATGTCAGAAGCAATTTTAAATGGCATTATTCTCTATATCATGGCAGGATCAGTAAAGGCTGAGGGCTCGAATCTTATTTCTCACTATCTTTCCAACACTAATCAACTGCAGCCACATTGACCAGACTGCCTGCAGTGTCTGCAGACGTTATTGTTTGTTTTTTGTTTGTAGATGTGATGCATGATACCATTGGCATGATGTTGGTATTGACAGATGACAATCACTTAAAAATAAATGATTGATATCAGTAGATGTGGAATTTCAGCAGATACGATTATTAGCCCAAAAGGTGATGCATTTAATACATGCGTGAAAAGACAGCTCACACACATTGGCTGTATGGAGGTGCTGGAAACAGACAGCAGATGAATGTGTCATTAAAGAAAGAATATAATGATCATTTATGGTAAACTTGAATGTTGTTTATCTTGTTTTAAGTGCAGTTCTAAAATACCTTAAATCCTATAATATAGGCACACCCCTTAATTTGCTTTTACTGCCGTAGGTGCCAGGCCTTTATATGAAGCAGGCCTTTATTTAAGATTTGAAGTGTCTTCATACTGACCTCTTCAGAGTTTTAAATGGTGTTTTACAATATTCTGATACTTTCAGACTGTGAATTTTTTTTATATTTGTGAGCTGTTAGAACAATCATTTAGATAGGCCCACCCTTAATTTGAATTTACTGCTGAAGTTACCAGGCCTTTATATGAAGCAGGCCTTTATTTCAAATTCGAAGTGTCTTCATACTGACCTTTTCAGCGTTTTAAATGGTGCTTTATAATATTCTGATATTTTCAGACTGTGGATTTTTTTTTATATTTGTGTGCTGGGAGAATAGTCATCAAGATTAAAACAGCTTAATTCAGAAATATTTCACTTTGTGTGTGATCAATCCGGAATTTTCTGAAAACCAAGAAGTGTGGGCCAGAGCCAACAACAACTTCTGTCTCTGAGTCAAACGATGTAACAGAAAAACTGTTACCCAGTCAAAGACATGCAGGCTAAGGTCTTTGAGTTCCTTCTGCATATCAGAATAAACCAAACTGTAATCTCTGTATTGTCTTAGATATCATGTTGCTTCTTTATCATTAAAAAAAGCCCCTCGACATTGCCAAAAGATTAAATCTAGGCTTAAATGCAAAGAAATGTCAAACCTAAATCTGTATGCATTTGGCACATTATTATTGACCTGTGACACGTGTACACTGCAGTTTGCTTTAGTATTAAGAGTATATCTTTAAAGGTCAAAGCAGTCATGTTGGTTTCATCAGCTCATCAAACAGCTGCGCTCAGAGCAGCTGCAGCTTCAGAGGACTCAAGTGTTGCAGAATCAAGCGAGGCCTTCAGGGTGATTGGGATCAATGAGCTCTAACCTCCACTCAGTTACTTATTAGCGGAGAAATCGATACACACACTCCTCTCTCTTTTTTTCCCCCCTCGTTCCTGCTCTCAGCACAAGTGCCATTCTTGTTCAGAGCACATGCATCTGTTAATATTTACTCTGCATTATTTGAGCGCAGCAGAGCATTAAGGGCCCTTCAGCTATGATCGCTGTGGCGGTATGCCAAGTCACAGCCGAGCCAGGGCTGCAGCATGAGTCCTTCTGATCTGTGGTTAAAGTGCTCTTCCTAAAAGGCTATTTTGGGAGTTTCCTTCCATTGAGTTGTCATTATCCCTGCACTCTTATCAATCTGATAAAGGCTGAATTTCTGTTTTAGTTAGCCAAAGCTTTCCAGAGCAAAGTTTCAAGTTGAAGCTTTGCTTCTTTTTTTTTTTTGTGCAGAGAAAAGTTTGTCAGCCAACAGAGTTTCAAAGCAGTTGAAAATCGCTCCTTTCTTTAGATTCATAACCTGAATATGTTTGTTTATCATTTTAATGGAATATTCTGGCATAAAACTAATTTAGGGTCAAACACACCGTAACACCGAGTTAGACACCCCCTCGAGAGATGAATGTTGCAGACCGCTTGCTTCTCTAGTTATATCAACTTTAGTGATGACCGCACGATAGCAATACACAGCAGTCTGAGGAGGCACACACAAACCTCAACCAAAACGCCTTGGCGTCTTGGTCTGATTGCAATTCCATGAAGAAATGATCATGAATGTTCTTCATTGAGCTGCGGCACCCCGCTGTAGTCCGTAATGGACTGGCCCGAAGTCTCACTACAAACAAACAGCTGCTGGAAGAGAGTAGGGGAGTTGTGTTCGGTCTCTTTGCTAAAGAAATCAGGCAAAATTAAAAAGATGTTTGGTGGCTAGTACTATGGCTGGGACCCTATATGTACTGTTGATGAAGTTAGGTGATGTTCTGAGCATTATTTGTGGCTATAGAGTGGCGTTTTGGTTGAGGTTTGTTTATGGCTCCTCAGACCGCAGTGTATTGCTATCGTGCGGTCGTTACTAAAGTTGGTATAACTAGAGAAGCAAGTGGTCGGCAACAATCATCTCTCAGCGTTTGGGTGTGTTTGACCCTCAATTAATTTATGCCGGAATATCCCTTTAACAATCTCAATTTTTATGGAGAATCTTGGCTGGTTGCAATCTTAGACTAAAACAAATAATTTTTACTTAATGTAGGTCTGATTGAGGTTGAATCCTTTTATGAGAAAGAAATGAGTAACTGGCTGAAAATTTTAGAAAAACTGAAGACAAGACCTAAAAAGTGTTGATATTCGGCTTAAGAACAACACTCTCTTTGTGCAGTTTTTACAACATCTTTTATTTATTCATTCATTCGTCAGAACAAATCACAAGATTAACATCAGATGAAACAACTGATAGACCCCAAGACCCTAAAACTTAACTGGGGGCTGAACAGATACAAAACATCTCTGCAGGACGCCTCGCTCCTGTCCCCACATGCAGAGTCACATTCCCTGACCCTGTTAGATGGCGAGATAGAGGAACAGTGGGCGCCTGTTCACCCTGAGCTCAGCAGGGACGAATGAAAATGTGACGGTGTGAAAACCAGGACATACGCGATCAGCTGTGTGTCGTCTGTTTTCGCTGTGCAGGTCAAACTACCTGCAAAGAAAGTGAAACATGAATTTGAAGGATGAGCACAAGTCCAGCTGTAACATTATTGATTAATCGAGCCACTCTCTGTTTTTTTTGTCTGCAGTGAAGAGGTTCAGGGAGCCTGTGGGGATCAGACGACCATGGAGGATCTGGTCAGGAATATCTCTTCTCATCATCTCTCTTCTCCTTTAGATTGTACACTTGTAAATAAAGGCTGTAAAACCAAAAGAAAGTTGATCCAATCTGAATTAGTTTGAAAGATTAATGAAACAAATCAATATGGCTGCTAAAAACCTTCAGATTTCTACTGTTTTGAACAGAAAAGCAAATAAATTTGTCAGAAATAGAAATTAAACTCAGTCTGTGTCTTTTTTACAGGTTTTTTGACACGTCCAAACAAGCCATTGGTGCTCTTTTCATCCACTTTGCCAACGTCTTCCTTTCCACGCTCACCAAAGAGGACCCGTGCTCCCTGTAAGTTCTCCACCAGCATAAATTAAGTCATGACAAGATACAGGTTTGGCTGATTCCCTATTTTTATGTCTTCTTTAAAAGCTATCTTATGAACTTTCTGCTTGATGCCACATTGGGGATGCTGGTCATCTGGTTGGCTGTGAAGTTGGTGTCCAAACTGGTGGAGTACAAGGAGTGGACTCTTCTCATGTTTGGAGAATATGGTAAGAAATCATCTTTTTGGTCATTCATGCAAAAGTGAATAAAGAGGTAAAAAAAAAAAAAAGGTAATAGATGCAGTCGTGGTAAAGGCCACTAGAGGGCAGTGTAGACTTCTTTTGGAGGTATGCATAAAGGGAGGCGAGCCAGCATCTCCAGCTGCAGCCTGGCCTGGAAAAGAGTCCTTCTTGCTTCAGAGTGGGATTAACTTCATGCCAGTTATTACACTTACTCGCTGCGTTTTTCGTTTTTGTTCTTGTCTCCTGAGATAGAAGCAAAAGGCAAGAGCAGAAAGATCTCAATCTCCGCCCCTTTTTGGATGAACATCAAGTTTCAGTATGCTTAGTAATATTAAGAAAATGATTGCCTTAAAAAATTGTGTATTCATGAGAAAAAAAAAAAAAAAAACAGAAGGCGAATTCATGTAATCCCGAACACCTTGGCATTAAAATCTCCGTCTTCTCCTCCTCTCTCCGTCTGCCTCTTTGTGTCTTCCTCCTCCCTCCTTCCTGTCTTAATGACAGGCCTGTCCTGCTTTGTGTCTGCTGTGAGGAGACACCTGCGCAGGACAGCTTTTCTTGAATTTTAGGGAAAGGTTTGGAAGAGTACAGGACATAAGTTTGTGAAAGATTTCTAAAAACAGAGTGTGGAAAAAGCCTGACAAATTCCCAATCTTCGATGTTGATCTAAAACAGCTGTGAAATAAGATTCAGTTAAAACACAGTTTGCTAAAACCTTAGATTTGTGAACCTGTGAGTGTTTCTTTAAAGCTATAAAGCCGATGAAGTGTTGATAACTGCAGTTCCTCAAATGTCCACTAGGCGCTGCCTCCCAAAGTTTAGTCGGTCTTGTAATCCTGTTATCCTCAGAATTTAAGACTGGCTGCAGTAAATGGAGTATGTTGATGTATATGAGATGTTCACTGTTGTTTTTTCTCCACCCGCTCCCCTCCAGGCGACCCTCCTCAGGCCGCAGCGTGGCTCGGTCAGTGTGGGGTCTACCTGCTCATCATGGTGCTGGAGAAAGGTGTGATCAGCCTGGTGCTGCTCGTCCCCGGCTGGTCCAAAGTAAGTGGTTGTGATTACGTGTGTTGCTTTCAGGGCCCTTGGGAAAGATACATGTTTCAAAAGACACTGGGGAGATCCTTGTAGATTTTCCCATGGCTCAACCACCAGAGAGGATGTTGTTAAATATTAACATCAGCTGGGCGCTGACTGGATTTGTTATAATTTGATTGGAATCAACCATGAACCGGATTGAAGTCAAATTCAAGTAAATTTATGGTCAGTGCAATCAGACTCCATGAAATAATCTGTATATTTAAAATCCTCCTGTTTCTGTCCTTGTTTGGTCGAGTGTTTAAAGTCTCTGACAGTGTTTAGAGGATTAAAATCATTAGGATGAGAGAGAATAAACAAGAGGAAGATAAAAAATGACCTTTTATTTTACTGGAGACATGAAGTCAATGGGAAGTATCGGACAGACGGTCGTTTGCATGACAACACGACTGTATTTGTTTATTGAAGTAAGCCACAACCAAAGCAACAGATGTCTATTTAAGGATTAAAAATGTGGCCTCTTCATTTATTACTTATTTATGTCCTAAAGGGATTTTATAAAAATAAAATGTTCTTTAGATGACTTCACTTTCTTTATGTAAAGATAGTCTCCATCTTATCTGACAAGTCGCTATTTGGACGTTAGTTTTATTAAATGACAATAAAAGTCCACCTTTCATTCAAAGCTCTATTAACTCCCCATCTTCATCTGTCTGTGATTTTCACGAACACTACAGGCATAGAAACTGAAATGTAACACTTCATAGTCCCTCAAGCTCTTGGACAAGCAGGAAAACACTGTCTTAAACTCCGTCATGATTAATCGAGCGTTTGGTGACAATCGCAGCGACTCCTGCATGTTTACATTCTGCAGTTTAAATGATATATCAGTGTGAAAAAAATTTTTGTTCTGTTAAGATCTGGCCAAATAATGAAAGTACTCTAAATCAAATGATCAAAACTTAATGAAAACTTTTATTTGTGGTGTGTTGAAAGTTGTCTATCAACGTATATTGTATTTCAGTGCAGAAATACAGGATAGTTACCTGGTTTTAAGGGCATTTTAAGCTAAAATGACTCATTTTTGCTCTGGAACAAAAACCTTAAACTCTCCTGTCCTCTCTTCCAGCTACAAGAGGTGCTCCTGAGCTACATCGCTAACCCTCAGCTGGAGCTGGTGTTGGTCATGCTCATCGTGCCCTTCATCGTCAACGTGAGATCTGCTTTACAGCCCAGTTTCAGCACTTTGATCTCAGGGTTTCGGTCGTCTTTTCGCTGTGTTTGTAACTGTTATTGTGTCTCTCTGGCTCCCTCTGTAGTCCATCATGTTCTGGGTGGTGGACAGTCTGATGATGAGGAAGTACAAGACCATGAAGAGCCTGGACGACTCGTTCGAAGACTCAGTGAAGAAGGCGGACTCGCTGCCCTGGGTGAACAGCGAGGAGTCACGGGTAAGGACAATTTAGAGTACTTCATAAGAGGTGGATGTGTCTTTCAGGTCTGGATTCTCAAATTGATCCTGAAGTATCTTGAACCTTCAGTCTTTCTACTCTGGGGAATCACTGGGACATCGATAGATTATACTGCGTCATATTACATTGTAGGATTGAATAAAAAATATATAAAATCAGCATTAGAACATTCAAAATAGGTCGAACTGACTTGTAGAAAGCTGACTGAGTTCTGGGACTGACTCATTCTGTCTCAAAGGTTTTGGAGGGTGAAAAACGGTCGTTAATTTTTCAGCCACGTAGTCACGCTGGGTGTCAGCTGCACCTGTTGTTTTGGGGATGAACACAAAGCAGACTGATCTTCTCTTTCTACACTCCAACCAAACAGGAACAAACCCAGATGATCTCAGTCCGAGAACAACTGACTCACACGTCCCCCGTTACTGTTCAGATGGAGATTTCTAAAATTCCTCTCTTGATTTTTTTATTTTTGTTTTCTTCTGCTTTTGGACAATTTTGCACTTTTGAGAACTTGCAGAACTCCCATTGACAGACCATTGTCTTTATGCTTTTTAAGTATTTTTGAATTGTAAATAATATTTTGAGCAGAGTGTTCAACTAGGGCCAAATACATTTTCATTGTTGTGTACCACAGAGGTCTTTGCTGATGCTCTGCCTGCACTACCTTTTACGCATGCACATAAAACAAGGGGTGGGTGTGCTCTACCTGCTTCAGCTTTTCATTCATAGACAAACCCAGACAGCCCCCTAAAAAGAGGAGATGTCCGGCTAAAAGAGGACGTATGGTCACCCTACATATATTAAAGGTGTGCTCTGGTTGCCTTGGCTTTACATGCTTACAGATAATGCCAAGAGATGTGTGCTCTCCCTGCTTCAGATTTTCCATGTGTGCATATGAATCAGAGGACAGGTGTGCTCTCCCTTCCTTGGCTTTTTTAATGCATTGACATGAAACATAAAGGAGGTGTGCTCTGCCTGCCTTAGGTTCAGCATTTTACATATGCATGAGGACAGGCAGGGAGCTCTCAGAACAGAAACAGACTGCCAAGTATAATTGATTGCATCATTCTGTTTGTCAAAAGTTGATCCTGACTGAATTCCTCCTTTTCGTCAGTGTAATGTTACCCATCCGACTATGTGTCTTTGGGTTGAGTTCTGGTTCAGTCGGACCAATGGCTAATGCTTGATAGCAACCTCCTCCGCACAGCACAGAAGCCAGAGTTATTTTTCTTTTTTTTTCCGTCTGTTTGCAAAGTTTACCCCACGGATACCAGAACAAGCCCCTCCCCGCCTCCTCTTCTTTTGTGTTAGTCTTCTGGGCAGCTATAAATCAAGCCTTTTCTTGCTAATAGAAGTGACATTTAGGAGTCTTCTCCACGCGCTGATGTTATGGAAAGCAGACTAAAGTGGAGGAGGACACCAGAGAGAGGGGGGCATTGACTCGGATGAGGTTTTGCTGGGGGTGGTGGTCGCAGCTATGGTCATAATAGTCACAATGCTGCTGTTGTTTCTTATGGTTCTTCAGAAGATTCAAGTCCGATATCAGACTCGTATTATTCAACCAAAGTTTGATACCAAGTGACTGAAAAAAAGAAGATCTGGATCTGCAAAACTCTTTTAAGTGGCTTCAATCTCAATTTACCCACATGTCAGCCTCTCATATAAAGAAACATATGGAAGTTTTGATGCTGTAAATGCCATATAGGATGGATTTACTCCTCTGAGATTTGAATCTCTGCTGCTGCTTCAGAGCTATAACCTTTTAGTCGGTGAATAAACTGAGTTATTCCCCATTTTAGGATGGGAACGCAGAACTAAGATATTTCCCAGATTTTAATCAACAAAAGCAAAGAATCATGGCACATCAGAGCTGCTAGGAAGAAACAGTGTCTCAGTGTGGTGAGAGGGGTAAACCCAGACTGTTTGAGATTCAATTCAAACATTTACAATCAAAATATTTGGGATCATCTGAAATGTTCTGTAGGTGCACGTGTATTAGGAGAAAAAAACAATCTTGAGGAGCACTGATGATTCTTTCTTGTAACTTTGTAACTTTGTGTTTTAAAAGAACACACAGGTTTTCTCTACTTGATTTCTAACAAAATTTAAAGTTTTTCTCAGTCCCTGCTTTCCTTAACAAGTCTTAATAGTCTTAAATCTTTCTTTTCTCTCTTTAAGGTCAAAAATGTCCCTAAAATCTTTTTGAAATTTTGAAAAAGTTTCATTTACTTAAAAGTATAAAGTTAAATCAGTTTCATTTTTCTTCAAGGTCATTAAAAGTTTTTTCAAAAAATGTTGAAAATCTTAATCAGTGTTGTTGTTTTTCTTTTTTTTTTTAAACTGAGGTCTTGAAATGGGAAAGTCTATAAATTTTTAGTAAGTTTAAATTTTTATAACAAAGTCTTGAAATGTCTTAAACATCTTGAAAATCTGTTTAATTTTGTGAATTAAGGCCGTTAAATTTATTTAAAAGTCTTTGAAGTTTTAAAGTAGTTTAATTTTTCTCTTTGTCTAAAAATGTTTTTTAATCTTTTTTAATCTTGTGTTATGAAATATCTCCAAGTCTTGTTTCGACCTGTGAAAGGTCTTAAATTTGTGACAGCCCTTTGACTCAGAAAAATCTGAAAATCTAAGTTCTCTTTGCTTGATAAAAAAGTTCTTCAAAAGTCTTGACTTTGCTTTTAAAATTGTACAGCACTTGTAAAGATAAGCTTTTAGAATCCACTGTGTATGACTTTTTTTAATATGCTTTCACTTTCTGACCCTGTTTTCATCGTTCTTCAGGTCCTGCTGACGGTGGAGACAGACACAGACGAGGCCTCAGAGGGGGAGGAAGATCCTGCTGATGCTGGACCCCTCCCTCATGTGCACTATTCTGGAGGACCACTGAGACCCAGCTGGGTGGTTGTATAAACCCAGATCATGTGACCTCCCACCTGTACATCTTCCTTCCACACATAAACCACTGCTAAAAGCCTAAATATGAGCAAAAAACAAAACCTAGAGCATCCTCGCCTCAGATTAAAGGTCCAAATATCAGCTTCCTGTAAGCAAAGGCATGACGAAAGGTTATCATACCTGTGAATGTGAACACTACAGCCTTAGCTGCCTTTCTGCACTGAAGGTGAGAATAGTTACAGCTGAAGCTTGACTTCATGTATGCATGTAAATCCGACTGCTTTTTAGGAAGGAGAGGCTCTTTATTTTCTCACCTCGCTGCCTCCGTTAGCTTCAAGAGAACATCAGACGGAGAAACCACAACTGAGCATGTGTAGAAGGAGATATGAAGAAGCCAAGCAGCCATAGGGCGAAATATTAGAGTGGTGAAGGAGTTGAAATGTCCCTTCTCCACACTGGGGGCTTTTTTTTTTTCTATCAGGAGTGATGTTTCTCTGAGGAGAGTCATTGAAAGTGTATCATATTCCAAAGAGAGGCCAGTGAGTCAAGTACACAAACAAGTGCTCAAAGATTTAACCTCTTCAGAAATCATCACCTTTTTCATTTCTAATTATAGTCATTCCAACAAGTTTGCCCCGTAGCAGCTTATTTTAACTTTGAGAGGTGGTAAATACTCGTAGTAAAAACCACGTGTGTGTTGGTTTTGGGCTGCAGCAGCCTTCATGGACCAAACATGTTGGAAAGTGGTTATGTGAGGAGGTTTTTAGTTCCTGTCTCTTTGAATGAATTACATGCAGGCAGGATTTTTTAATGTCATGGTTGAAAGGACCAGATCTCACTGTGCTATGTGCTGTTCATGATGGTGTGTCAGAGCCGCTGTCAAAGAAAAACTGAGATTTTCGGTTTAATGCCTGGAGATTTTCAAAGCAGTTGCAACTCTGATGAGGAAGAAGTTATCTTAAGAGAAAAGTCGTTATTTCGCATGAGTTAAAGCACAATTTTTATAAGAAAACAAGATCGTTTAAGCTTGTCGCTATTGCAATATTTTACTTTTGCCCTTAAACGTTGAACAAGATAGAGCAGACATGTCTCTACCCTCAACATGACCTACAACCAGACTGATCTAGCTTATCTTAGCTTAGCTTAGCATAGCTTAGCATAGTGACTGAAAAGAGAGGGAAACAGCTAGCTTAGCTCTATCAAGCACTGACAAAATCGACTTATTAGCTCCTCTAAAACTCAGTAAAGACCACATTTCATCTTGTGTCTCTAATCTGAGGTTTATGGGGGCGTTTCAGTGCTTTCTTTGCTTTGAGCAGTAACCTTACTGACATCTTCCCTTTATACTACAGACTGATTTCCTTGTTTAACTTCAGGTTTGAGTTCCCACTTAAGCACAATGTACGGAACTCTGTTAAATGAGGGATCACAGTCTGCAGGTCAACAATAACAGCAGCAGAGCTAGCACCCCCTGCCTTTAGTCCACCTTACAGGTAAATATTTACATTTTGACTGTTATTTCTAATCTACAGTATAATATAGATAATGAGTTATTGTGACTTTTGCGACTTCATCTTAAAATGTACAAATTCCTATTTCAGGGTTATTTTCTTGAAACATTTTCAAATCTCAGTTTTTCACAATCTGGCCGAGATGCTCCATCGTTTACTTCCCACAGTGGGATAATAACTGACAAATTAACTGTGTATTGATATGGCACATTTTACTTTATTTATTCTTATTTTATATATATTGTGGTCCAGTCTGTGGTAAAGATGTTTGAACTGGAAGTTTTTTGTGAGTTCACAGAGGAATCAGAATCATAAGATAGATGTATGTTACTTTGATAATGAGAACACATCCATTTAACAGTTTATGCTTCAGTTTAACATGGTTTTTAGTTCAACATATTCCCTCTGTGATGTTTTATTTTGTATCTGTATGTATTTTTTTATTGTAAAATGAGTTATTACAACAACAGCACAGCTCGCCCTAAAGTGTCATTTACAGGCTGTAAAACTGCCTCGGTGCTTCTTACCGAATGTATATCTCTTTTATCTGAATAAAGATGATTGACACATGAACTTGCGTGCATTAGTGATGAATTCCTGCGGCGGTCGTGGCGAGGCAGCACGATGACAGACGAGCTGAGCGAGACCTGGCTGAAGCACACCTGTGTGGGCGGGGCCAGCAGCCCTGTGACCTCCGGCTGATGACAGGGGGGACTGTGGAGTGTGTGTGCAGGGTGTGTTTTTAGTGTTATGTGTGTTGGGTTTGCATGTAGTCATTGGTGTGGGGACAAGGGTTAGTTAGTAGGGCTGTCTCCGTGGTAACCAGATGTGATCTTCAACTTGAGGTTCGCCATGTTCAAGTCATGTTAAAAAAACACCGAATAAAGGTTATAAATTAGGAGAAAAAGAAAAAATAAGTTTTTTAAAGGATTTTATTTACAATCATAAAATTACAGTAGAAAATAATAGATACAATATCATAAAAACATTTAATTTCTATTAGAAATAGTACAAAAATATACTCAAAACAGACTGTTTTTGAAGAGAGATTGTGAAATTTGAAGGTTTGTCGTCCTGTTCGGATGTGCAGTAGATAAGGAGTAAATCGAGTTAATTCAGATAAATGCAGTTTCAGTCTCACACTCTGTTCGTCCCGTGTGGCCAGTCTCCCGTATCAAACATATGTGACATCACATAATCCTCATACTGTCCGTCTATCAGTTTGGCGGCGTTGTTACGAGCGAACCAGCAGTCCACACTCTGAGTCCCGCTGTAGATCTTCCGGCTCTTCTGGATCACCGGAACCGAGCGGTCCTTCACCTTGAGGGCGGTTAAGGGTTTCATGCCTCCCTCTGCAGGAAGCTCCGCCAGGCCCACTTCCTCATACAGGAACTGACCTACAAGGAGAAGGAAAGGTTGGAGCTATTTTGAGTGTAAGCTGATGACTCCTCGGTAGTACAAGATTTTTATGTTGTGTTGATACATGAGAATTTAAAGGCACTATAAGGGGTTTTTCACTTGTTGAGAAAACTGATGCAGCCTTTCATGTACAAGAGTTAAGAGGTATCTCTGTCTACAGAGGGCACCATAATTGATGCAAAACACAAGTTCCTCGCAGCAGCTTTAATAAAAAATGGTTTTGTTCAGGTTGAGATTATTCTTTTGGGACTTTTTCATTTCATTTCACTGTATTGTTTGAGCTTTGAAGCATGCTTGATTACACATTGCCAAGTTCACAAAAGTTGGGATTTCTGGTAAAACACAAAGAAACGGACTTTGATGGTTTGCAAATTATTTAAACTCTATATTTGATTCAAAAAGTAAATGAAAAATGTTTCAAATTTGGTGACACGACATGTTTCAAAATAGGTGAGACAGGGGAAAAAAACTTTTGTGTGATGCATAAAAATAGGGTGACCATATTCTGACTCCCTAAAAAGAGGTCACAACGATGGGGGCGGAGTCACTGAGTCACAGAGTTGCACAAAGTTAATTTTGAGAGTTTTTCGGGTCGGATCGAGTGTCTTTTACGCGCTTCTAACTCAGTAAGTCTATGTGATGCAAAATCGAGACCCTTGTGCAAAACCGTGGAAATTTGAAGGATGTCCGCGGTTTTGAACAGGGAATCCTTTGTCAGGATTCCCCCCCCCAAAAAAGAGGACATGTTGGGGTAAAAGAGGACATATGGTCACCCTAATAAAAAATACCTGAAGGAACCCCCTTAACTTTTTAAGTCAATTTGTAACAGATATGTCACATGACTAGGTAGAAAACGGTTCACCACTTTGTGAGAGACTGCGTGAACCAACAATTCAACAATGCTACTATAAAGTTTCTTATTATTCATGCAAAATAAATATTCAGAGAAGAAGTGTTCATAGGTGTCTGAAACATTAATGCTGAACATAATATACACGTTTGGAAACAATGACTTTTTCAGGGAGGACCTCACATGATACAGTGAGAAAATGCCAAACTACATTGTGAACACATTACAACAGTGTGGCTCTGTAGTAGGAGAGTCCAGGTGCTAAACTGGCCAACCTGCAGACAAATCTGTCACCTAATCAAACGTTTGGCATGAACATGACATTGATTTCAAAATTAGCATATATTTTCTCGCAACTGTTTAGTTTTAACATTCTCCTCATTTACTAAGTCATACTTACCCAGCAGGCCATGGCAGTTGTGCGACAGCCCCTTGCTGTGCCCGATGTAGAAGCCCAGGTGGTCTTTCTGGTAGGGGGCTGGATTCTTGTACTGATGCAGCAGAATCACAAAGCTGATGTTTCCTCCCACAGTCACCGTGACATTAGACTTTCCTACGATAGACACAGACAGAGCGCCGCTCTCCACCGAGATCGTGGAGTGACAGGGCAGCACCATCCTGTCGTGCCCGTCCAGGATCACCTTCTTGGGTGTCACCTCGATGTAGGCTCGTTTGGGCCGATCCACCACGATGGTGATGGTGCTGAAATATGTACGCTGCTGTTTGTGGCTGCCTGGTGGAGCTGGAGCACCAATCAGTTTCCCGTTTACTGTCACACCTGGAGACACGAGACATGAATGACCCTTTAAACTTAAACACGCAGCGAATTTTGAGGGTTTTGGTAGTGCATAATGTCAATCTTACCAGAGTGCTTGTGGTCGGAGACGAGGCGCAAGACATGTCCCGGTTCACCATTGATGTTGAAGCAAACCGTCAGTTTACCGAGCGGGAATTCAACCACGAAGTGAGGGTCGCCATCGGCTGGAGTGGAGGAAAGTGAAAGTAGAAGAGAGATAAATAAGAAGCAAGAAGTATTTTTTTACCACTCCGTCTTACCAGTACAAACTCTAGATTCAAACTAAGATTTGAGGTTGTAAGAGTAGAAATCCATCCGACTGGCTTTTGACAGTCAAATGAATCACTCCTTGTGAATATTTTAAGAGAAAATTGTAAACACAAGGCTGTTTCTTCAGCTGCTCAGCTGACACCTACCCCGTCGCACCAATTTCAGACATTAAATATTCCAATATAAAAACTGTCAGTCGTGTTTTTGATGATCTTGTTAGCTTTTGCATGCCATTAAAAGGCATCAGTATAAATTTCAGAGTGATTTATAAGCATCCAAAAATCCCTCACTGGAGCTTTAACTCATTTAATTTGTTATTTATTCTTATATTATTCCTGTTTTTATTAATATTCTGATATTCTTATGGTTATTTTGTGTAAAAGAGTAACTTTAAATATGAATTCCTCCCTGGTTAAAAACAGTATTTTTGATTCTGGTTCAGATTTGTGCCTCATATTTCCTTATAATCCGAGCAAAAAGCTATAAGAAAGTGTCTCTTGTCTGGTGATATTTTTGATTCGTTTCAGACTCCCGTTTGAGCGGGAGAAGAATCAGAGATACATTTTCTTCTTTCCTCACTTTGAGTCCCTCAGACTTGTGAGAACCAGCAGAGATGAAGCGAGGAGAGATGAGATGAGTGGAGATGATAGAGCTACGGTAATGACGGGGTCATTAACCCTCACTAACTGCCTCTGATGGCTCCCTCTCTTCACTGTAACACATCCACAAACATCCACCTTCATCTCTTCACTCTGTCCCTCTCTCCCTTCTCCGTGTGTGACTGTGTGACTGTGTGTGTTTTTTGAACACGCACTTGCATGTTTCAAGTGCCACGTAGCGCTTGTGTTGGTATTTCAATTAGACCCTGTGTCTTCTTCCCTCTTTTCAGGTCATGTTCAGAGGCATCCCTGAGCCCGTCACGCTGTCTGACGAACGTCCAAATTACAGGTCGCCCACACAGAGAGTCTTAGAGAGAGAGTCTACTGTACATTCCCCATCTGCTTTCTTTAGAGTCTCTTTAAGGAGCCTTTTAACCGCTGCGTACATACGTTTAATGTGCAGAGTTTAGATGTTATCACATGAAACGAGCAGGAGGAAATGTACGACTGATTACACGACAGAGAGAATTAAGAGTCACCTGATGTTTTGGAGATGGTGATGGATTTCTTTGCTGGTCTCCTCTGAACTTTACCTGCAATGAAAAGAGTATTTATTTACTTCTTTGAGTCAGTAACCTACATTTGTCTCACACTCTCCCATGTGAGGAACAGTGACTACTGTCAAATTTGTTGTTAGAGTTTCACAGGGTGTGAAAAGAAAAAGAAGGTTGAAGAAAGCTGGAAATGTTGCTGTTAGGAGTAAGATGATTATTTGGTAAAATGCAGATAATCGTGACAATAAACAGCCAACCCTGCTGTATCCTCCAGATTCATGTTTTCACCCAAATATGGTTTAATCTAAGATAAAAAAGTGGAGATGAAAACATCCACAGACTGAGCAAGTTGAGTGGTTATATGTTTGTTTAACGACACACACCCTTCATAAAACTTTACCTCCTTTTTCCATCTCACAGAGCAACACAACATCAGACGCCATCTGTGCTTGTTTACATCCGGGTAGTGGAGCATTACTAGGGTCACTTCCCAATATTCTGACTTCCCAAAAAGAGGACATGACTACGTGGGGGCAGAGTCACAGAGTCGTTCAAAGTTGTTTTTTGAGAGTTGTTCGGGTCGGATCGAGTGTCTTTTATGCGCTTCTAACTCAGTAAAGCCACCTGACACAAACTCGAAACTTATGTACAAAACCGCAGACATTTGAAAGATTTTATAAACTTCCCCGGACAAAGCTGGACAGCCCCCAAAAAAGAGGACATGTCCGGGTAAAAAAGGACGTATGGTCACCCTCGCATTACGATATTGTGATAGCAGCTATTAGCCGTAAGATAGTTGGCAGCTAATACAAAACATATGGTCCGTATTCAAGCCTACAATCATAGAAATATTAACTAGATGTTTCACTGACTTGTAGCAATTCTGGGAGTGACTGAGGAGGGTGGGAACCTTAGGTTGTTTACCAGTGAAATGCTCACATTAGAAGGTAACTAGAAGGAGTCAGAAAAAGGATCTCGCACAAGTACCTATTGCACTGCTTAAGATCTGTCTCTTCTTCATGGCTCTCAATTGAGGTTGATTTTAGACTGGGAGCGACACAAATCTATCCCAGTGTTGCACATTTGCCGGTTTACTTGCCATGACTTTGACTTTTCAATCTTACCAATACTGTTGCTCAGAGATGAAGTGCTAGCGCCTGGCTCCCTGTTGGGTTTCAACGGCTTTCCATCCTCCATATCACCCGGTAGGCCGTTATCAGTCTCTCCAGCAGCTGGGGCGATGGTTGGTGGTGGGGCCATGGTGTTGTCAGGCAGTACCTCGGGTTTTTCCACCACCAGGTTGGTGAGCGGGCTGAGGAAGTGGTACGTCATAGACAGGTTTGTGGCCTGCTGGATGTACTCCTCTCTTTCCTTGCTGGTTTGGCTTGTCAACCTTGACCGTAGCCCTTCTTTGACGCTTAGGAAACCCCATACACGTTCGACAAAGTCCTCAGTTATAGCGCCTAAAACCTTCGCTCCCTCTGCCATCGCCGCTGTGGCTGCTTTCACGTGCTGCTCGGTCTCTATCTGTCGGTGCCGCAGCGGGACGTCGGTCTGCAGGATGATGCTCTTGTCGTTGTTGCTCGCTGTGACCTGGACGTGCAGCGATTCGGCGCTCTGGTTTTTCAACTTGCCGGCGATGACAATTTCAGAGCCGTTGAAGTAGTTGGTGAACAGATGCTGGGTGACGTACTCCACAGAGTCTTGGGTGTAGTTTATCCTGATGTCGGAGAGCAGAGGAGTTCCTATCTCATCGTAGAACCTGGAAGGACAAAAAGTGGCAGGAATGATTGGTCTGATTTGGAACTCAAAATTCTGACTTTTGTGAGTTAATCTCAAGAAAACATTAACTGCAAACATTAAGTTAAAGGGGAAAAAAAGGTAACTCTTGGAGGTGGAGTGAGACCTCATCCAGACCTGATCTCCCTGGTTTGAATAGCGTCACCTAACTTGTCATCTCTCAGTGCGTTTACATGCACAGCTTAATTGGTCTAAGCTCATAATTCATAATTTTTTTTTTTCATTGAATTGGACTTCTCTCCTTGTCCGCGTGAACATGCAGTGGAGAAAATCAAATTACTGATGTAAACATGTCCTCCTCTCTAAAACTAGGGGCCGATAGGGGGCCATTACCGGTTGACCCCATACAACTGTCAACAACAACAGCAGGTCTGCGTCAGACGTCAGAAGTGTCTACAACTGCTGCTGAGCATTTTCGAGCAAGAAGATGGAGCATCGTACAGCGTTGTTTTTGTCGAACATGATGTATGCGCCACTTTTTCTGTAGATGAGGTGTACGCTACTTCTCTTCTCTGGTGTTTTTGTTCCGGGGCGTGGCGCACGCGCACATGCATTGTCCAACCATACCCCAACTATGCTGGTTACATGGTAGAGAAAATCAAATTCCAATCGCATTATCTGGGAGTCTTAATCAGAGTTCTCTGACTCCGATTACAGTTGGACTAAGGTGTTTACATGAACTTAAGTTGTCCCGTCTTAATCGTAGTAAGGCAATAATTTGTTTTTCTCGAGTGTCATGTAAACATACTGACCTGCCAGCGCTAACACCATTTTTGGACACTTTCAGGGATTAAAGCGTCTTTGTGTGATAACATCTTTTCTGCGTCTCACGTTCAGTTCCTTTGTTCAAGGTCACATCAGCTGAAGGTTATGAAGATGGAAAAACAATCTTATATTTGCTTAAACAAACCTTTTTTCAGGCTGTAAACCTGCTTTTTAACATCTGAGAGCTTCTACAGCCTCTGCAGAGTGTCTGCACACATTCATAAAAGAGTGTGTGTGAGGAGAAGATTGTGAGTGTGAGTGTGTGTGTGTGTGTTCGTCCTGTGTCCCGTCCTTGCTGTCACGCCGCAGTAAACCTCCTCACCTCTTAACCGGCGTGTTTGTTCAAGCAGGACGAGGGGTCTATTATCTGAGGAGTCTATCTGTTAACCCCACATACATACCCAGATGCAGGTTTCACAACACACACACATTCCTGCCCGACTGAACAAACACCTCGAGTGTCCGAGTGCGGAAGAGAGAGCAGAGGGATGTGTGTGAAGGATAGAAAAGAGGTCTGGGAGAGAAAAAGAAGGAGGCCGTCGGAGTCTGTGGCTGTCACACGCTGGAGTTGATTAAAGAGGTCTGTTGTCAGCACCGTCACATTTTCGCTCCTCGTTCTCTGGTAGCTCGATGAAAGACGTGTCAAAGGGGTGAAGGGGAGGGGTTAAAGAGAGCTTATTGATTAATAAGAGCCGGATTACACATATATGAAGATTGGAGGTTGACAATTATTACTTTTTAGAGGAAAAGTCGATGAGTTCTCCTCTGTGGCTTCTGTCAGGCAAGGTTCAGACACTTGTGGACCACCAAGTTCAGATTTAAGCCAGTGGGACTACAATTCTAGTCCAAACTGAATTGTTGGTTGAGTTGGTACTTTGATGAACCACCAATTCCAGACTATGGTGAAGCAGTTTAATACCAAGTTACAAACCTTGGCCTTGTTTCAGAGTGCTATAAAACTGGTAAGATCCTTTTTTGGGTGGTTAAGTACTCTTGCCCTGGTCTAAAACCATTTCTGCAAGAACTACAGATTCAGATTCAGTTGCTTAGCATCGTCTGTATCTTGGGAACCATTTTTCCACTACGAAAGTATAAGAAGATTCTTACCCTTTGAGCATGGCGCTAGCGTCCGCCTCCTCGGGGATCCGTCTCATCATCCCACAGTTCTCCAGACTCATGCGCTCCAGCAGACGGTAATCCACGTCGTTCCCGAGCCCGATAGTGAAGATGCAGAACTTTTCCTGCACCGCTGATCTTGTGTTTCCCAGTATCGTAGTGGACTGGACCTCTCCGACTGTGGGCCGTCCATCAGTCAGGAAGATGATGAGGGAGACGCTGTTTGGACTGGCGTCAGGGCCTGAGAGGTGTTGGCGCAGAAGAGAGGAGCCCTCCTGGATCGCACCGTCGATATTTGTGCCTGCAAAGAAGAGATGCTGAGTCAGCTGACATTGATATAGAAGTCCAATTCAGGAATCAAATTTTCTATGCGAATGCCTCACCTCCAGTGGTCGCCAGGGTGAAAATAAACTTCTTGGCGTCTCGGACATTAAGCGGTGTCACCGGTACTAGTTGGTTGGGCTGCCACACTTTGATTTTATTGGAAAAGCTGATGAAGTTAAAGCGGTCACCGGGTCGCAGATCCCTCAGGATAGTGAACAGAGCGTCTTTAGTCTGGAGACAACAGAAACAAGAAAGTAGAAGAGATTTCAAATCCTGCAAGTGAATCCAGTTATAAGGATGAGCATGTTTTCAAGTGAATACACCACATTTAGGATACTCAACTTTCACACAGCTTAACTTTTAAACTGGTTAATCTGAAACAAGAGAGGTTTTGGTATCATGCTCCTCAGACTTTGGAGTTTCCTCAGAGAAGATAAATGCATAAAATCTTGTGGGAACACAATGTTAGATCCACAAAGTGGTCACGGACACTTTGGTTTAGCTGCGCTTGTTTTGTTAAAGAAGTTGGTGCCAAACACATCAAGACGATCATTAATCGGCAGATGACCAGCTGTCGGGTTTCTCTCAAACACTCCACCATGAAAGTCTGAGGGGTTTCAAAAACTCTGAACATAGAGATGATCACCACAAAGAACCTTTAAACGTGTTCAGCAACGTACAGTTTCTATGCATGTGTAGCTCTTTCTAGCACCATCCACTTTCATCATTCTGCCTTCTACCTGTGTGGTCGTTGAGTTCAGTAGCATCGATAGTTGCAACACAACAATGTACTGTACCTCTTTGAGTTTTTTGCAAAATCTATTTAACCAGTGTCAAGGATGCAACTAACTTTTGGATGCACTTTTTAAAATACATCTAATACACAGAATTTTTGGTTTTGCATGGATTTGCAAAATAAGAAGTTGTTGGAGCTTGGAGGCAAGTGGCCTGTTTCAACTCCACCTGTTTGTTGGTTTTGAGTTTGACAGAAATTTGGCATGAGTCGGCATTTCTGATTTGGCAATCGCTATCGATCGGCTTCAGTCAATAAAAAAGCTTGACTTGACTCGACTAGTGACTGCTTTCCTTCAACAAAAAGGCAGCTGGGGTTTAGGTGCGCTTGCATCTGTGACTCGTTTATTCATCAGTCCGGTTGAGTGTTAAAGGTGATTTATTGTTCAAAAAAGGAAAAAAGAAAACTCACTGATCCAGGTCCAAAACTTTTGCCTTCAAAATGAAAAACTGATATAATGAAAATTAGGGTAGAAGGATGAGTGAAACATTCAACAGAAAATTATCAGCGCTTACCAAAACCCATTGTCTCTGACTACACCTATGTTTTTTAAAAAATCCGCCAAACATCCCAAAACCACACCCCCAGTGTCGATCCCTAGAATTGACGTACCTAGAAGATATTTTGGCTCTTACAATCGACTCTTGAGAAACCAAAGGTCAGGTCAATGGGACGACATCCATGTTTTATAAAGACTTTGACTGATACTGACAGTCTATCCCTCACATTATAAAAACTTTTCCCCCAATGAAGTGACGAAACAGCCAGAGTAACTTTGATTTTCTCCTGATCATAAAGGTATTTGATAGTTTTGACTCCTTGCTGATCATCTAGTTTTGGACTTTTTGCATGTTTTGTCTATCTCTATCTGAACATATCTCCAGTTAAAACTGCAGCATTAAACGGTCAAATAGCAAAACTTCTCCCTGCTTTCCTCCGATGAAACTTCTCAGTCTAATTTCCAGCCCTGAGCGTGGGTGTGATATATCATTTGGCTCCGGGGGATTTACTGAAGTCTCCATATGTGCTGTATACAGCAGGGTCAGAACCACACACTGACCTACACTGAAACCCTCTATTGTGGAGCCGCATCCAAACACACTTGTTGTTCTGTTCCTGCAGCCTGCTGGGGGCCGGGGATGGGCGGGGGATGGATCAAGGGGTCGAGGGTGCTGTTGTCTAGAAAGTTCCATTACCCCATCGACGCTGACCTTCCTCCCTCACAGCATGGCCTTGTGCTCTATGTCTCCACTTTTTATTTCTCACTGCAAATCTGTTTCTCTCATTTGCTGTTTCTGTGCTCTTTGTCACGGCAGCTGCAGAGTTCAGCTCGAAGACTGACTGACTGGAGGGATTATGGTGCTGTTGCAGATGGAGGAAATAGAGGTCTGATATTGATATTCCAGTGTGGGAGGGCGGAGGTGGACCATCAGGTTTCTTATCCCGTACAGCCATTTCGAATTCTGCTCAGAAACGAGGTAAATCGCTTCACAAGAGGCGTGAGGATATACATCGGATTTCCTTAAGCCCACTTGAGGAAAATTAAGCAGAGGTTCATATCTGGTTTATCCGGCCCTTTGTAGATCTTTAAGCTGCATAGATCAGACTTTAAAATGAAAATCCAGCGAAAACCACAAATAGTTTTTACAGCAGATATCAAAAATCACAACTATAAAATATAACAATATTACATAATTAAGGGAAGACTTGACAGTATACCCTGAGAACAAAATGTCTTCAGAGAAGACTGTGCCTTATTAACCAATGGTTTGTCACTCTTTATTTTGGTATCTCTTTTCTGTCTTGCATTTAGGTTGCTTTATTTGTAGATAAATGCTTTTATTTTGAAAGTATAAGCTACTCTCAGTAGATCATGAGGTGCAAAACTGAATGTTAAAAGTTGAAAGAATGGTATAAAGGCTAAATTGATTGGTTAACAAGATGTAAAGTTGTTTTAAATCTTTATATGTCAATTTTAAAAGTGCTGAGTCATCTCTTTGAGATCTACATCTAGCTTGCTAGCAGTGGCTGCTTATTCATCTCCTCTATGTTTTAGCGTGACTGTACCTCCTCTTTTAGCCTGACATGTCCTCTTTTTTGAAGCCTGTTTGGACTGTCCAGCTTTGTCCGGGAAAGTCCTACATATGTCAGAGGTTTTGTACGGAAGTTTCAAGTTTGTGTCGCGTGGACTTACTGAGTTAGAAACACGTAAAAGACATTCGATCCGACCCGAAAAACTCTCAAAATTAACTACGCACGACTCCGCGACTCCGCCCCCACGTAGTCATGTTCTCTTTTTGGGAATTCAGAAGATGGTCACCCTACTTTATTTAATGACACATGGTAACCACTGACTATTTAATAAATGGACCAAGCGCCACCCATTTGTTTGTTTGTTTCTGATTCAACCTGTCTTTTGAGCAGCTGCTTGCAAATTGCCACAGCCGCCAGTCATGTTACCATAATATCTTCAAAACCAATGCATTATGAATGAATAGCAAATGTTGCTGCATACTGAAGAGTGCGCATATGTCAAACTGTTCACAAAAAATTGGTTTTCTGATGATGAAGTTTTCGTGAAGAATGTAGACTTAAAATAGGATGAGGAAATTTGCTAAATAACGTTGAAGTGTCAGCCACGTCTGCTGAATATGGTAGCATACCTTTTTCTACTTGCAGTTTCTTAATAAAGGGACACAGCTGTACAATAATACACTAACTAATGACTCCTACAACCTCACTTCAAAAATACTGAAATATTCTAAAATATCTCTCTGGATATCCCCTGAATTGGATTTTTTTACCTGTCTGATTTTCCTCCCCAGCATGGAGGCGCTGGTGTCAATCACAAACACCACATTCTTGGGAACCGCAGGCAGATCTTTGGGAGCAAAGTAGTGGACAAAGTGTCCGTTTAAAACCTGGGAAAGAGAAGTTTGCAGACATGAAGCAGGCAGTGAGATCAGATGTAGTAAATATGCCTGATTCTGAAGACAGAGGAGAGTTTGGCAGAGGAGCGGCTGTGGTGGCAGGAAGCCAGAGAAATGAATGACTAACAGGTGGGTGGATCAGTGTGTGTGTGGAGTTGAATTTGTGCGCGTGATAACAAACTATGACGAGTATTTTCATGCTTTTTAACCCTCTGCCCTCTGCTTTTCTCTATCACCTGGATGTCTCCGATCCCCATGTCTCTCTGCACGTCATAGCGAATCACAAAGTCCCCCAGGATGCCGTTGGTGGCGATCTTGGCCTGCTGGACGATGTTGGGGCTGAAGGTGATCTTGCAGACGTTCTGGTCTGTTTTGATCACGGTGTTGATGGGAGGCGAGAGCTTGGCTGAAGAACAAAAAGAGGAAGTGTGTTGGTGTTTTATCTGGATTAACAACAAACGGCTGAAGTGAGTAAAGTGACCGTGACCTGAGGGTGGATTGAAAGGTTGGTCTGTTGGCTTTAAGAATGATCTCTAAGGATAGAGCTCAAAGACACAGACATTTCCACCCTCACTTCCACAGTGAGCTTGAGGAGTAACACTCAAGGCTAGAGGTTTCTGGTAACGCCCAAACCTCAAAAATGGAGGATAAACCCCCTCAGAAAAATAGTATTGGACATAAGTCATAAAAGAACAAAGATTGTATCTGTTAACCTGGTGTCTTTGGTGCGTTAGAGCTGGTGGCGGTGTTGCTCCTGCTGTTGCGGAGCGGCAGCACCTGGAGGTCGGTGATGGGCGAGTGATCGACGATGGTGATGTCCAGGCTGAGACGGCTGACCAGCTGCAGCGGCCTAAGACTGGTCACGTGCTCGTAGTATCCCAGACGGCGCTCCAGGAGCTCCTCGTAGGTTAGCAGGAAGATGGCCCGGTTCCTGCCTGGGATGTTGGCCGCCATCTTGAACACCTCCACCTCCGGCTCAGGACTTGGGGGGAGGACAAGGGTGAGACGGGGGTGAGTAAAAGGTTACTACAAGAGGATAAATTTCATTAAAATATTTGTAATGTCTGGCCAGGGTTGGCGTTTTGTCAGAAATGTTTTCTCGTGGACTTAAAGGGGTTATGCAAACGTAAAAAGCTGATTTATACTCAGAATTGTTTGTCATTTAAGTTCAAGGTAAGGTGAAAAGGGAGGCATTCAAATACATTCAAACTGATTAGCTGTTAGTTCTCATTCATTAAATGGAAAACAAAAACCAGCCCAGCAACCTAATACTGTAAAATACCCATGATAGTACTGAACGTGGTTTAATCTGCTTTATATTTATATAAAAACAGATCTGTTTCTGCAGCAGCTCAGCTGACACCTCTCATGTCTGTTTCAGGCAATAAAAATAACACCATGAAAACTGCCAATCTTGCCACTGATGGTCTCTTGTATGTCATAAAAAGGCCCTAATGTGAATTTCAGTTTATTTTGTAAACATAAAAAAACTCCTTATAGGAGCTTTAAATTTGGCTCAGACCAAAAGAAATCAGTCTGTGTTTCTAACTCATGTTTATACAGTTTCCTTTTTGCATTGTATTTATTTAACCTTTGTGTACTAATGCAGCAATATCTAAAAATAATGGTGTTTGAGAGTGATTTTGAGCACATGCAGTGACTTCCACTACAGAGTCATGTCTGTTTTGACTGCTGGGCTGCCCAAGGACCTAAAGATCACAGCTATCCAGTAACCAGCTATTAGTCTTATCCCTTTTTTAAGTGATTTTTCCAGATTTTCTGAATTGTTTCATGACATTATAAACTAAAAGGGATAAAATACCAATTTTTTTTTTTACGCTCAACATTATTGTTGGACTGTTTGCTCAAGGGGTCTCTCACAGAGTGGTGAACCTCCTCCCATCTGTACATCAGAGAGACTCTTCAGTTTGATATTTGATTTGTTGTTTTTCACTATTTTCAATTGAATACATAGTTTAAATGATTTGCAAACCATCAAAGTCTGTTTTCATCAACATTTTACAAATGAACATCTCGATTCTGCTTTTAAATCCACCTCTTGACTGAAATTTAAAGGTTAAATAAACTGAAATCACCAGAGCAGCAGCTGTCAAAACAAAAGCATCAATTATGCGGAGGAGGAGGAGGAGTGAGATGAACCATCCAAGAGGTGACATGATGAGTCTAAAAGAGCTCCATTCTCATCTCACGTCCTCCTCACTCCTTCCATCCTCGTCTCCTCTGCCCTTTCCAGCCGACTCACTGAATGACTAAATCTCCTCTAATGAAAATGTCACTTTTCTCATGACAGCTGGAAGCTTGAGGTCACTTCTTCCACGTCTCTGTCACTTGTTGGGCAGGATATTCATATGAAGAAATCTCTGGAGGAATGATGTTATTTCACCCTCACATACACTGAGTCTCTGTGTCCGCCTAAAAGAGCTCTAAGTCCGGTTATTATCAGTCTCTGTTTGCAAAATAGGAACATTAGAGGTTAAGAGAGCTGCTGTGTAATTAGGAGGAGACAGCAGACATACACACACACACTTGCACGTGCACACACATACACACGCACTCACCCTGAGGTTCCTCTTACCTTGCATCACCTGCCTCTTTGTTCCTCGCCTTTCCGTTCTCCTGTTTGACCCTCTTTTCCTTCGGCCTGACCTCGCTCTGGTAGACCCGCCCTCCAATGATCCTGGTTCATAGGGGTCAAAGGTCGAGGATTAGAGCCCTGCTCATAATCAGGACCACCTATTGTCACGTTTCAGTCGGGTTTTCTCGAACAAAAGGACAAAATTCTTGAACCAAATCCTGCCGTTACCTTTTTTACGGGCCGCAGTGCTGCACATGAATGAACTCCAGGGTCAGTTTTTGAGTGTGAACAGCAGTATAGAAGTTTCCTCCTTACTAACATCTCCATAACAACAGAAACATCATAAATCCTTCCAGCCAATAATACCATTTAAAACGTCCAAATCTGCTTAGATTGAACAGTTAGTGGGGACAGCCTGTACAGTGGGCTGATTGGACGATCTTATTATGGGAGCTTTTATTCTTAAATAAGGTGTTTTAAGGTAAACTATGGGCTGCTTTTCTGTTTACTTAATGTTTTAGCCTCTGTGCTGCTTTTAGAAAGAAACACATTTACTGTCGGCTATGACTGTTAGTTAAACAAGAGTGCGCCACATTGTCAAATTTAATAAACTAATTTGTGATAAACTCTTCAATCATCTCAACTAGTGGAGCAAAAAAGATTTTACGAACTAGAAAGTCAACACTTACTCTAATTTTGATTTTTTTATATTGTCTGCTGAGGATTTTGTGCAGGATAAAGTAATGTCCACACAATTTAATATTCTGTAGAAACAGCTTATTATCTTGTTCACACAAGATACTTTTCAGCTTTTGCATGATATCATTATAATGTGAGAACAAGTTATGATCTTGTAAAGAAGTTAGCTTGTTCACAAGATAACAAAAGTTCTCAAATGAAAATGATGTGTGCCGCACGTTAAAATATTACAGTACAAACATAAATTACTTGTGGGACCAAGTTATTTATGTTTCGCAGACATGATAAATGAACCTAAACCTACAAGTTTTAATCCATTTAACTGTTAAACTGTAGAAGTTGAATTTTATGAAGTTAATTGATGTTTCTGTTGATTGATTGCTGGATGTGCACTGTGTTTTGTTCATGTCAGAACAGTACAGCAGTATTTTTATTTTTTCTCTCCTGAGTTGTTTTGTTTATGTGGGACAGTGTATGAATTTGTGTATGGCTGTTGTCTTTGTGTATTTTTTTTTTCAACTCACTGCAAATGATTTCCTCATGAGGACAATAAGCTCAACTTATTGGTTCCATTTGAAAAAAAAGTTTTAAAGTGTTTAGAGGAAGCATTTGTTTGAAAAAAGTGGAAACAAAGTGAGTAAAACCCAGTATTTGTCTCTTATTGCTCCTCTTTTGTGACTTCAGCTCCACTGTCTAATGTCCCCTGTGTGTCTCTTACATGGTGAAGTTGGAGACATAGGCTCCTGCAGGGATCTGAAACTGGAAGACGCCCTCGGTGGCAGCTGTGTGCCTGTTGAGCATTGAGCAGTACACTGCTGTGAAGGCGTAACGGGAGATGATGGTAGTCTTGATGGAAAACTCTTGGATGTGAGGTTTGGTCTCCTGCAAGACAGAAAACCCACGAGCCCTTTAACGTCACGCAGATGTTTGTCAAGAAATGCCAATTTGGCGCAGATTTTACGCGATCCTGCTGAGCGTACACGAAGTTCCCAAATTTATTTTTGATTAGAAAATAAGAAAAGTGAATTCCCCCCACAGTAACAACAACCAAACATAAGCAGAGGAATGTCTTCCCATGAGCTCAGAGCAGTCGGTGCATTACAGATACTCTGGCACATCTGCGCGCTTGGCTGATCTCTGGCGCGTCACGCCCAACGCGCACAAGTTAAAGATGACAAAATATGCTTGTAAATAACTTCAACTAGGTCATGCATTCTAGGTCATCGTAAGAAATATGATTTTCCGTTAAAATCAGGTGTTGTCTCAACGGAGGAAGAGACAGCAGACTCTAAATACCTCCTACACTGTCACATTATTGAGGCTCTAAATGGTGTCGATACATAAACCAAATGATCACCTGCAGTAATAGGACAGTGTTTCTAGTTCTATATTCCAAACAAATCATAGGAATCTGAGTTTTGAACAACTTTTACTTGTTTAGTTTTTATTCTACACGCACAAAGTGGTGACACACTGAAATAGTTTCATATCTCTGCTGGAAAAAAGTCCTTACCTTGGAGAGTATCGCTTTCACCTGCCGTGGGACCCTGCGTGGAGCCTGTGTGCACACAAAAGACGAGTCATAAATGATATAAAGTAGGGTAACAAAAATAGAAAAAAATAGACCCTTTATTTTGAAAATTTCTTACAATATCTAAATCAAAGTCTGAAAGGTCGAAATCAAACTCATCCCCAAACGGAGGTTCCTCCAGTTGCCCCAGGACATTTGGGCTGAAACAAACGAGTAAAGCGAACAGCAGCATCATGTAATCCTTCTTCAGTAATAGTTAAGATGATAAAATGGACATAATTATTTTGATTTCCAGCGCGAGACGAGTTTGAGTGTCCGTGAGTCCGGATCCGAGTGACCGGGTGAGGAGTGAGGGACGCGGTGTGGAGGGTGAGAATAACTCCCACAGACTGGAGGAGAGAGATGCAGAGGGTTCAGATCCAGTCTGTGAGAGAGGCTGCTGATGCATTCAGGCACTGTGGGAGATTTGGTCAGGAGTTTTTGCATTTCTTTACCAACAGACGATTTTATGAATTTCATACTTAAAATATCCTCCAGAGATGCAACATTACATCGATTCATTTTCATCTAACCTTTATTTCTGGGCATTAAAAGATATTTTTTTTTCAAACACTCTAAACAACTCCACTTTCCTCATTTTGTTTGGCACTTAAACATGCATCCAGAAAAAGTGAATGACAATTAACTACTTAGTACTTCCTGTCTCATGAGCTGTAATTGTTTTATGTCAAACAAAGTTGCACAAACCAGTAAGTTCTTTACACTACTGAAAAAATTCACCTCATGTCATTTTATTTTTTTCTCATCTCATTTGATCTCATCTTTTTTTTATCCTATCTTTTCATGTCCTGTCTTATTCTATTTTATCTCATCTAATCTAAAATAATCTCATCTAAATTTATCTTATTTTATGCTATCTCATCTCATCACATTACTTCTCATTTTTTAATCTCATCTCATCTAATCTCATGAAATCTGATCCTAATGCATGCAAGACAATTTCACTTTATATTATCATATCATATGTTCTTTTTACATTTCATCATATCTGATCTCATATTTCAATCTAATCATATTTTACTATTTTACTTTTATCTCATCTAATCTCATCATATTTGATCCTATTTCATCTTTTCTAAACCAATCTCACTTTATATCTTTATTATCATATCTTCATTTATTTTATCATTTTATCATATCTCATCTCATTTTCAATCTCATCTTACATTTTACATTGTTTCTAATCTATTCTCATATCATTTTATCTCATTTGATTTTAAGATGATCTTATTTTATGCTTTTTTATCTAATCTGATCACATTTCTTCTAATTTTTTATCTCATCTAATCGCATCAAATCTGATCATACTGCATCTCTTCTAAGCCAATCTCACTTTATATTATAATATCTTATGTTCTTTTGTCATTTTATCTCATCTCATTTTTAATCTCTTCTCATTTCACTATTTGCAGTTTCTGATCTATTCTCATATCATTTTATCTCATCTAATTTAGAATAATCTCATCTAAGATCATCTTATTTTGTGCTATTTTATCTCATCTTATCACATTTTTTTCTCATTTCCTATCTCATCTAATCTCATCAAATCTAATCCTATTTCACCTCTTCTAAACCAATCTCACTTTTTATTATCATATCTTATGTTCTTTTATCATTTTATCTTATCTCATTTTCAATCTTATCTCATTTTACTTTTTACATTTTACATTTATAATCTCTTCTCATATCATCTTATCTCATCAAATTTTGGATGCCTGTAACTGCTGTGAGGGGGTGACCACACACAAAATAAAAAAGCTGTTGTAACATTTTCCACAGCAAAAAAATCAAAGAGACTGATTAATTGTCCAGACAAAAAATGACAAGAGGAAGGGTTTTTTTGTCAGGACAAGACAAAATCAGCAACGATAAAAGAATCACCATCTTTTCCACTCAGAGCGCCAAAATCAACACAGGCAGAAAGTTCCTCACAGGAGCGTCAATGTCCCTAAATTAAGTACCATTAATACAAATCTGATTTATTGTTGATATTAGCTGCTGTAAATGACATTATAATTCCTGCCTTTGTCTTTGCAAAGTACACAAATAGTCTGTACCTGAGTAAAGTTTGAGATATTTGGATTGATTCAAGCCCTGAAACCCCCTGAATTTTCTTCCAAAAATCCAAATTGCCCTGATGAAAAAAATCCCTTTATAGCTTCTCAATGTGTCAGAGGAGGTGTGGATGCCAGCAGTTTGGCCTACTTTAGTGCCATCTTGTGGGCCTGCTCCAACATTACACCTGCCTTGTGTAAAGTAGGGAAACATGCCAGTGATAAAAGTTGATCTTTAGCTTTCATACTGTCCTGATCTTTTAAAATGCTGCAGATTTTTGACTGTAAACACACCAGATTGATATGTGGATGATTGTGCGCCCTGCTGTACAGTTTGTGACTTTGAATCAGAGTCCCAGACTACAAACAGTCTGTGTTTGATGTGTTTAATCTCTAAATGAGATTGATGTGTCCTATTTACCCGGTCCACTGCAGGTCAAGTTTCAAAGTTTCCTTCTCCTCTCTGGCTTACATCAAACACAACAAATATTGACTGGGGCCGGAGTCGATCAGTTCAGTGGATTTTAACCTCCAGTTTTCAGCTCAGCTCTCTGCAGTAGGACCCTCTGTGTCCGAGCGGCCGCGTAGTGTGTGATTTTTTTAATATATGTGAGAGTGTGAGGGAATGTGTGTTTGAGCCCACAGGACGGGAAACATGAGGCGTCTGCTGCTGCTGCTTCTGGGGCTCCTGCTGCTCCATCAGGGCCGCTGCTTTGAGTTTGTGATAGATGGAGAGTGGGAGGATGAGATGGTGAGTCCCCGGCTTATATCTCTAAAAAACACTGTTATGCAACTTTTTATCAACAGGTTACAATTTCTCCTGAACTTTATAGTGATGATTTCATCAAAGTGTGATTTAAAAAAAAAGTAAACTAGTTGAGTGAATAAGAAAAAGCTTAATTTTGATTGTGTTGTACAGGCACTTTTTATATCTGCATATTTTGATTGGACTTAATTCAACACTGAAAACCTTTTAAAAAAATAGATTTTATGTTTTTGTGCTTTTTTATAAATTAAAAATAACAGAAACATGAAAATGAAAACAAACTTAATAAATTGACAAAAAGTTTGTGTCTTATGTCCAAAATTTTTTTGAGTGGTAAATTTTTGGTACATATAAACATTTTAGAATAAATTTGAATGATTTCCCTTGGTGTTCACTTTTAATATTATTTTTACCACACTTTTGATGTTTTTTGAATGTTAAACTACATTGAAATGTAATTTTAAATAAAAAAAAGAGGCTTAACTCAGAAGTTTTGCAGAAAATCTAAAAAATGCTCATTCTTATTATTTTGTAACATTTTAGCATAATAATGACAACTTTTGGGCATCTTGTTTTGTTAAACATTTGAATCCAATTAAAGGTACTGTTGGCCGTGACCTTTGACCTTTAAAACCTTTGAGACCTTTTAAAAACCTCCCTTTTGTCTAGCTTCATTATGCAAAAATGACATGCATGTTTCTTGAAAAACAAACAAACTTTATTCGACCAAAGATTTTAAAGTAAAAATCTTACTTTTTCTTTCGCCTCCAGACACATGTTCATGATCATCAGGAGCGACACAAGGTGAGCTCTTTTTACTCATAATCTAACTTTTCTCACACACGGTACAGACATAAGTCTAATCTTATCGAGAAAGAACATAAATAGTCTGTCTGCTCTCGGTGTTGCAACAACTGAACTCATATATCGATCCGTCTCTTCCCACAAAAATAACCGGCAGAGCTTCATTAAAGAAACTGTCTTTAATCTGTTCATGTTTTATTTATAATCTGCTCTGTACATGTGGATTAAAACAGTATGAATCTGATTATTTGTGTCTTTTCCAGAGGGCGATATTGACCAGCGAGGAGCAGGACGACTTCGAGGTACGTCCCTTCTCTTCTTGTTGTTTGAGCCTCTGCACTGTGACAGAGTTTAACCTTATCAAACGGTCAATATTCAGCTGTTTGAAGAGATTCTTGTGACTGTAGGGTTATTGACTTTATCCTGCTCTAATCCAGCTTGGCTTCCTTTTTGTTTTTTGGTAGTTTTCTCTACCTAAATTTCTCCGTAAAATGTGGGCCTTTCATCTTTTTGATAAATTTTACTGAAGCTAAGAATGAAGTGAGCTCAAAAAAACTAAAACATCACACAGTAAAACCAGGCCTGAAAAACTGAAGCTGTTTTTATTTACTAAATTTACTCTTTACTGTTTAATTTAAAAAAAAAAAATAGCTGCTCTAAGCCCGAACTTTAAGCTCTATCTATCCGATCATGCTGTTCCCAAAATACAAACTGTTCTTTAAATTTAACAACCTCATATCATTAGGCAACTAATTTTGTGAGTTATTAAATATACTTTAATGATTAAAACACTTTGCATAAACACAGTGTTGTAATTTTAGGCTCAGTATGAATAAAGTGAGTTGAAAATTTTGCAAAAAGCATCCATGAGTTTTGGATTTCAGGCTGAAGTGTTTCAGTTTTCAGTCTATGTTGAGACAAACACGATGCAGAGCAGAAACTATAAAGAAACGCTTTAACCTCATATATTAATCTTGGACGACGCATAAGATTCCAAAGCTTCTGATAAAGTTAATACAACAACCAACTCAACTAAAAATGCAACTTATCAAGGAGTCAAAGGTAAAGAATTTAGCCTCAACCGCCCATACTAGTTTTGGACACGGTGTACTTTTCTTTAGGGTTGTATTTACAAAGCTCCAAACATCAACAAATTTGTGTCTGACCCTAAAATGCAAATTCTACCAGATTTAAGGCTGAGAGAGAAAGTTTCAACCTCCCATACTACGTTTGGAGACTGTTAGAATCTAAAAGGTTGAACTTACATACCAGAACTGAAGAAACTTCTTGGATAAGAGGCGAAATGTCTTCTCAACTCTACACAGTCCAGTCGCCTGATTTTGGAGCCTTCAAGAAAAAAAAAAAAATACATACCAGCAAAATTTTTAATCTACAAATATAATTGAGAGAGACCAGGCAAATTCTGCTGTGTCAAAGTATGGGTACAAAATAAAAGTTCCTCACAGCTTTAAGGTCAGTGCAGAAACTCATCTCTGCAACTGATAAGAATTAGAGAAAAAAGGAGATTTCAAAGATAGGATCATAAAGTTTTTTACTTTTTTTTGTGGATATCTTCTTCTTTAGGCCATCCGCGGAGATGACATCACAGTCAAAAGCTATAAGGTGGAGAGTCGCATCACGTCTCGCTTTGCCCACACCACCGTCAGGAGCTCGGTCGTCAACTCAGGCTCCAAAGCTCAGAGCATCGGCTTCAATGTCCAGATCCCTAAAAGAGCTTTCATCACCAACTTCACCATGTGAGACCAGCTACAAACAATCTAAAATATATTTCAGAAAGGGAATGTTTTGACCTTTGCATGTCTTTGTTGCAGGAATGTGAACGGGATAACATTTGTGGGATCGGTTAAAGAGAAAACTGTGGCAAGGAATCTTTACGCCCAGGCCAGAGCCAGAGGAAAGGCAGCAGGGATTGTCAGGTACTGGACTGGACTCTGATATGCTCTGTAAATCTTGAATGGCTCCACTTTGACTGAAATGTTTTGTCTCCACAGAGCGAACTCTTTGGACATGGAGACCTTTAAGACAGAAGTCCACGTTCCTCCTGGCAGTCACATTGAGTTTGAGCTTCACTACCAAGAGATGATGCAAAGGAAGTTGGGCTTCTACGAGCACTCGCTGTACCTGCAGCCTGGGAGGCTGGTGCCACAGTTCCAGGTAAAAACATCATTACATACTGTTTCTGAGGCTCTTCTTCGTTCTTGAAATACACTCTGATACATTTTTTTTTCTATAGGTGGACGTGTACATCTTTGAGCCGAAGGGGATTTCGATGGTACAAACGCCCCACACCCTCGGAGAGAATTTTGCAAACCTGATCAAAGTCACAAATACAAAAGACAAGGTAAGACTGAAAAACACCGGAGTCAGAGAGAACTTTTACCACTTATTTCTCCTTCAAACCTGACCAAAAGCTGTTTTTTTTTTCTTATATCCTGAAGGTGATAATATGAAAACACATCTACGTTTGATAAAGATGATCACCTTAAAACTCCTTATGTTTAATCCTACAGGCTCACATTCATTTCAAGCCAAACCTGCAGCAGCAGAAGAAGTGCGACAACTGCACAGGGAGCGCTATAGACGGTGCCTTTACTGTGAGATACGATGTGAACAGAGACAGCAATGCTGGGGAACTTCAGGTATCACCATTTGGGATTTGCATTTCTTAGGGGACCTCTGTTTATCATCTGGTAACAGTCAAAAAAAGTTTGAAGATTAAAACTCAAGCTTCCACTGCTTCTTTCTAGGTCTCTGATGGTCATTTTGTTCAGTTTTTCGCTCCTACCAACCTCTCACCTCTTCCTAAAAACATTGTGTTTGTCATTGACGTCAGTGGGTCCATGTGGGGAGTCAAGATGAAGCAGGTAAGACATTTGTTTTTGTTTAAGAGGATGAGGTTTTGTGCTCTTTGGCCCCTTCAACCTGCTCCTTGCTTAATTTTCTTTGCTACTTTATGACGCACTCCCATCTAGTGGTCATCCTTCAGAATTGATTGAATTTAACATACTCCATATGATTAAGCCTGTAGCAGCATGTATGAAACTGCTCCAAGCCAAGCCTAAAGCAGCGTAACAGGAAGTTGTGATTTTTTACAGCGCTTATGAAGCTCAGAATCACAGCAAAGATGATGGAAACCAGACTACTCTTACAACATAATTTACAGATAATGGAAAGAAAGAGTAACCATTGGTAAATCAAACATCCTTGCAGTCAAGACTTATAGCAACATAACAAAAACTGTTCTAAGCCAAGGCTTACCCAGTCTCTGATTTACTGTTACAGGGGAGCAGAGAGGTTTTCAGCCTCTGAGACCCAAGCTTCGATAAAGCAGAAGCTTGATGGTCAAAGCCCCTGCCTCCCATTTTAGTTTTGGAGACTGTGTAGGGTAATTTTTACATAGTTAACGTCCAAGTGTTCCTGCACTCAAAGCCTATAGCAGCTTAAGTAGGAGCTGTCTCAGGCTGCTTAGTAAGTTGTAAACCTACTTCCATATCAGTGTGTCTGCCTCCCAGATCTTAACACCAGGATGACTCTCCAGTAAAAGTACATGCTAATTCACAGCTCTTCCTCCCATACTACATTTTGAGACTAAACAAAGAGAAACTCCATTTCCACTCACAGACAGTGGAGGCCATGAAGGCTATCTTGGATGACCTGACCATTGACGATCACTTCAGCATTGTTGATTTTAACCACAATGTGCGCTGCTGGAGCGAGGAGCTGGTCCCTGGTTCCTCCATTCAGATTGAAGATGCCAAGAACTACGTCCAGAACATCAAACCCAATGGAGGTAGATAAGATATCTTCCTGTAGCCTGACAAAGCCAAACAAAACACGGATGTACTGATGACTATACTTCACTGATTGTTCATTCCAGGTACTAATATCAATGAGGCTCTGATGAGAGCAGTTCAGATGCTGGTGAGGGCGTCCAATCAGGGGCTCATAGACCCTCGATCAGTCTCCATGATCATCCTAGTGTCCGATGGTGATCCAACTGTGGGTAAGACTGAGAAAATACTCACTCTTCTACTGTTTCGGTGTAAACATTTGGAAGAGACCAGCTGGTGAAAATGAATCAACTTAAAGTGATTTTTTTCCAGGTGAGATAAAGCTGAGCACCATCCAGAAGAACGTGAAGCGGGTGATGAGGGAGGAGTACTCTCTCTTCTCTCTTGGTATCGGCTTCGACGTGGACTATGACTTCTTGGAGCGCATCGCCATGGAGAACAGGGGCATGGCTCAGAGAATCTACGCCAACCATGATGCTGCAGACCAACTACGGGTACGACAACTTCAGGAACAACCTACCTTCTTTCATCACACATCAACATTTACTTTCTGCTACTATTTCATCCACCAATTAGACCACTTGTTTTGATATTTGCCAGTTTGGGTTCAAATGTCATTTCAAAGCTTTAAAAGAACATGATGGAACATAAATGAGGGTCAACTTTTATGTTCTCGCTCTCTCTCTGCAGACATTTTACAGTCAGGTCTCCTCTCCGCTGCTAAGACGAATCACTATCCAGTTCCCAGAGGACAGCGTCTCAGACGTTACCCAGAACAGCTTTGATAAATTCTTCGGCGGATCGGAGATAGTGGTGGCCGGAAAGGTGCTGCCGTCTGACAGCAACACTTTGACAAGCTTCACTACTGCAGCTGCTGTAAGTACAATGGGTACAACCTCATATTTACTTCATATAGAAATCCCCCAAACTCATAAGAAGTTCTTGCGATCATCTCATGCTGCAGGCCCGCCTTGACATCACCCTGGAGACTGAGGCTGACACCTTAGTGCTGGACCAGGAGCTGGCCAAGCAGCAGCACTCATTCACAGGCTTTGCAAGGCAGCTGTGGGCCTACATCACCGTCAAACAGCTGATCTCTGAAAGGTGAAGATGAATGCCAATCCATTCCCTCAGGATTACATTCAAGATTCAAGCAAAGTCAATCAGATAATTCTGTGTATCTAACTGTGGTAGTGTGTCTCTCCTGCAGGTCTCTGGCTCCCACTGCGGCCAAGAAAAGGAAGATCACACAGCGGATCATGGCGCTGGCTGTGGAGCATCAGTTCGTCACTCCTCTTACGGCTATGCTGGTGGAAAGTGAAGACGCCAAAGAGAGGCTGTTGGCCGACTTTCCTAAAGACCCCAAACATGGCTGCTGCTCAGGTGCCTAGAAAAAACTCACTCTTGTTTGGTTGACGTTGAATCGATCGACAACAAATGCACCTCTTTACTTCCATTCTTTGTCCTGGGGGTGTAGGATTGGGAGGAGGACCAGGAGGCTCAGCGTCTTCTAATATGGGACCGGTCCAAGTTGTCTACCAGCCTCCACCCTGGGTCCAGATGACGACCACAGCTACCCCGAGCGAGGCCGCCAAGGGTCCAGAGGAGCTGGCCGTGCCCCAGCAGATCAACTTAGGTACAGATGTAGTGATAGTGTCTGTTAACTTTTCCAGCCGTTGTGTTAAATGTGATCATGACCGCATGTGTAATGAGTTTTTCCTCATTCAGTGGATAACGACCCTCACTTCATCGTCCACCTGCGCAGAAGTAACACATTCGTCTGCTTCAACATCGACTCCACACCGGGGCACATTCTCAACCTGGTTTCTGACCCTGGAACTGGTAACTGACAGAACAGTATAGATATTTTATATATTTACCACTTTTTCAGCTGTAGTTACTCTTCGACTTGTCGCCCTCTGTAGGTTTGGTGGTGAATGGTCAGCTGATTGGCTCAAAGAAGGTCAAAAAAGGCAAAATGAACACCTACTTTGGCTCCATCTCGGTCTACTACCAGCCCGATGGAGTCAGTGTGACTATCAGCACCAACAGCATCACCCTGAATGACGGCATGAACAACCAGTCCTTCACCTGGAGGGCCACGGCTGAGATCACGCAGGACGGGTAACAGTCCACAAAATTACGCTCGATTGAGTCCCTCTCATCAGTTTATCTTATATTTCTACGTTCCTTTGTTTTAGAGTGAGGATTTCCATCGTGAAGAACTCTCATGTTACCATTGTAATAAACAACAACATCCAGGTGATGGTGCTGCTTCACCGTGTGTGGAAGAAACATCCAACCAATGTTGACTTCCTTGGTATCTACATCCCCAATGACAACCGGTACTCCCCTCTGGTCCACGGACTCATAGGTACGTCCCTGTGGTTCTCAGATTCTCAGCAGTCCAACAACTTTGAATTCAGGGTTCAAATGAAAGTAAGGACATTGCTGATCCTGATTTACTTACAAATTTTGAGCTAAAAATGTTTGTTACCACCACCCCTCAGGGCAGTTCCACAGAGAGCCGAACCTGACCGTGTACGACATGCATGACGGGGCTGACCCTCTGAAGAAGGAGGCAACCATGGAGGTGAAGGGCAACACGCTGCAGGTCACCAGGTAAGTTCAAACTCACGTTAAAAAGAGCTTTTGAACGCATCTTCACAGAAACCGTCAACTTCTCTGTGCTTGTTTTAGGGGCTGGCAGAAAGACTACAGGCTCGATAACAAACGTGGCACAAATGTCTACTGCTGGTTCATCCACAACAGCGGGAAGGGCTTCATCGACGGTCACTACACCGACTACATCGTCCCCAATCTCAACAGCTTCCTGTACACGCACTGAGCAGCTCAGACGGACGTTCAAGTACCAGCTGCTGCTAATAAACCTCCATAAGTTAGACAGTTAGAAACAAGGCGAGTGTCTGTGTCCACCTTCACCTCCAGGATTCAGTTTTTCTTTTACAATGTTAGACGTTTCCTTCTTAATCATTTTCAAAAATACAAACAACAGGAGTCACTTTTGATAACATTTATTCGGAGAAAATGTACATCTGCAAATTTAGGATCAACTTGAACATTAATACAAAATAAAAAACAAGTTGAACACATTGCTCTCTGAGTTTCTCTTGCTGGTGTAGCATTGTGGGATATGTTTATGTACAGGTGAGTAAAAGAAAGGTAAACTCTGACACAGTAGAGTCTCTCAGCCGAGCGGCTGCCTGAGATTAAAACTGAAAGATTTGGGTTTAGGCCAGTTTCGAGAAGTCCTCATAGGCCACGTCCACTCTTTTGCCCTTGTGCTGACCCTGAACATGACAGAAGGTGTACTTTGTAAGATGTCAATGAAACAAAGTATGATGGTTTGCATATCATTTAAACCCCACATTTCCAAGAACATTGTGCAAAAACCGAATCATGAAAATATAAGCTCATTTTAGGTCATTGTCTGGGAACCAAGGAGACCAATTTTCAAAGTGTTTCAAAAGAGCAAACTCCAATTTTGAGCCATTGGACCATGGTTTTCCATTTTGCTTGCATTTGTAGTTGCAGCACAGACATGTTGGAAGTGATTTTGAGCCCATGTGGTGATCTCCACTACAGAGTCATGACTGCAGAGCCACCTGAGGGCCTGAAGATCACTGCTGTCTAGCTTTAGTTTTTGGCTCCGTCCCTTTTGTAGGGATTTTTCCAGATATTCCAAAGATATTATGTACTATGCATGTTGAAATCCTCAAATTCTGTCTTCTCCAAATAAAGGTAAAAGGCCTGAAAATAAATCTTTAGAACAAAAAATTTTATGAAGATTTTTACAACAGCTTTATTTGGTCAGATTTTCTCTTTTCAAAATTTTGTCCATGTACAGGGTTAGCTCACTTATGTCAATAAATACATACTCATATACCAGTATTAGCATGTGCACGTAACAGTACGATTTTTGCTTTATCTGCCACGAGTCTTGACTTTATGTCAAAGTATTGAGGTCACAGGAAAGGTGTGAATGTAGATCCTAACTTTTCTTGAGAGTGTTTGATGTTACAGCCTCTCAAGTCAACTTTACAGCCTAACCTGAGGACCAACTAAAAGCTGGCAAGTAAAGTAAAGGTATTCAATTTTGTACCTGCAGTAATACGGTAACCTGGAGCTTTAAAGTACTTACGGAGTCTAGCATGAGTGAAGCGCAGAAGTTTTTCTCGTCTATCCCCTCCAGCACAGCCTCTGTGTCTCTGTAAAGACCGTTCAGGACCAAAACTTGTTTACCTGCAGGGAGAGACACCAAACATGAAGATGTTCAAAGACCATGTTTCATCATCTGTCATGTTTTCCTGTAGACTCTTAGAGTTGATGTGGTTTGGTGGCTCACCTGGAGCAGGTATGACCGTCTCCACGTGATTCTGGTCCAGTTTCAGTTTGTCACCAGAGTCGATCATCTTCACCACCGCTCCATATTTGTCTCTTACCTCCTACAAAAAAAGGAATCCTCCACTGTTAGTGACAAAAATCGATCTTTTACCACACATTAATCATATTAAACAAAACCATGTTACCATGACAACAGCCTTCTTCTTATGGTATTTCTCCCCAAGCCTCTTGGTGACGACTTTGACCACAATGTTGGGCTGCAGCCAGTAATCTGTCCTGACTGACTGCTTCTTCCTCCTTTTCTCCTCCATCTAAAGAAGATAAATTTAATCTCAGTACAGAATAATTGTGAAATCAACCACAAATCAAAAATGACAAAACAATAATCATCTCTACCTCCTTGATCTCCTCCAGAGCAGATTTCTTTTTCTTCTCCGCCCTGAAGTCCGACCCTGAGGACGGGTCTTTCCTCTTGGTGGAGGATGCTGCTGCTTTGAGAGCGCTGGCCCCCAGGGCTGAACTACAAGGAGACACAAACAACCTCAGACAGACTACTCAAAGAGTTCCAGTGTAATAATCAGAATTAACCAAACGCTCATCTGTACCTGGATTTGGAGGGACCGGCTACACAAGCAGAAGCACCAAGGGAGAACGCAACTGCAGAAGAACAGTAGAACAGGACGCTCTATTTTAGTTTGTTTTAAGAGGACTGATCATAATTCAAATCACAGAAATACTCACCTTTTTCTTCCTCACTCTCTCGTTTAAGCTCAGTGTACTGTGGAGTCTCCTACAGGATAAAACATAATTAAAGGGAAGGCATGGTTGAAGTCCTTTTGACCAACTTGAGCAAAGCCTCAGACTGTCTTTTAGCCCAAACTCACCTCCGGCTCCTTGCTGTCTCGGCCTCTGCGGACCTGCTCTTCGATAAACTTGGCGCTCCGCTCCTCGTCGTCCAGTTCCTGCTTCTTCTTCCTCGCCTGCTCCTCCTGTTTGCGGATGGTCTCGGGGTCGCGGTCGATGTACTGGACGTACCAGCCTTTGGGAGTCTCGTCGACCTTACAGAAACCTATCAGGAACATCCAGCAGAATTAGACACCTCAGAAACACCAGGTAATAGTTATTTATTGGCAAAGACTTAACTTTAAAATTTGAACCTATAAAATGTCAACTGTAAATTTTTGCAGTTTTAAATTCAGGTTTTTACATGTTAAATTCCAGTATTACACAGGTTGAATAAAATGCTGGTGTGGGTTTTAATGTTCAGAATAAGAATAAAAAAACATTTTAATAATCCCCAGGGGGAAATTGCTTATTTCACAGTACTCCAGTGCAAATACAGTGAAAGAGGAGATAAATAATAGATAATATAGATAAAATAAGTTAAAATATAGAGATAATATACAAGTATTTAAACTATAAACAACACAAATAGTAACATTGTATTCATGTAAAACAGTGAGCAGAGTCCAGGTAAGGACTACTGACTGAGGATGTCAGAGTCTCTGAGGGAGGAGTTAAAAAGTTAAAAAAACTAAATTTTGTACAGGTTTACTTTTATAAGATTTAAAAAGAATCGTTAAGTACAAATGAAATTTTTCTCTTTTTAATCTTACTTTATGTATCATTTAAGACTTGTATTGTAATAGTCAATATTTTTTTTGCAGATTCAGTTTTGACTCTTGAAAAGATTTAATCTGAATTTCTGGATGATTGATGAAAAAATCAATAGAAATTATTCAGCAGTTTTTGTTTAAATGTTTTCAAAGACTAAATTTCAGCCCATTAATATTGAAGTTGATGTTGGCCAATCTGTCACGTGACGTGTTTTGTAAGCTGTTAGACATCTGAATCTCCCTCAGAATCAATACAGCATCTATCAATCGATATCTGTTCAGTTATTCATCTCTAGTGTCTGGAAATCCACCTTCTCTTCCGAGCCACTTGGTGAAGTCAGTCAGGGTCTCCCACTGTGTGGAGTTCATGTGGACGTGCTCTCTGTCGCTGATGTACTCATTGTAGACGATGTTGTTGTGCACGCGTTTAGTCCCTGCAGAGGTAAACAGAAACACAGGTGAGAACCACAGACTGTCTATACTTTTCTATATAGAGTCATATGGTGTGAACACAGTTTAAAGGCTATAAGTGTGGAAAGTTTTTAAGAAGTGGGACTCACCAAAACGTCTCCTGAGCAGCTCCAAGAAGTCACTTTTGAACTCACTAGAAGAAAAGAAACAAAAATGTAAGAATGAGATGTTCTTTCTTCATTAAATGTAAAATAAATGACTCCAACTCACTCAGAGAAATAGTCCATGAACTTGTTTGGGTCCTCTGAGGCCAACAGCAGCTGCCTCTGGTGAGACTCTGACATGCAGTGACATTTAAAACCATTCTGTCAACAAACAGAGGCAGAAATAAGCTTAAAATACTAAAAAGACAACACAGGTGAATGGAATAATGTGATTTAAACGAACATCTCACCTCATCTCGACACTGTTTCTGACACATCTGGCAATACCATCTCAATTTCTGAAGACCTTTAGACTTTATTCGGTTGGCTATGGCCTTCGGGGAGAGAAAATCAGCTTTTCCCATCCTGGCCGACTCGAATAAAGATGTAAAATCTGATAACTACGCCTGAAGTAGAAAAATCTTAAAGAATCGAAGCTAAACCCTGAACAACCGCTGCTAAAATAAACAGTTTCCGCGTGTATAGCGTCATAATCTCGCGTGATAATGTAAAACCCGCGATAACTGCAGCTGCGTTCAAGGACTTGTTATATTTATATTTCCCCCAGTTAAACACTGCTGAACATTGTATTTAATAGTTGAACTAACATTAAGCTAGCTTTAGGAGTATGTAAAACTGCTCCGTCTCAAATTCGTCTGTCAGGAAGCGTTTAAACCTTCTGGTTTTCTCGACGCAGTCAAACAGGTAACCGTTTTATTGACTAATTATTCTTGAAGAGTGAAGAGTTGTGATGTATCCTACCGGGTGAGGTGTAGGCCTACTAAGTTTACGATTCTCTTTTTACTTCATAAGAATCCCCTTAAAAAACGTTAAAAAGATGATGAAGGTGAAACGAAGGTGATTTGGGATACAAGCATAGATTGTATATGGATACAAGTTCTACATAATAGTTTTGGGACAACTGTAAGGTTTTAACTTTCAAGGATAACTTTAAATTTTTTCTTAAGATTATTTGGAAGTGATAGTGTGTAAAAGTTTTTTTTTACGTTTTTGGAAACATTTCCTCTGCATTGGTAAAAAAAAAAAAGTTTTCATATTCTTTAATTTCGATAACATGGGGAACACACGAGTTCCTGCGTATTTATACACTACTTTCCTACACTGAACTCCATGGTAATTATAAGAAATGACTAAAATTTGAATAAAATGAGCTGTTAAAATTGTATTAATTGAATATTTGTGTTTGAAAGATTTAAAAATGTTTAAAGAAAGAAAAGCTCATGCCGTGTTTTTGGAGTTATTTTGCGTCCGTCTGTTTAAATTTCTACGACGTTTCCGGTGGCCCATGAAAGCATCATCCTTCCATTTTGCCTCTAAGTTGCGCCTGCGCAGTCCTGCGTGTCTGACCTTCATAGGAGTAACCATGTTCGCCAGGACCAGCGCGTTGGTGTTCTCCCCACAATGGTAAAGTTTAAAATATTGGAAAACTGTCTTGATAATTGTTAGATTTATCTCTGTTAATAAAATTCATGTTAATGTCTGAATAGAGTAAACATGTATCTCCTTGTCTTTGGTGCATTCAAGTGTTGAAGGACGTGCTAACGTGGAGGCCGCGGTGGATGAATGACAGCTAATGCTAGCTAACGTGACATTTACCGGCTAAAGCACCCTGACATTTGTCATAAAAGTAAAATTAAACCATCACGAATGACCATACAGCTATTATATTAAGTTTACTAATCAACTAACATGAATTATGTTATGCACTGTCTTTAGTTTGTAGTAACTGTGCACAGTAAAGCTAAGCGGTGCTGCTGCATTTGCACAGCCTGTATGCAACAAAGCTAAAATCCTGCACGTCACAAACCAGTTTAAGGTTATAAGATTTTAACTAACAGCTTCTGTAACTGCAGGACTTTGTTTGTAAAGCTGTTTTATGTCACTGAAACTATCAGCAGAAGCTAATCTGCTCTATTTCTGTCCACAGTGGGCAGGTCAGGAACATGGCTACTTTGAAGGACAGTAAGTACTTTTACATTTTTGACTTTTACACAAGAAGAAAATTTAAAAACAACGCATAATAAAATATTGTTTTCACTTGTAAAAGCTTAGATACAAAATGTGACTTATCTGCAACAGTTGTGTACAGGCAGGTCACATGTATCACAGGCTGCAATAACATTGATTTGATAGTTTTATTTTCATGTCTGCAGAGTTGCACATATGAACTACTTTTGGGTTGTTTTGTAGCCATGAAAGCCTTGCCTTCCTTTGTTGCACTTCGGTTTATTTCACACATAATTTAAGGTAAATGCAAAATAACTTGTGTCATCCTGGAGGTCAAGAGAGATAATTTAATTGTGAGGTATATAAATGAAGTAAAGTTTGATTCAAGGCTGAAATTGACCATTTTCTCTTAAATATTTTAATTATTTCCAACTTCCTTTGTTAGTGTTGGGTCTGTAATATTGCTTGACATGCAGCATGTATATATTGAATAATAACATGCATGTTTCCAACACATTAAATCATGTCAGAGCAGGAAAGCAAAAGAAATAGATTCAAGAAGTTGAACTTGAACAAATCTGAGCTTTTATTTGTTTTTCATTTAGACTGATTGACTTCATTAACAGTTAATACGATGGTTGATTATTTCATCTTTGCAGCTGTACTCCCGCAATTTGGACCATGTTATGTGGCTGGATTAAAATAGTTTCATTAATATGTAAAATAAGGAGTTACAACTGGTTGCCCTGACTTATAAGAAAGATGTCTGTGTGTTCATGTCTGCTCCACCCATGTATCATACATTTGAGTAAGGGGTGGCAGGGGCACCGGCTCCAGTGATTGATAGATATGAAAGTTTCATTTTTCATCTTACATCATCAAATTCCTGATGTTTAGTACCATCCTCTTTATCTCTCTAGTCACCATTCGGTTGAAGTCCATCAAGAACATCCAGAAAATCACCAAATCCATGAAGATGGTGGCCGCTGCCAAGTACGCCCGTGCTGAGAGGCAGCTGAAGCCCGCCAGAGTCTACGGCACCGGTGCTTTGGGTCAGTACAGGAAAACTTCCCCTCTGTGTCAGTATGAGTAATATGTAAGTTTTACTGACTCTAAACTGACGTTCCTCTGTTTCCTCTTTGCTCTCCAGCTCTGTACGAGAAGGCCGACATCAAATCCGAGGACAAACCCGGCAAGCACGTGATCATCGGCGTGACCTCTGACCGTGGTCTCTGCGGAGCCATCCACTCCGGTGTCGCCAAGACCATCAAGGCCGAGATCGCCAACCTGACCGGCGCTGGGAAGGAGGTGATGGTGGTCAATGTGGGGGACAAGCTGAGAGGCCTGCTGCACAGGTACGAGGAGGAAACAGACTGTTACACTGTTACCCTTTTAACACTTTTCGCTCTGATTCACACCTGAACATTCTTGGGCAGCGACCTTCTTACTGTCCGAGACTCTCTGCTGGAAACAAGAGGGGGGATACTGCGTTTACTGTCTGGGGTCAAAGCTGGTGAACACTTTTTGAAGATTATATTAAATATTACATTAATAAGGTACTGCATTGTTAGTCTTGCACATTCAAATGGTTAATTTTAAGTTAAATCTAGGAAGGAGTTTCTGACAGGAAAGACAAACGTCTGAGGAAATCTGCGGTGATGCTTCGCCTAATCTTGTTTCGTAAAACCTGCTTTTTTCTGTTGAAGTAGAAATGGTGAAATTTACTTCTGCTTGTGTCAAGTTTGACTTTTTTTTAATCAGGGGTGCAATAAAGTGATTATTTCCGAGTTTTATAAAATCTTTAAAATGAAAATAGTGTGACATACCAAAGATTATGGGCGTGATTCATTTTCGCATTTAGAAATCAAGTTTTATTCTGGTTAAAAAAGGTCATTATTGAACATGAGCTCAGATTGAAGTTGTGTTTGCTTTAATGTTTCTCATGTTTGTTTTTCTCATCAGAACTCATGGCAAACACATCATGCTGAACTGCAAGGAAATCGGCCGTAAGCCCCCGACCTTTGGGGACGCTTCAGTCGTCGCCACTGAGCTGCTCAACTCTGGATACGAGTTTGATCAGGGATCTGTCATCTTCAACAGATTCAGGTACGAAAAATTCAGCCTTTAGATTTTGTCTCCAACGGCACAAGCTGTCAGAGTGGCTCATCAGAATGTGATCAAACTGATCCGGACCTCGAAAATAACGCCCCGTCCTCTGCTGCAGGTCTGTGATCTCCTACAAGACGGACCAGAAGCCTCTGTTCTCCAATGACACTGTGGCTAATGCAGGTAGAGATGTTTGTTTTGGCTTCACATGGGTCCTCATGATGTTTCCAGGGTTATTAAACGCCTGTGTCCTCCTCTGACAGAGAGCATGGGCGTGTACGACGACATCGACGCTGATGTGCTCAGGAACTACCAGGAGTTTGCTCTGGTCAACATCATCTACCTGGCTCTCAGGGAGTCCTCCACTAGCGAGCAGAGCGCTAGGATGACCGCCATGGACAGCGCCAGCAAGAACGCCTGTAAGACTCGCTCGCATGTTTGACACCGAAGTGTTAAAGGAGAAACATGAGGATGGAGTGGAACGATTCAGTGGAGATACACCAACATGAGCATGAGGCGTAACCCATGAATACGGGGGGCCCTGCTCAGTCATCTCATATCGGTCCACCTTGAGTTTCTGCTCCCTGTCTGATCGTCACTCTTCTCATCTCGCTCTGATTAACTTTGAAATGTTCACTTTGCTTCATTCGGTCTGATTTCCTTCTCCAAGTATAAACTTTTTCATCTGACATTGACTGACGGGTTTCTCTCTCCCTCCTCCTCCAGCTGAGATGATTGACAAGCTGACCCTCACTTTCAACCGTACCAGACAGGCCGTCATCACCAAGGAGCTCATTGAGATCATCTCCGGAGCCGCCGCTCTGTAAGTCTCTCTCTCTCTCTCTTTCTTTCTCTATCCTCCACTTTCCTGCTCTTCATTTGCACATTTTCCTCCCTGACTCACCTCGCTCATTACACTCCTCCCGCTAACTTCTCTGACCTTTGAGACCCTCTTTATTCCCTCTGTTCTCATCCATGCACGTCCTTTTTTTGTCACACATCCAAAGTCGTCACATTGTCTCGTGTCTAATTCTCTCTGACCTGATCCTCACTTTCTGCTCGACTCAGGAACTGAAGCTTGTTTTAACAGAGGAGGTAACGCCGTAGAGCAGACTGTGATGTTAGCGTTTTAAGAATAGAAGTGTGTATTTTTGTCGTGATCGTCTAGTTTGGATCAGTTTTAGAAGTAACAGTGGAGTTTCCAGCTTGTTTGGGATCATTTTCTTACCTGGTTTGTTTCTCTCCCTGCAGATAAACGGGTGAACTCATCGCTCGCTTCGCCTCCAGCTCTTCAAAGTACTTCAGACCGGTGTCGTCGAGAGTCTATGAACATTTGTGCTTCTATTTGTAAAATATATAAGGAGAGAATAAACCTCTTATGATTCCTCATCCTCTCAACTGTTCCTGTATCTGTCTCCTCACAATAAACACTGATGAACGAGAAAGATGAATGTTGACGCTTCACTTCTGTGGACATTTCAAGTCTGTATTTAAACAGATTTGTAGATTAAATAGGGTTTTAAAGCTCTGGGATTTTCTTTTGACAGAATAGGGCCAATCTCAATTTTACCCCTTAGCACTCGGTTTTGCGCGTTCACGTCAAGCGAAGGGGGTACCCCGATTCTCCGTAAGGGCAAGGAGTACACAGCCCTTGAAACGATGATAAACTAGGACCTCACTTGGAAGGTGTAAGATTTTGATATTATTTCCATAGTAATGGCACTTAAGTTTTTTTAATATCAGATATTCAATCCTTTGCTCCTCCTCGTAAATATTAGCTATGTTTTGAATTCTTTGCATTTTAAAATCGCGTGTTATTACGAGCTAGCTAACAAAGCTATAGCTAATGATAGCTAAACTGATGTCAGATGTCAAGTGAATTTGAGCCATAGACTGTATATACTATGGACAACTTTGTTCCGCCTCCCGCCAGTATACAGATTCGAAGCCGAAAAGCTCTCGGTTATTCCATGTTTTTTCTTCATTTCCTGACACCAACATTGTGCAGTAGCGTTGTACGCGCTCCACTACTTTTGCAGGAGCATTGTACATATTCCGCGGGAGAGTCGCTGACAGTCGCTGTGATGACGCTCGGCTCAAACTGTGTATCCCTTGGGTGAGCTACGCAATCCTCGTACGCCCATAGGCTGTATCAGGTGTCAATCATAGAAAACATGAACCCTCTAATATCAGCTGTACAGAAAAAAGTCTTACAATATCTACATGTCAACATCGTAAGCAGGGGGGTGAAAAATGTATATTCTGTGTAATAATTTTCCAAACTGCAGCCTGTCACCAGAGGGTGCTGTTCTAGGAGTGGCTCCAGCAAGGAAGCAGATGGCGTCCATTCTATATACAGTCTATGGTAATGACACTTTTTTTTTTTTTTTTTTTAAACCAGATATTCCATCCTTTGTTACTCCTTGTAAATATTAGCTATGCTTTGAATTGTTTGCGTTTTAAAATTGTGCGTTATGACAAACTAGCTAACAAAGCTATAGCTAATGATAGCTAAACTGATGTCAGACTCGGGTGACAAACTCACTGCAAACGGCAAGTGAATTTGCCATCAAAACAGAGGGCCGAGGGGCAGGGGAGAGAGTGACAAGTTTCTATTAAAGTCTAACAGGGATATTCTGGCGTAAAATTAATTTAGGATCAAACACACCGTAACACTAAGTTAGACATTACATCACTGATTGCATTTCCATGGAGAAATGATCATAAATGTTCTTCCTTGAGCTGCGTCACCCCGCTGTAGTCTGTAATGGACTGGCCCGAGGTCTCGCTACAAACAACCGGCTGCTGGAAGAGAGTAGGTGAGTTGTGTTTAGTCTCTTTGATAAAGAAATCAGGCAAAGTTAAAAAGATGTTTGGTGGCTAGTGCTGTGGCTGGGACCCTATATGTACTGTTGATGAAGTTAGGTGCTGTTCTGAACATCATTTGTGGCTATAGAGTGGCGTTTTGGTTGACGTTTGTTTATGGCTCCTCAGACCGCTGTGTATTGCTATCCTGCGGTCATTACTAAAGTTGGTATAACTAGAGAAGCAAGGGGTCAGCAACATTCATCTCTCGAGGGGGTGTCTAACATGGTGTTCCAGTGTGTTTGACCCTAACTTAATTTTACGCCGGAATACCCCTTTAAGGAGCAGAAGTGGTTTTGTCGTTTTAAGGGAGGGTCATGTACACTCATGAAAAGCAAATGTTAAGTACTAAAAAAAAAAAAAAAAAACTTGCACCATGATCGGAAACTTAATAAAGCAGCAGAACTGTGAAAAGGTGGAAACTGTCATGACAAAACTGACAAAAGTTTAGAAAACTTCACTAAAAGTACAGTTTCGTGAATTTAAACCCAAATGAGTTTTGACATTTCTTTTTATGTACTTCCTCTAAAAAACTATTCTGTGGTCGAGGTCAAAAATTTCCCGAGGTTTTTTAGCACCACAGAGTCCTGACCACCACCGTCCCTATAGATCACAACTGTTCACTCCTGCACTCACACTCATACCCAAAGAAGGACATGAGAACAAGATAGAAGAAGACAGCATACGAACAAATGTGTGATTTTAAAGTTATTTAAGAAAGTGGAAATCGATTTGACATTGTTCAGTTTGATAGGTTTATCTTAAATTTAGTTTATGTCACGATCATTACAGGAATCCACCAACAAAATGTCAACAACGTTTTTATTATCATGACATGACAACTTTTGTATTAACATGCAGGTTTAAAGCTCTAGTGAGGAACTTTCTCTCTGTGTTGTTGACTTTATTGTCTGCTGTGACCCTTTGTATCGCTGCTGATTTTGTCTTGTCCAAGTAAAAGTGAGTTTTGATCCCTACCTAGTCTTTCACAGTAAAATTCATCACCCACTGTGCATATTCAAATATATAAAGACTGTTTCCTCTGCGTACCCACCCCCTCCCAGCAGTTAGAAGCACTGAAAATGACAAAAGAAACACAGAAAAGTCTTTTTTATAACCAACAAAACTCCTCACAGGAGCTTTGAATAAAATTTCAAATGTTCTGGACCCACAACTTGAAATCTTGCAACCCTTAGAGGGGTCCCAACCTGACTTAAGAAGCCACTAATCTGAATTTGACTCGGACGTTCCCAAACTGACCGTAACGGAGGGGGCTGAAGTCCAAATTTTGTACCAACAAGCTGCTAAATAAATGTTGTTTTTTTACAATATTCCTTCTCTTGGTGCAATTCTCCATCAAGATTTCTTAACTTTTATGATGCCAGGGTGCAGGAAATTCATATTGGGCAGTGGCAACACATTTTTAAAATGTGGAAAACAGAAAGGTATAAATTGAGGTTGGGATGAATAAATAAATTGTAGTTGAACAGAAAGAGTAACACCCTTTTTGGTAGTGGTTTGCAGTACAAAGAAATGTCCACCAGGCTGCGCTGTCTGCTAAGAAATATGATGTCTTTAAGTCTTTAGCAAGAACCTGCTGTGAGTCAAACTTACCAGGACTGTTTTCAGGCTGAATAACAGATTCAGCATGAGAGAGGGTTTAGTTTTGGTCAATTTAGACGCTTTGTTCAGATTAAATATCTGATCTGAGGTCAGATTTTTCAACTGAAGATGTGGTTTCTCATCTTCTCAACACAGAGCAAACATTAGGTTTGCAGTTTCCTCCAGAATCAAGACAGAATACAGGACAGAAGCTGCGGTTTGTGGTTTGCATTTATTATTGTTTGTGTGTCCGAAGCTTTAGTGTGTGCATATTGTGTGTGTGTGTGTGTGCATACATGTCCTGCAGGCCTTGTTTGTCTATTGTGTTTGTGCTTGTTATTGTTTACTCCTGAGGGGAGAGGCGAGCGATTGCATCTGAACACTGAAATTACAGCGATGCCAGACTCTGATAAACGCAGTCAGAGAGCAGCAGCCTCCTCGTCTCCCCAGCGCTGCACAGACCCTGAACTCAACATCACGTAGATGAGGGTGAGGAAGGGGTGAGGCAGGGGGAGGAAGAGGAAGAGGGAGACTTTCTGCAGAGTCTAGGTCACTACTATGAGAGATGAGAGCAGATTGCCTGTTTGTTTCTGTCGTTTTAATGTTTATTTTGTGGGAAAGTCGGCGCAGGGTCTCAGAGAAAAGGAGAAATAGGAAGCGAGAAGTCGAGTGAAAAGTCTTATCACACTCTGAGGCGGAGCTCAGAGGTTTATTCTGCTTTGTGACAGGACAGTATGAAGTCTGAAGGTGTCTCCACAGCAGTAATTTCTCCTCTGTCTTGTTTTCCGTATGAAAAACAGTCAATTTTGCACAATAATTCAATTCCCAAACTACAAGGAATTTTATCTTTCCAAGTTGTCCAAGTTGTGGGACAGAATTCAGCTCTTTGTATGCTGACTGCTCACCAATACAGCTCCAAAAATATGATAATGAAGGATACAGTTTCTGTCATAATTGATAGTTTGACTCGAGGAAAGTCCAAGTTAGTGAGTAAATAAACAATCTGAACTTTTTTTAGTCACACCTCATCAGTGTGGGCTTTTTAGGATTGAGGTGTACGGGCTTTAGCTCTCGATTTAAAATGAAATATGAGGCTTTGCAAACCTGTGAACCTCCTGTGTCATAATCCCAACAAAATCTGAAATATTAAAGTTTGACGTCTATTTTTATGTGATTTTAATGAGCAGAATTAAAAAACAAATGAAGCAAACGCAGAAGTGAAAAATCTGCAGTTCCTTGAGTGTCCACTAGAGGCTTTCACCAAGGACGTTACTGTTGTAGCCAATATAAAAATGTCTATTTTAACAACAGAATTTAGCATTAAGCAGCCTGGCACAGAGACAGTGTTAGCTGCTGTACGTCATGTATGTATTCATAAAGACAGATATAAACTTACTTAATAATATTTATTAACAAATAACAAATTGAACATTAGCACACAGCAAAAAGAAGTTCGACTTCCATGTAAACATTTAGTGCAAAACGATAGACAGACATAGAATATAGAGCGAACAGAATCGCTGTGTTGGCGTGTGTGATATTAATCAAAAGAAGAAAAAAAAGACTGGATCGGAACGCTGGCTCGGCATCATTCATCAGATATCCGATCCAGTTAATTTGTCAATATTGGAGCCGATATCTGGTCCAAATATCAGATCGGGCTCATTGAAGGTGATGACAAAGCAGCAAGTTGTCCTTAACTTCAGGGGCGAATCCAGTGGTGTAGCCAGGAGTAGCGAGGCAAATAAAAACCTTCAAAAAGACAGAAAACGTGTTAAAGTTCAACAACGTATTTGGACACTGTTGCAATGGATTTCCACTGGATGTCTTTGCATTTGCTTCAAGCCTGTTTTCCTATGTTGGCCCTCAAAAATGTAGAAAACCACTGCCTTACTGTAAAAGGACTTTAAGTTTATGGTTTTGAATAAATTTTTGGTTTGGATCCAAAAACATCCAGCAAAGAAGATTTCAATGTCGCCTCTACTTTTAGAGTTTAAAAAAAACTTATATGCACTTATAAAACATCTGTGTGATACTTAAATGTTAGCAGTTTCGGTAGAATTGATCAGACAAAAAAACAGTAAATTACCGTTGTTAATGTGTTCATTTCTGCACTCATACTTCATGCCACCCCTGTGAAAAAAGTCTTAGCACGCCACCTCTGCAAGAACACTCCTGTCGTAAAACATAAATCTAATACCACCCGACTCATATTCAATGTTGAGCTCGTTGTCTTTCCATTTTTTGGCCCAACACTCGTATTCACACCAGCAGCAGGTTGTAAGCCACTAACCAGACTATTTCTGACAAAGCAGAAAAGAAAAAAAAAACACGCCAAACTCTCATTCTTCTGTTATTATGTTTCACGATGAAACTGTGAAAGTAACGAGACAGTGATTTGGAAATTAAATAGCTCAAACATTTGCGCGTGAGTGCCTGAAGAAAAAAGGCTGGATGTGTGTGAGCATGTGCATACATTTCTGCATTAAAGAGTGTGTAAAGGTATAAAAGTGTGTGTGAGAGTGTGTGTGGAGGAGTGAAGACATCTGAACATTGTGTTCAGGGGCCCAGACGGCGCTCTGTATTAGCTTCACCTCGTTATCGTTATCGCCCTCCTCCATTGTGGCATGAAGGGCGGAAAATGATTAGAGGAACAGGTGACAATGGAGGCAGAGATTTCTGCCTTTACCCGGGGCACAAACCACCGTCAGGTACAGCAGCGTTACACTCAGAAGAAAAGGCGACGCACAAAAGAGCTCCTTTCTTACTTTAGAACACTCACGTCTTCTTCACGGGAGCCAATTGACTTCCTCCATCCCTCCATCCGTCTGCATGCTAATCACTGAGAGATGAGAGCTTCATACAGAGGAGTGTGTCCTCCATTTCTTCTTCAATCTCAACTCTTCCCCTTCCTCTTACCTCCTTCATATTTCCCTACCTGTCCTTTTATTTTACTCTAGTATGACTTGGACTTGATTCAATTGTGCGGGTATTAAAGCTCCTCTGAAGAGTTTTTTTGACCAGACTTAAAAGAAAAATGATGCCTTTTATGACCAACAGATGCAAACAAAACCATGAACAAAAATAAAAAAAATTTCATGTTTAACTTTTAACTCCTGTAACTGATCTGAGGGGGTAGGTGTCGGATCAGGCAATTTGTGGCATGGTAAAAACGATTCTTTATGAACTTTTCCATCAGCAAATATTAAAGATAAAAGTTATTTTTGTGAGTTAAAAGAGCAGGATAAGATTTTTTTTTTGTCTGCACTTTGTCCACAGAGGGCACCAAAATAAACACAGAGTCTCTAACGGGTCGCTCACACCAAGCGCGAGTAAAATCATCTACACGCTTAATTTGCGCAAATCTAGATGCGTGAATGAATAGTATTTACTTGCTTCATTTGCGCGTCAGCGATAATTTCAACATAAACATATTTTTTACAATTTACCAGGTAATCCGACCTCCTCACTCACTTTCTCCTTTTTATTCCGGTTGCGGTTATCAAAAGTAAAGGTATCATGTAATTCGGGGAACCCACACACCGACACGATCAGTTTTGTCTTCCATTTTAGATACGAGTGAACAACCGTCCGTTTTCATACATCATCTGGAAACCTTCATGCTGAGTGGTTATTGTGACACGAATATCCTCTCAAGTTAAGATTCGCCTGATTCGCGTCATTCACGCCGCCAGAGTTGCTATAGTGTCTAATCGCGTCTTTGCATTGACTTAACATGTAATTCATTCGCGCGAATGACTTTGGTGTGTGAAGACAGTTACAGGAGCTTTAATCCTAGTCTTAGATTTTAAGACACATGACTATGATCACCACTCCAGACTCAGAAGAATTAATCAAGTATTTTCCCAAGAAATCTGCAACACTGACACTCCTGATAACGTGCCACTGTGGACTTAAGTGGACACCGTTATTAAACAAAGTCTCCAGAGGATCCTAAGTTACCTGGCAGCACAGGTGTGTAAACTCCAAGTTAATGTCCATGAACTGAGATATTCTACCTGCTGTCACAAGTGAGACTTGGTGACAAAATATACCAGCAGTCCACACCAGGCTGAAGTCTGCAGTGATCATCAACCTGAGTCCTCTTCTGCACTGAGTCCACTTTTCACCTTCCTCCATCCTGGTTAATCGTTTATGTAAGTTTTGGTTCTTGTTATGTATTTTACTTTTAGATCTCCTCTCTGCATGTGTTCATCTCTTAATTCTGCACAAGAGTTTTTCTTCTCTTCCTCTGAAACACTTCTGTCTTCTTCAGGTGGGTAGAACAGGTGTTCATGGTTACAAATGGGCTTCCTTCTTTCCTCCATCCGTCTCCATGTTAATCAGAAGAAAAGAGACGAGAGCTAAAACCTCTTCCTCCTCCTCTTCTCCCTCTTCACTTTCAACTCTTTTTCTGATCAGAGAGGGAAAAAGAGGGAAAGATAGCGACCAAAGGAGGGAAGACAGGAAGCCAGGCCGAGGCTGTTTCCCACGGCGTCGGCTGGACTCTGATGTAGTAACGGCGAAGCATTATCTCATTCACCCCCTCCTTCTTTTCTTATCTCAATGCTTCCTCTTTTTTCCTCCCCCCTCTCCCTCCCCCATCCTTACACAAAGCTATCTGCTCCGTGGACTTTTCTGACTATTTATGTCGGACAAGGTCAGGATCGTTTAAACCGCTCTGCCTCTCTCAGCCCCCGCAGATGAGATAGCGCGGGAAGGGAGGGAGAAACGATCGATTCCCGCCGCCACGCAGATTTATTCCTCCCTCCTCCCTCTTCCTCCTCCGTTCTTCCTTCTCTTCTCTCTGAGACTCCCATTTGGGCTTTAAACCAACTCAGGCGGGAGGGAGGGTCACCATTTCTGCCTCCTGCACCAGGCACATCAGTCTCTTTAACACCCGTGGCGTTTAAAATACAGTAGCAGCTCTTAAACTGGCCACTTTTCTACCAGTCCAAATGAGGGCCAAACGCCTATTAATCTATCCGGCTCGGGTTCAGAGAGAGTGAGGCCTTCAGAGAACGAGATTTAGTCGGGAAATGTTGGTTTGTACCATTCACAGGGATGTTTTACAGATGAACTGGGACACTGACTGGTAGATTGTTGATCAATTATAAGAGAAGGATCACTGATGGTGTAGAAGGAAAATTAACAGCAAACGTTAAGTGTTGGAAAGCGTTTGTGCGTTTTCATTCTCAGACCAAGGTACATATCTGTCAACTGCTAAACATTAGTTTGACTTTTTTGCATTACTTGACTCGGACCCAGCACTACAGCAGGCAAGTATGTGTCAATCATGAATAGGGATGGGAATCACTAGTGGCCCCATGATACGATATTATCACGATACTTGGGTCACAATACAATATCACGATACTTGGGTCACGATATGCTAATATCATGATACTTGGGTCACGATACTATATTATCACGATACTTGAGTCACGATACTATATTAGCACAATGCTTGGGCCACGATACAATAGTCTCGCGATACTTGAGTCACGATATGCTAATATCATGATACTTGGGTCACGATACTATATTATCACGATACTTGGGTCACGATATGATATTATCATCATACTAAAGCCAAGATGCAATATTATCAAGATGCTTGGGCCATGATACGATATTATAATGATACTTGGGTCACGATTTGATATTATTGCAATTTTTGACATTTTGCAATACAGTAAGTATTGCGATACATTCTATAGTGATTTATACAATTTTTCCAACTGTTTAGCTAATTTAGCATTTGTCTTTCCTTTATGTTTGTCTTATTTACACAGTGTATTTTCATGTAGCACATCTTGCAAACCTCATTATATATATTTGTTGTACTAACTTTCTCCTGCTCTATGATGTCCCCTCAGCAAACCTCACTGGACAAACAGTTGATTTTATTTTTCCAGTATCATAGATTTGACTCCATATTAGGAATTAATTGGAAGAAATCGATACTTGGTAAATGAGACAATACGATAAATCACCAGACAAAATATCGCGACACGATGCTGTATCAATTTTTTCTTCCACCCCTAATCCTGAATGACTTCACTCTGATAAGATGAAACTGAAAAGCTGGTTACTGCTGTATCACAGTTACTAAAGGTGTCAACACTGAGGCTGTTTACCTGGGGAAAAGGAAGGATCCAAACCTGCTCTTGGGAAGATGGATCACAGACAACTTGAGCATGATCGAACAGCTTTTGTAGATTTGTTGTAATCCACGGCATAGACTTCTTTCTTCAAGACTATTGCTAGTAAACTAATCCTCCACATGTTGGTGCAGCACTGAAAACCTAAATCCATGCCCACCTGCGTGATAGGCCTCACTCGTGGGTTTATCCTGACCCCAGACTGTTCAATCTGCTCCTAGTTTTCCTTCGCAAGTGATTAAACACGGCGTCATCTGGAACCATCAGGGTCGGACCAGCCACATCTTTCCTCAGTCTGGATCATGCCAGTAAATGTGAAGCGGCAGTATTGTAAGCTCCTTCTTTTAAAGGAGAAGCAGGGCCGGACAATATCAGTATCAGCCCTGATGATTCTACACGAGGATCGCCTCTTGCACCCTTCCTTGAGTGATGATATGCGGAGTGATCGCCATCTGAGCCCACATCGAAACATTGCCCACATCGCCCTCAAGTGTTGGGAGAGACGGTAGAGGTAAAAGACACGAAAACTTAAAGCTATGTCACAGAAAATGGCGTAGAGTTACAAAAAACTCACTCTGGGGCACGATGTCGTGTAAGACAAAAAATTGGAAAAGAAAGCTTCAGACCCTGATAGTGACAAAGCAGAAAAACTGACCCAAGTGTGGTGCTAATTTATGAGATCCTGTTTAGTTTGTTTACCTAACTATGTTCAATTTAAGGTAAGTATTTCAGCTGAGTTAGCGTTTTGAATGTTTGAAATCTGATCGAAGTGTCACATGAGTTTTTCGCTGACATCGAGAGTTTATCATAGACAGGCAATGTTGTGAAAAGTGGCGTGTTGCTTACTTTGAGTGTTGTTTGTGGGAATACTTACATACGTCCTCCTCTTCTGTGTGTGTGTGTGTGCGTGTGTGTGTGTGTGTGTGTGTGTGTGTGTGTGTGTGTGTGTGTGAGATCCCCTGTCACTCATGTCTCTGGTTTCGGTGTTTTAGCTCTATGATAGATGGCTCAGCCCAACCTCAGAGTAGCGAGCCGGAGCTGCCCGACAGCATGTCACTGCCAGTTTCCGCCAACTCAAAGTGTGTGTTTGAATATGGGGATATGTGTGTGTGTGTGTGTGTGTGTGTGTGTGTGTGTGTGTTGAGCTGGTTCCGACCCCCCACTGCAACAGGATAGGTGGGTAAGGACGGCCTGGCAGAGTGTGTGTGTGTGTGTGTGTGTGTGTGTGTGTGTGTGTGCGTTTGTGTGTGTGGTTTAGAGTGCCTGAGGTCCATGTCCTGCTGAGTGTGTCGGCCCCGGCCCTTTCCTGTCCAGACCACACGTCTAACCAAAACCCAATGTGTGTTTACACATCTGTGTGTGTGCCAGTGTGTCTATTCATATGTGTGTGTGTCTGGGACAGACTGAAACAAACATGCTGCTGTTCAATTAGATTTTTTTGTGAGTATTTGATTTATAATTTAATCCATAAAATGTCCAAAATTTACCAAAAAGGACAAAAGTGAAGTCTGTCAATCTTTTGTCTCACTCCTCCCTAAAACAGTGTAAATTTAACAACAATTGATGTGTTGATAACTATTTCTGATGAACGTATCAGTTATACAAAGCATTTGTTTTCCAGAGGGATAGAGACGTCTTTAAAGTTCTCGCTTTGTCCGACAACGTCAAACAGAGAAAGGCCCTCGAATCTTTTGTATCCACCTGCTGGTAAGTAACTTTCTTACAGCTCACTCATCCACAACTTAAGATGTAGCGCTCAAATGGATTGTGCAGAGATAATGTGATTGCCAATTTTTGCATCTTTGTTAAAAAACTGACACATGACACATGAATTTTGCATAAGCATTGCAAATTATTTGCGGTAGACTCGACCTTTTCACCGTCTCGTGACTCTGTCAAACCTCGTATCACGTTCAAGTTTGTGGTTATTCTGTAACTGCTTTCATCAGTTTGTTTGACGTCTCTTTCTTCTGCTTCCTGTCTATTTTAATATCTGCCAAAATTTCGACATGACTTTCTTCCTCTTGTCTTCTTTTCCCTGTTGGTGTATGGTCAGCCACTCCCACGAATTTTAAGTTTTGTGTTCTTCATGACTTGCCATGTATGATCTCGTTGTCCCTGGCATCTCACTGTTAAGTTTTGGCTAGGGTGACCATATGTCCTCTTTTACCTGGACATGTCCTCTTTTTTGGGGGGCTGTCCGGGCTTGTCCGGCTTTGTCCAGGAAAGTTTATAAAATCCTTCAAATGTACGAAAGTTTCGAGTTTGTGTCACGTGGACTTACTGAGTTAGAAGTGTGTAAAAGACACTTGATCCAACCCGAAAAACTCTCAAAATTACCTGTGTGCGACTCTGTGACTAGTCGTGTTCTCTTTTTTGGAAGTCAAATATGGTCATCCTAGTTTTGCCCTATCAGAATAACACAGCTGAGTGACAATTAAGAATAAAGCAGTAATTACGTTCTTTAGAAGATTGAAACATAGACATTTCTGGACGTATGATCTTACATCAGGAGGATCATTTGTTATTTTCAGGTCACACACTTTTATTTTGTCTGTTTCAGCTGGATAAAAGGTCAAAGATGCCTTTAAAAAATATATATCCAAACAAGAGCTGACGTGATGGTATTGTTTGGTACCAGCGAAAGCTCTATAACAACTGCACAATGAAACTCAAGGTTCCTGTTTTGTCCTTTTTTGTGGCAAAGAGTAACTTTTCTTGTCATCAGTTGTTAATTATTCTCTCTTACTCCTCTCTTAAATGTTATCCCCTGATTCGTAACTTTACTTTTAGTCCTAACTTCTTACACAACCTCCTGAGAGTGCACTCAAAGGAAATCTGATCAGGGGAAAACCACGCTTTCTGGTCAGGAGCTCCAGATCTTTACAAAAAGGACCCCCTCGACAGCGATTCGTCAAGTCAGACAACATAGATGTCATTTTAACGCCTCAAACTCCAAGAAACACCTGAGGTTTCTTCTTTGTTTTTACTCCACAAAGAATCAAACTTTTCAGCATTTTTTTTAGATGAACTCAACGACAGAAGAATCAATCATCAGAGAAATAATCCTTTTGCATCGGTTGATTTATGAGCCCTTTCCTCATCTAATAATTCATTTTTTTCCCCTCTGTCTTGAGTTTTTGCCATTTTTCTTAAAACAGTCCCTGAGATTTCTTCGCCGATACCCGACAAACTCACGGCACCTAGAGGAGAAGGAAAAATAAGTAGTGAAATCCTGCTGCCCCCCTCCTCTTCCTCCCTATTCTTCCTCGCTCTCTCCAGCTCTGCCAGCAGACAGTGTGTTTCTCAGCGTAGTGGAGATTATAGCCGGGAATGACAAGCACGCCGTCTGATACCATATCCGCTCTGAATTACAGATCAGCCCTTTTTAAATGATATTTTAAATACTTGCTGCAGGCTGCGAGTTTTCACAGGGTCTTAATTCATTGTTATTATACTAGTACCATATTTTTGTTAGAAAATCAGTGTTGGCGCTTATTTAAATGAGGGAGAGTGGAAGCCGATATACACTCCAGTGTGTTATTTTACTGTGCCACTTTGGAAAATCCCTCAATACACCCCCCCTCTTCTTTCGCCGCTGCTTTTCTCCACACACACACCCACCCTCCCTTTCTTTTTTTTTTTTTTTTTTACTGTGTTCTGGGTTGGAATTAAAAGGGAGCACTGTGAAAAGGACAAAAGAGAAAGGACAAATTGTAATTAGTTTGATTTTGCGTGTGTGTGTGCTTGGCTGTGAGGTTGGTGGAGCCCATTAAGGGTTAGATTCCCACACAGAAAGACGACAGCGGCTTTGATTACCTCTCTCATGTGTTTGGGGGGGCTGGTTTAGTCTAAAAAAACGTGCACGGATTTGACTTCACCGTCGCCTATTTTGATCATTGAATTAATAGCAAAAATGTCCCTTTTGTTTCTCTTTTTTTTCTAAATATATATAGAGAGGATTGAGAGGGAGGTGTAGTACTGGATGTGGCGTGCTGGGTGGCGCTGTTGCCCCAGTGATGCCCCCCTTGCTTCTGGATGAAAAAGGTCCCTCGGTTTCAGATGGAGGCTCTGAGCTCTTTGTGCTTTGGTGTTTCATGATGGGATTCTCTGGAGAGCAGAGGATGGAGAACGACACTCCTTCCCCCTCTAACCTCTCTCTCTCTCTCTCTCTCTCTCTCTCTCTGTCTTTTTGTACCTCTCTCTCTTCCTCTCCCTCGCTCTCTGCTGGAATACACCCTAACCTTGACATATCGAGAATGAAAACGACGGTTCCACATCCCGTGCTCGCTTGTTGACAGCGTTAACTCTCTTTTCATGTGTGTTTTGATAGCTGAAAATGAACCATATTAGACTGTTAAGAGAAATTATGTTGAGTGTGTGTCTCCTCGAACATGCATCGGCCTTATGTGTGTGCAGTATGTCCAGAAACTACCTTTTTTTTTTGGCTCCCACGCTCCCGATTCACGTGCGCTCACACAAATATACATGGGTGAACATGCACGGAGCTAATTGGACTCCATGTTTGTTTATTTGGTCTGAGACAGAAGTATGTAAAATAGACCCAAGGGGACAGAAATTTAGCCGGTGGGGCCAAACTAACAATTTTACCCTCCCTGCTACTGTCTCACCCTCCTGACCCGGGTCTCACCCTTTTGTCTTTCGCCATGTCTCTTGGTGTATCCTCCTAAATGTCATCTTAGTGCATGCATATCCTCTTAATTCTTGTCTGACTTCTTTAATACCTTTATAACAACTCCAATTCTTGATATGTTTGAAGTTACGACCCAGAAATGTGAGTTTTTTGAGGTGTGTACTGTTGATCATTAAACCTGCTAGAGGCTATTTGTTATTATTTGAACCCTCTTCACACCATTGAAATATATTTAATTATATCATAAATGTAATACGCAATATACTTACTGTGTCATATGGTGTTCTTTAAAATCATTTTGTGTTGTATCATGATGGTTCATATCATTTTGTATCCTGCTGTATAGAGTGGCGACAGAGACAGTGGAAAAACACCATGTTTAATAGCAAACTGGGTCCAGCGCTAATGATGCTAACTTCCCTCTCATTTGTGTGTGTGTGTGTGTGTGTGTTTATATAAGCCTCTGTGTGTCACTAGTGTGCGTGTTTGTGCCGTTAAACTTGTGACTTTTCCTTGAGAACCAAAGTACAATGTATTCTGAAATACTTGAAGGTATAATGCATCTGCACAGTGCTTATATCAGTGTGTGTGTGTGTGTGTGTGTGTGTGTGTGTGTGTGTGTGTGTGTGTGTTCATGAGTTTTATGCATTCCTAGATACTTGTGTTGCATCAAGTTAAGGTTCATTTGTTGCCCGGTTTCAGGTTTAAAATGAGCCATGCCTCATCATCAGGAAATAAGCTAGCACATGTTTGTTACAAAATGCGAGGTAGAGTTGCGTGGGAGGACAGTGTGAGTGTGTGTGAGTTTAGTTTATGTTTGATTTGCAGTCATGCGTTCAGACTTTTTTTTTTTTTAAACTGGAGCTACAGGGTGAAACCAAGAAATACTTTCTTAGACATGAAAATAAATCCAAAGCAGAAAATCCCATAACTGCAGTTCCTTGATTGACCACTAGAGGCTGGCTCCACAAATTGTCCAGTACCCATAGGACCCTATATTAAAATAACCTACAGTAAAGCAGAGTTAATCAAGGCGACAGCATTGTATGAAAAAAATTTTTTTGGTTTTAATCCAAATTGGTTTTAATCTTCTGGCCTCTGACTGGGTTATTCAAGTTTAGCTGATGGTATATTCAACCCTGGACAGACCATAACAAAGATAGCAGCCTTACATTAGCTAGGGTGACTGTAAGTCCTCTTTTACCCAGACATATACTCTTTCTTTGGGCGCTGTCTGGCCTCATCCGGCCTTGTCAAGTTTTGTCCAGGGGGAGTGTATAAAATCCTTCAAATGTCCAGGGTTTTGTTTGGAAGTTTCGAGTTTGTGTCGCGTGGACTTACTGAGTTAGAAGCGCGTAAGACACTTGATCAGACCTGAAAAACTCACAAAATTACTACATACGACTCCGTGACTCTGCCCTCGCTGACAGTCATTGTTTTTATTTGTAGGGCTGATTTTGTAAAAGCAAAAAAACACTCTTGTCTTCTGTATCCTATGATTACTTCCTTGGTTGTCGACCCCACTGACACCATTGTTGTTAAAGGTATGAGGAACCAAGTGGAAGGCATTAATAAGAGAACTGTTCTGCATCCATGTCAACTGCTCAAACTAGAAGGAACTGGTTCTGATCTGGAGCTGGTTTTTAGTTCCCACCCCTTTTCGCCATTCATCACAAGGTACAGATGCCTCCAGTCGCCAAAGCGTGAATCTGATAACAAACGTGATGTTGGCTAACTTTTTTCATGCTTTCTAGCAACAACCTTTCATGTAAAAAAGCTCTGAAAATTGTAGCATGCTGTCAGAGTCCTTAAACTGGGTCTTTATACCATTATGGCTATGTCCACTTCTGTATGTACAGGTGATATATTATGAAATTTAAAACAAAACAAAAAAAGAAAATGGTGATATTCATCCTAAGGCAAACCAGCGCTCCATAAAGTACATCACACTCTTTCCTTTCCTTCTGATTTCTCTGTCATCACACAGTTTAAATGTTTCCTCTCCTCCATCTCTCTGCTCCTGTGCTCTCACCTCTCCATCAACTCCTGCTCCGAGGTTTCATTTTCTTGCTCCTAGACTCCATTTCCTCTCTCATTCCTGTCCTTTTACCTGCTTTTCTCTCCTTCTCTTTTGTAGATGAAGGATGACTCCACATGCATTGACATGTTTATACACAGAAAACATACACACGCATGAAAATGATTAAAAGCTAAATTGTGTACTGTACATGAACTGATACTCGGGTTGAACCAGCACATACCCGCCGCGTTTCTTCACTGAAGCTATGGATCGCCTCAAGGCCTGAAATGAAAACCCATTAAATCGGACATTTTTCCCTTTCACTTGCATACTGTCACAGCTTGGTGAAAACCAGAATTGAAAAAGTGTTTTCAGAGGTATAAGAATGAAAACCTTGTTTAAAGGATTACCATTTTTGGAAGGGGTGAAAAAAATTCAGAATTTTGAAAGATTTATTTATTCAAGATTGACAAAACATGCTACCGTCCCCTCTGAATTCCTGGAAGCCAAATATTTTCTGTTCTGTAAACTTTCATTTGTGTAGTTAAGTAATAACAAGCTCAGTGTTCGCTTGTATGTCACGTAACATTGAGGAAGAAGTTTGTTTTTACTCTGTACAAACTGAAACAGTCTAAATAATGAAGTTCAGAATTTAAAGCATCAAAATACTCAAATTAAACCAAAAAAGACAACAACAAAAAAATCATACCTGCAGTTCACTTTTATTATTTTTTTACAAGTGATAAAATAGATTAGATTTGTCACCCCAAACGTTGGCTGCATGCCTCATACTGGGATGACCAGTCTACTAGTAAAATACAAACAAATTTTAGTGAGTTACAGTATTGACGCAAATGACCACTTTGCTAGAATGGCCTTTTAATGAAATATTGTGCTTTTTCAAATTTTACATCCAAACTTTAAATTAAAGCTCCTGTAAGGAGTTTTGTTTAGAGTTTTTAAAACGGACTCAAATTTAAATGGATGCCTTATTATGATTTACCAAAGCATAAAAGACTTTATAAAAATAAAACTTGACGATTTGTATATCCTAATTTTTGATGTCTGAAACTGGAGGTGGGGGGTAGGTGTCGGCCGAGCAGGTGAAGACACACCAAAAGTCACAAACATAATAATCTTTATACTTAAACATGTAGTGTACAAAATAAGTTAAGATGGCTTTGCCAATAAGGGGTGCTAATTGTGACCTAAACCAAATGTTTCTGACAGAAGCTCTAAAATGATGTCTGTTGACCCCAAAGGACCACATTTAAAGGGATATTCCGGCGTACAATTAAGTTAGGCTCAAACACACTGTAACACTGCGTCTCTGTCTGATTGCATTTCCATGAAGTAATAATCATAAATGTTCTTCCTTGAGCTGCGTCACCTTGCTGTCGATGGAGTCGCCTATATGTACTGTTGATGAAGTTAGGGGCTGTTCTGAACAGTATTTGTGGCTATAGAGTGGCGTTTTGGTTGAGCACGTGGCTCTCTGTATTGCTATCTGCGGTTGTTGCTAAAGTTGGTATACCTAGAGAAGCAAGCAGTCGGCAACATTCATCTCTCAACAAGGCGTCTAACTTGGTGTTACGCTGGTTTGACCCTAACTTAATTTTATGCCGCAATATCTCTTTAAGACTGTGTTCCCCATAAAATCACATGCACATGGACACCGGTATTTTTAAGAGATGATTTTTCAAAAAAAGACATTCAGTCCACACCAGGGGCGTTTATAAATGTTTCTGTCCTCACAACAACGCAGAAATGATTGAATATGTCATGAGCATGCCAGACCAGTAGGTGGTGATAATGGGTAATCAGTGCATCACTTCAACACCATGAAAGAACATTGTGTGCGATACAGTGGCCTGTGGAGCTAACCCAGCAGAATTGAAGATACAGCCAGGAAGTTCAAGAAGCACACCGTCAGACAGTTTCCTGGCACATCAGAAATCACAGAGATTCCCGTAGAAATGTATGGATTTGTGGTTGACTTGCCTCCATTGACATTTGTGACTTGTGTTGATGATGCACAATGCAAATAGACAACAATGCCTTTATCTTGATTCTTTTCACATTAAACAGATCCAAAAATATCATTGATAACTGAGTCAGACGAGACTACAGGCACTCGATAATCAAACAAAATGACTGACTGTGATTTATTTTCTGAAACAGAGGTACTTTGACACTGCAGAGCTTTTAGGAGGGTAAATATTCAAACCCTGCTGCTGTTGGTTCCCACAGTCATCCACCTTTTTCCCACCGTCTCAGTGTGTGAAGTCCAAATGAAACAGAAAATATTCATGGCTTCTCTCTGTGGGCATAAAGACCTGGACCTCCTGCCCTGGCCATTCAATTAGCCTCAGTGTCCAGTGTGTGTGTATGTGTGTGTGTGTATTTCTGTGTGTGAGTGCAGCACAAACTATTGCCCTGTCTGAGCAGCCAACCTCAACTAAGGGCCAGGCTCAAACAGCGGCTTAAAGCTAACCAGGTCACAGCTGATGGTGTGAGAACCGGGGCTGTGCACGCTGCAGTGTGTGTTTCGATTTGTGTGTGAGTGTGAGGATGAGACTAAGAGCTGAAATAGCCCTCCTAACTCTGTCTATATGTCAGGGTGTATTCCAAAAATAAAACCTGCTACCTGTCGGTTTTCCCATGATGTCACCTGCACGCGGCGGAGCTTCCCAGCATTTGCTAAAACTCGACTTTATACGTGTTTGTTCGGTTTAATCTCACCTGTTTTTTTAGCGTGCGGACGTGCCAGCCTCCGCCAAAGCTGCCATGTCTTTCAGCAGCGTACAACAACTCTGTCAGAGCAGTCAGGCTTCGGTGACTTTCTGCTGAAGTTGTTGAGTAATCAAAGGTTGATTCTGTGGAATCACTCTGTCCTCAGGCTGGTGAATAAAAGCAGGTTAAGTCTGTTTGACCTCCAACTGCCCAAAAGGGATTGGTAGTTTGTTTATTTTAGGCAACAGCTGTGGAAACCAACCATACTTAAATGGTTTTAGTTCACAACAGATAGAGTTGCAGATAATGCTTTGATATAACACCGCTCAGGTCCGCAGACCTGAAGCATCAGGCACTTTAGAGCGTGAGTGCAGATTTAAGAATCAGTCGATTAATAAGTGAGTCTGCTTTTCACGTGAGTGAATTTGTAAGAACTTTTGTCCTCAGAAAGTGTGAATATGAGACACTTTTAGGTTGAAGCTGGTACTTTTCTCCTACTTTTCTTATTGAACATATTGATACTTGAGGAAGTTATTGTGCTCTTTGCTGTCTTTCCTGGTTGTTCTGTAATGAACACAGATTTGACCAGGAGAGCTAGCTCCTGCTCAGTGAACTCAATCCAAACGTGCCTGTAATTCACAGTGTGTGACTTACTGTCAAAATAGACTGTCTTTCAATACGTCTTTCAACTTTTATTCACTTTTTTTTGTTTGTTTTGCAAATCCAATGAAACACTCAGAATCCAGGAGTAAATTTTCTAAAGTATTGTCAGAGGTGTTTGTGAACACTTTTCTGTCCCCATGACAATAAGGAAATAGTTTTTCCCAGAATGCATCGACATAATGGATTCCAACCTTAGTAAGTGTCCACAAAGCATTCTGGATCTGAGCAGCTCAGTGGCAGTACTTTCTCTATTTTATTCTCCCTTGTCGGGTCATAATCGTTCATGCAAAGAAATCAAGGTTATACTTTTGAGTTCATAAACCTTGTAGAGTGCAAGGAAGAGCTTTAAGGGACCAAGTGACTAACCTGTCGGATTTCGAGAGTCAGTTGAGGGTCACTAAGGGGGTCTGATAAGTCACTAAATCTAGCAACAAAGTCACTAGGTTGGCAACACTGAGAGCGTTTATTTCAGATTTATTGGTGACCCAAAAGGTACATTTTCCCCTCAGATTGGCAGGAAATGAACATGGGGAGGAACTGTGACATCATAAACTGAGCCAAAACGGAAGTCTTTGCATTTGGCTTTGGGAGGTTAGTAGTTTTGAAAGAAGGTGGATCAAGTCATTGTGGATATGAGGAAAGTAAAATAAAGAGAAATTTGGTGTCCTTGATTATAGGAAACCCATCAGTTATTAAGCCTCGGAGCATCTTCCAGTGAAATGGCTGGTGATGCTTGTGGTTAGATTTGACAGACACTGTACTTTTTCGTTTGCAGGTCAGAACTTGACAGTAAATAAACAACAAAAGTCGTAGCTTTCACAAACTTGACATTGGGGAATATTTGCCTTGGACCCTTTTCTAAAAGCCAAAAATAGATAATTCAATGAACTCCTTTTTGAGGGGTTCAAAACTTTACACGCAGACTTTTACTTACAATTGAAACAAGAATATCAAATAGAACAGTAAATATTTAAAGTTTATACAAGCTGAAAATTCCTCCTTGAGTCACTCCTTCAACAACAATGACTGGGGAAAGTGTTTGGTGTGGCTGGTTTACAGTGTCATCTTTGTGTCAAGTACTTTCATGCCCAATTCATTTGGAATAACATGTTAAAGAAACAAATGACGGTGAGTCTTCTTCCATAGAAGTTGTGTAGAGAGGGTTTATCGGTAGCCGGGAAAGCATTAGTCATCTGTACCAACTTTGTCCTGGAGCTTCTCCATCATTTCCACAGAATTCAAGGATGTACACTCACTTTATACATTTTATATACATATATATAATCTTATTTTTCAAAGTTACCATGATGGAAATACCGTATACTGTTACTTTAATGGCCTGATGTGAGCTGTAACTTCAGCAAACCGCCTTCCTCTTCCTCCCTGACAGGCATTTCCCACCATCAGAGACCGTATAGTGTGTGTTTCTATAGTCTGCCATTCCCAAAGTTGGCGGAGTGTGAAGACATATAATTGCTTCATGAAACCTAACTAGGTGATATGAATAATCTGTCAGTGGAGGAGGCGACCTGGCCTCCTTGCCAATCACAGAGGTGTCCCTGAGTAGCGGAGCGTGGCCAAAACCATACCTGTCCATCCGGAAAAAAAAAAAAAAAAAAAACATATCTGTCCCTCAACTTCCCCCTTTCCCCCCAAATCGGTGTTATCAGACCAAAATGCGGAGAGTGTGTGGATGTGTGTTTGTGCGAATACATTGGAGACTCTCTAGGTACCACCATGATCAACTCCAACATCAGATAGAGAACTGGCCACTGATTGGTCTGATTTTAAGTGTGTGTGTTTTTTTTTTTGTCTCTCCAGTACAGACTTGGAGACATAAGGGAAGCTGAGAGGAAACAGTTTTGATAAATGTACCGATAAGCAGTCAAACTGGTTGAGTTTGAGGTCAGCTTTTGCACAGTGAACAGGCTGAATAAGAAGGGATATAAACAAATCACAAGAATCAAACCATGTCAAAAAAGTTCAATAATCTTGACAAGGTTTGTTCGCTTAAATATCCTAATTAGTTATGAACACAGAGATTTATAACCGGGTATTAGGGCCACATGAAGAAAAAGAAAAATTAGGACTTAGAGATTAAAGTCATTAACTTACGAGAATAAAGTCATTACTAACAGGATAAAAGTCATAATAAAGTAAATACAAGAATAAAGTCATACTAAAATGATTACTTATGAGAATAAAGTCGTAATAAAATAATTTCTTAAGAGAATAAAGTCGTTGTAAAATCTTTACCTATGAGAATAAAGTCGTAATTAAATCATTACTTACGATAATAAATTCATAATAAAATCATTACCTACCAATGAGAATAAAGTCGTAATATACAGTAATTACTTAGGAGAATAAAGTCGTAATAAAACCATTTTTTAAGAGAATAAAGTCGTAGTAAAATCATTACCAATGAGAATAAAGTCATAATAAAACCATTATGATACTTATGATACTGTGGTGCTGTTGTGCCAAAACATTAAGTATCACCCTGTTTGAGAAACCTATATTGAAGTACATTTTCATGAAATGGCTTTCATTTCAACAACTGTCATCTTAAACAACTGTTGAGAATATACAGACTTTATTCTGACTTTATACTCGTAAGTGATTACCTTACTATGACTTTATTCCCGTAAGTTATGATTTAATTACAACTTTATTCTCGTAAATTAATGACTTTAATCTCAAAGTCTTATTTTTTTTCTTAATGTGGCCCTAATTCTCCATCGTAGAGATTGACTCTGGAATTAACCCACAAATTCAGATTAAAGATTCAATAGTTGTACATTTTATATGTCTGTGTAGAAAATACCTAAAACTGGGCCATGTCCGCCATAAATGTATCTTTTGTCTTTCTATAAATTTCCATCTTTAAAATGTTTAAAATCTCAAACTGCTTAAAAAGTTATCACGTATGAAATATTAACAGGAGTCTCTCTGGAGCAGGTGCTCCCTAAAACAGACAAAAGAAGTTGAACATGTACTATCCAAATGTCAGTTTAAATCATTTCAATCCTTTAAATTCAACGTAAAATTAAAACTTCAACGATTTCAGAAAAGCTCAGCCTCTTATTTTGCATAAAAAAAAAAAACACAAAATCAGCTTCCCTCTGTAAACACAAGCAGAACACTTTGTCTTTTTCTCTCCTCATGCTGTAACCGAGAGGATTTGGCTGCACGGAAAATCGGTGTATACCTCCATGCTTTTTTCCCATGATCCTCTGCATTAACCATCTTCCAGCGACCCTCGGGATCACCTCCACCCACCACATAAACACGAGTCACTCGGCCTGTCTCGGTGATCTTATCAAGTCCTTTTCATTTACAATGCCGAACTGGCCTCCGTGTGTTATTATGAACACACGAACTCACCGTTTACACCAACGAGGAACCACGAATACCGCGTACATTTGTGTTACTGTCCTCAATGAATGTGTGCAATGTTTGGTTCATGGCTTGAGTGTATTTATCTGTCGAAATGTGTGTGTGTGCCTGGTGTGTGTACATGCGTGTGTTTGTGCGGCTCTGTGTGTGTGTGTGTGCAGATATACAGTATATGGCGTGTTTGTTTTTATCAGAGATCTTTAAGCTGGGTCATGTGTTGTTGCTTCACATTTCATCATCCTGCGCTCTTATCTGCTGTTTTCATACACAACTGCTGTAATACTGTTATAACACACACACATACACACACACACTTACAATATACCAGACTCCCACCATATAACGGTAAGCCGGTATAGATAGTTTGTAGGAGGGAGCATGAAGGAGTAATGAAGAGAAAGGAGGCAACAAAAAAAATGGAGGGAAGCGCTGAGAGAGGGATGAGGAGGAAGGAGGAAGCCGCCATTATCTGACGCTGTTTGTTGTTTTTGTTTGGTTTTTTTTCGTTGTTGATTTCGGGGCTGATGTGGACAGAGAGGCTGGAACCTGTCAACGATGCGAGGAATGAAGCCTCTCAGATCTTTCGTACAGATTATTTTGTCCTATGACACACACATATCTCCCCCTGCACGCTCCACATGGTGTTGTTTTGTCTGTGGCGTGCTTACATATGGAGGTTTTTGTGTTTGTGTGTCTCCAAGCCTGGACACCAGCCGGGAGGTTACTGTCGGGTCATGACGTATATGAAAATCTGTAATTTTCGCCTCTACCTCGAAACTATTCAACAGTTTTTGTTTCACTAATGACAACCTTTCATGGCAACCTTTTGTATTTTTTGTCCTGGTTGTTTTTTCTTTTTACGACTTTAATGGCATATCTTCTCTCTTGGTACTGTTATTTATCTGTATCTGTCTTTTCTCACACATACTTGTTTATACATGCAATTCTCTATTTTCATTCTGCTTTATTTTTATCTTTATTTCATGTTCATTGCTTTAGCACCAAATTATCACTCGTGTAAATCTACCTATTTGATGATAAAGAAACCGTTAAAAGTGAAAATCTGAAGGGGCGCCAGGTCAAGCGTACAAAAGCCAAAAATAAGTAGAACATAGATGAAAAATGTGCTATGTGAATTATGTGAGTTACAAGCCCCAATGATGCAAATTTATGACACACTCATACTCTATACTCGCTTCATTTGCTTGTTGCAGAGAGTGGAAAAATCTGACCTCTAGCGCATCACTTGCACTGTGATAGCCTATCAGCATGAAGATCCCCTGTGATCCCCTATGTTAGCAATAAAGTCCTCGTCGACTTATTGGTCGATACGTGCTGAGTCGACTAAAATTCTGATTGGTCAATTTTTTTCCTCGTCAATGGTTAATTTCATCAGGAGGAACGTACCAAGTACTAATGGGGGTGTTTTCAGAACTCCCCGTTCCACAGGTAACAGCCTGTCTCAGAACAACCCCCCTTGTTTTCACCATTTTGGATTCACCCAACCCACTTGAGATCAGGTGTAGACAGGAAGATTGAAGAGCGTCCACGTTAATCAATGTTCGGTGGTTTGCTGAACATTTATATTTTAGCCTTTTGTGTTTAATTGCCATCTTGTGCTAACATCAGTATATTTTCACCCCGCCGAGCCGCGCTCCGCTGACATTGTCCCCTGCCACAGAAGGGTTGCCGTCAGAGTCTGAAACCCCCCCCCACCCCCCAACTCCATTAGTCAATTTTTGGTCGGTAATTTTAGGTTTTTAGTCGACCAAGAATTTCTTTGGGTGATTACATCCCCAGTTAGTAACAGCCCGGTGGATGTTCCTAGGAATTTAAAAAGAAGGAAAGTAAACAAGGAGGGTGGATTATCTGGTTAGTTGTGAAAACACAATTCCTAAATGGCACAAAGAAAATCCCTTCTCTTCTGTGTAATTTTGGATCAGGTAGATGTAGCTTGGCAAACAGATACCACAGTAGCTGTAGTGAAATTAACGTCCAAAGAGACCAGAAGACTTATTAGCGAAGGACAACAGCTCTTCAACTCTAGGGTGACCATATTCTGACGCACAAAGTTAATTGAGAGTTTTTCAGGTCGGATCGAGTGTCTTTTCAGCATTTCTACCTCAGTAAGTCCATGTGACACAAACTCGAAACTTCCGTACAAAACCGCGGACATTGGAAGGATTTTATAAATTTCCCCAGACAAACCTGGACAGCTCCCCCAAAAACAGGACATTTGTGGGTAAAAGAGGATGTAAGGTCGCCCTATTCAACTTTTTATCTATTGCTAAGTTTACGATGCAGTCGCCGCTGACTTTTACAGCTGCTTTTATTGTTTTTGCTCTGAGATGATGAACACATAACAAACTGCGTCCCACCCAACATTGGTTTTAGATAGAGCGGGACACTCCACTGAAGCTAAACATTGACGACATTAAACATAAAAGCTTGATTGTTATGGGGTCATTACTTGGGGGTGTCATGGATTTCTCTCTTTCATATTGTGTTTTATGACTCACCCTAAATTTGTCAGACAGCCTTTCTCCGAAAAAGTAAATCCTCTCCTGTCTGAACTTTGTGTACAGTCACTGAAGGCTTCCACTGAGACCCTCAATACAGGAAATATCCTTTGCTTGCTTTTCCTGTCTGAGCATCGCATCCCCCATAAGCCTTTTCTCGGTCATTCTCGCTGCCACAGCCCTCCGTCCCAGTCTGAACCATGGGAGTTTTTCCCTTCCTTATGCTCAGCTCAGAAGCTGATTGGATGATGACTCTAATGGTTTGTTGTTTGACGAGGGGGGCAAGCCGAGTGCGGGGGCGCATAATGGCATCCGATTTTGGGGAGGAAACGAGATGTAAATGAGGTAATTATGTGTCTTAACGAGGGCAAACAGCGTTGACATTCTAGCCCCAGTAACCAGCGTATTTATAGCCCATAATAACCTTAAGTGGGACTGGCTGGAAGACTGTCAAGGGAATTAGAGCCGACTGAACAGCGCTGCTTTTGTTTTTATTAGGGGTTGTGTGCTTGAATCAGCAAGGTTCGACTTGGATTCTGTCTTCATACTGGAGGGAATGGACTTGACAGGCGTAGCTTTGAGCTTTGAGAAACGGGGAGGATGCTGACAGACTCCCCGCTGATTTGTCCAACCTCCTTTTTAAAATAGTTTGATAGTTTCGATACAAAAAAGAGAGACAGCAAGTCGAAACTTGAGTCCCCCCTGTGGAGACAGATGGAGAGGTCTAATTTTTCTGTAAAATCAAAACAAATTGGTGAAAATATTTTCCCTCCGAGGATTTTGTTTTTGTCTTGTTGCTAGTGAGCTGGAAGAATCAGACATGAGTCAACAAAAACAAAGAGTATTCCTGAAAGTTAAAGGTATTTTGGGGATTTTCCAACACCTCTATTCTTCCTCTACATTGGAAATGAACTCTGATTTTGATTCTTCATGATGAAAAAGGTTAAATAGTATCTTGATACTTTAAGAGTTGTGAATGAAGCTTCAACCTCTTGTGGACAGAGCCGACATGAATCCTTCTTGCCGTTTTTCCCTCCTCTTTGCCTCACAGTCAGTGGTGGACTGGACCATCGGGATCACCGGGCCAATTCCTGGTTTTCCTGGGGAAAGTCCCGCCTCCTTCGCCTCTGATTGGCTAGAAAAGCTGGAAACGTCATCACACGCTCAAGACAAACAGTCAGCACTTATAGCCAATCAGAGGCGATAAGATAAGCGCATAATACTATCATGACAACCGTTAGCTTACGTTAGCTCAGATGAAAGTTAAAACAAAGACGTTTAACAAACTGTTAAAGCACACAAACCATCGTCATATGAGAGATCCGATGCTATGTTGTCCTTTAGGTTGTTATCTTTGTAATATTTGTGTTTTTTACCAAAAAGCACTCTGTTCTCCGACACGTAAACAATCAGCCGGTCGGCCATGTTGGATATACCGGTAAATCTGACGTCGCAACAACACGCTATCTGAAAAAAGCAGCAATATTGCAGTTGAACGCTTGTATTGACAGGATGCCGGTTCCAAAAAATATTGACGACCGAAATAATCGCACGAAAAAACGGTCCCGGTGTGAAAGGACCTTAAAGGGGGTGGGTGCATCTCAGAGATTGTTTACATTTTTGTTGAGGTAAAGAGTTGTGTCACATTGTGATTGAAATTTTGTTTTTTTGTTAAATAAAGTTTGCTGTGAAGCTTTTGCACAGAGGCATATTTTTGTTTATATTTCATATTAAATTTTCAGTCATGTAGACAATGTTGAATTCTTCACATTAGCTTTATATTCACTAAATCTGGCTTCAGATATCCAAAACTTTTCACCGGTGCCGGCATTTGCGCATCAATGTGTACTGGCCTGGCCTGGATGGAGTCAAACTCCTGGCCTGAATTATAGTCCCAGTCCACCCCTGCTCACAGTTTAAAATAAATAGTAAATGTTACGTCTCAAATTGCCCCTTTAAACAACTGGATAGTTTTGATACCGAAGAAGAAAGCGAGTTTGAACTTTGATCTCCCCCCTGTGTGGAAAGCTCATCCCTCTTTTCGTGGCCTCTCATGTAAAATGTATAGAAACAGGCGAAAATATTTTCCCTGCTAGATTTTTCTATTTGCTCAACTAGTTAGTGAATAAGAAGTATCAGTCCCGAGTCAAGGAAAACAAAGAGCGCTCCCTAACCAGATTGAGTTTCAGTAATTTTTGGCTCCTTCCACCCTCCTTCCTGAACTCCATTTTTAGTCCTTTTTTGTTTAAGATGGTAAAAAAAGATTTAAAAGTGAATGAAGTGAAGTGGAACCTGGGCAGGAGGAGGCCAGCAGGACTCTGGGTAAAATGTTTTGGCATTAGGATTGTGCCGAGCGCAGCAGAAATGCATTTCTGATGGAGTAAGCACAGGGGGCTTTGGAGTTCACCCTGTTTTCATATTCTCTCATACATCCATTTCCCTCTTCGACAGATTAAAATGAGAGTTTCTGCGTTGGCAGGATTATCATATGGTGCTGAGGGGTTTTCAGGGAGAAGGAATATGGAGATGGAGTGAATTTATTTAGAAGTGCTGGACGTCCTCTTGTGAAAAAACAGATTCCTGTTTGCTCTTAAGGAGGAGAAAATGACCGGAAGAGTTTGATTCTGGGGAACTTGGAAGAGCGAGCGTGAACATGTATTTTGGTGCTCGCCGATTAGTCAAAAAAGTATTAGTCAGAGTAAAAATTAACGCTGCTTAGCTGTGTCATAGCCATGTTGGCGCAGACAAAGTGGCATCACCTGAAAAGCTTCACCTGCTTCCTTCCATGGTCCACCTAAAAAAAAAAAACTCCCGCCCCCACCTCTCCTCACCCTCCCTCCCGTCGTTGTTGGTCTCTCTTTCCGATGGCACTCAGCCGTTACGTTCTCAAGGGAAGGGCAGACTGCTGGCGCCGCACTGTTTGGGCTCTCGCTGTATCTCCTCACACACATAAAAAAAACAGGCACACACACACACACCTCCGCAGGTACACAGGTACTCACACAGCAAATTAGGCGTATTGTTGCGTTGCCTCCACCATCGAGGAGGTGAAAAGTCACTCTGAGGTTTATTGTTGAACCATATGAGGGTTCAGGCCACCGGGAGTTGGAGTCTTTGTGCTGAGGAGGAGGAATAAAAAAGTTTATGAGATAGTTTATTGTGATATTTGTTCTCCAGCAGAGAGAAGTTTGTTGTTCTCTTACTGTCGTGTCAGCTTTCTCTTTGTCTCGATGCAGGATGAAATGTGAAAAAATTTTGCCTTTACTTCCGTTTAACCTTTTGAGAGCTAAAAACAGGAGATACAAAAGGAATAATCATCAATATTCAACACATATAACAACATGAACTTGGTCTAACTTTAGTGGGAACCTACAGCAAGAGAATTACAGAAAGGTGTAGTAAATATATGTATCATAGTATGTTTCTTAAATAATAGAAAAATATAATAAAATGATAAAGGATGGTCTATTTTAAGCTGTTTAAGATAAATGAGAACCATGATCTTACTGATGGAGAACCATGATTAAAATTGAATTTTGGGTGTTTATACTTTGAGTATTTTTATACTCCTACTTTATTGATGTTTATCTTTAAGTTAAACTTTAGTTACTCGATTTTTACAGATTATTTTGCAAACAAAACACGACTAAAGGTTTAAAGGTCAAGCACTTCTAAGTGAAAGGAAATTAAATTAAATAAGAAATTGTATGCTTGTCATTTAGTCATGTAAACTGGAATGAGTGTTTCGACTTTTATTTTCTACCCAGAGTAAAAGTTTGGGGAAAATAATTTTAGCATAAATCTTAAGGAAAAAAATCAGAAATTAAAATGTTTTATTTTAACAAACTGACCGATCTTTGTTTTGAGAAATTAACACACTTTTGTAAGATTTTCTTTTTCACACTGAAATGTAACAAAATCCAAAGTAAGTTAAGTTGAACATATACTGCCAGTTGTGTGGATTTTACTCATGTTTTTAAAAGTTTTTAAAGATTGGGATTAAATTTAAAAGTGCTGAAGATCTGCCCTCCCAAGAACAAGACAAAACAAATCCAGCTCAAGGGTTTAAGATCATACATGTTACTATTTGGGCGCTTGGCCCGATCAAGAACTTTTAATGGATCAAAAATTCAACTAACATAAAATTTTCAAAGTTTGATTGTGTTTTAAATTTTTACATTAAAGAGAGGAATCTGAAATCCAATTTTCCATACTTGACAAACACAAAATAAATAAGTTTCTAGCTTTTTTTTATATAAAATGACAAATATCAAGATCAGAAATGAAACTTGGGCTGAAAAACTTTGATTATCCTTCTGAAATTTGGTGCAGATCAATTGTGACAAGCAGTTTGCATGCGTTTAATGTCCCTAATTTCTTTAGACGAAACTGACAAAAAAAGGAACCTCTTGAAACGTTTTTTCTATCGAAGATAACGTGTGACCTGTGAAATAACTTTGGGGATGGAGGTGCAGTCTGCAGTCAAAACCATCAAACCCCCATAAAGACTTGAAAGGAAGTTTAATACTGTGTGAAAACCTGAACGACTCGTCTGTCTGTCTGTGAGCTTTTCTTCATTCCCAGCGTGAGAGATCAGATCAGTGTTTATGAATCGGACACTTGTCTGGTCCTCGCCGTGTGTGTGAGTATTTTACCAGACCGAACAGAAAGGAAACAGAAAGTGGAGCTAAAGCGGGAAAGTATTCACGACACTCGGCGTGACCTTTGTGTGAATCCCGGCCTCCTTCGGCTGAGTGTTTTTGTGGTTTGTAAAGCTTATTTGACTTTTGACAATAAGTTTAAAGTACTCTGTTTAGTTGAGGGTAACGCTGGATTATTTTTCCAGCCTAATTTGAAGCAGTAGGCTCCCTCTCTCCCTCCACTTTCTCCCCGTCTCTCTCTCTCTTCTACTCCTCTTGTAATCCGCAGTCATCTTGATCAGAGGCAGACAGCAGGGTTTGGCGGAAAATTAAACAAATAAACTCTGATGCTTTGGATAACATTCCCCTCTGATTGACCCGACCCCCTGACCTCTCAGACACTCTGGCCGGGGTCGTGACCTTGCGGTGGCCTCGGCTCGCAGCGTCAGAGGGGCCTCAACGTGTTGGTTTGGCCTCCGTGTCCCGACTTATAGGAAAACATACAAAGTAAAGAGAGCGGGCCAGTCCACCGAGGACCACATTACACCTCAACACTCTCGCAGACCTCCTTCTTACTCCTTGGAGAGTGAAACGGAGTGTTTGAACTGCGGGAAGATCCTATTTAGCTTTTAAGATTTTACAAGAAACCAAACGTCTTACCTGAAAAAGCTGAAACCAGACAAGATAGTTCAAATTTAAGACTTTAGCTGTTTTTCCAAACATGCACTCATGACAAATTTATTTATAACGTTTTTATTTTTGTTTAGAAATGGAGGGTGGTGTGATAACTGGTTAGATAACTAAATTTCTTGAAAAAAAGTTACCTTAAATTTTGAGAAAACACCTTCATTAGTAGAAGAAAACCTACTGCTTTTACTGCTTAAATCAAAACTTTATTAAACTTTTGTTAATCCAACATTTTTCTGAGGAATTACACATATGTACATAATGTTCGCCCACATGCCCCCATCGCTGTAAATGACGTGTAACTGTGAGATGACCTCGTGTCCCTGTTCTGTACCGCAGGTCTTGAATGTCTGAAATGCTGAATTTCAGGATTCAGGGCGTAACATGTGACCGAGGACGGTTAGAGTTCAAGACCCGAGCGAAGACAAAGCTGAGGATGTGACTCACTGATAGAGTCGCTGTGATGCAGACAGAAAAGTGAGAGGTATGTAAAGACGCTTGTGTTGTTGTGGTGTCTGCACAGATAACAAAAAACGATTATCTTTGAACATTTGTGCGACTCTGAACCATCAGAACTGTTTGTTCAGCATTTATACCTGCTCATCTTTGACGTCTTTGAGACATACTGTAAAACTTTGGTTAGCAGCAGACTGACATCACTTCCCTCCCACACATAATACTAATATTTTTATTATTTTTTTGTGGTATAAAAAATAAACGGTACCAGAGGAGGGAAAAGTGTTTTGAGATGATTTGGTACTTTTATTATTTTACACACCTCAAATCAGTGAAGAGTGGTTTTACATTATTGTCACTTTTTTTGTAATTGCCTAAATTGTTCCCACAAAATTATTATGGTATGTACACAACTTATTGCACTGTGCGAAGTAAAATATACCTTGAGAAGTAGAAGGATCTTGTGTGCACAAGATATCAATGTCTTCACAGAGGATAGTTATTTCACCCATAATATAACATCATGTTTGCACAAGATAACCACAGTGTGCACACAGGATCATTTAAAAGGTTTCAAAAACTTTTGGTAACACTTTACTTGACGCCTAATTCTATAACACATTATAGATATATTTATAATGTGTTATAATCATGTTATAGCACTGTATAACTAAAGTTATAAACACTCATAAATGATCGTAATGCTTTATAGCAATAATTATAAAACATTACAAAGCATTTTATTATGACTTACAAGGTCAGGTATTATAATGTGTTATAACTGTTAACAACTCACTGACAATGCTCACATAGATAATGCATTATACATATATTTACAATATGTTATAATTCGTTTATAAACTTGTATAACTATCATTATAAACACTCATTAATTATCATAAGGCTTTATAACAAGTATAAAACATTATAATACCTGACCTTGTAAGTCATGATAAAATGCTTTATAATGTGTTTTAATTATTGCTATAAAGCATTATGATCATATATGAGTGTTTATTACTATAGTTTTATAGTGCTATAACACGATTATAACACAATATAAATAGAGATAGGTGTCAAGTAAAGTGTTACCAAACTGTTTATATTGTGCACAGTTCAAATATCTTGTAGCAATAAGTTAATATCTTGCACTCACAATGTTATTATCTTGTGGGAACAAGTTATTTACCAGTGAGCATTAGATAAGAACTTGTGCACACAAAATAACCACATTGTGAGCACAGTAAAGGTACTTGTTTCGACAAGATTACTTGTGCACACATTATAATTATCTTTTAATGACAAGTTATTATTCACCGTGCACAAGATAATTTGTCTCTACCAGATAATTATGTTATCTGCATGTTATTATAATTTCTACACACAGTAGAATCTTATTATCTTGTGTGCACAGTATAAGACTTTTGGGGCTTTAGTGATGTTCTAATGTCACACCACTTTTATTATGTTTTACAAAACACACAAAAAAAAAGAAAGTAACTGATTGTATTTATTAAATAAGATAGTCATTATGATCTATGTTCATAGTGTGAATGATGATAAAGTTAGTCTGAAACTGATTTAAGTAAAGACTAGATACCAACACTTAAGTATTGACTTTTAAATGCTGCTGAAAATAAATGTGAAACATGAAACTGAGACTTTTAAACAAGCTTTTATTTGGATCCAATCTGATCCAGTTTGAAGATCAACCGCTTGAGATTTGAATTTGAAACAAATCCACCTACAGGTACAAACAAAGTAACCTGAACCTGAACAAATATGCATTCATTAATACGATCTATGACTGCACTAAACTTACCGTACGCTCTTCCCCCTCTTACTTTCTGTTTCCCTGTCAGCACCTGGTGTGTATCGGCCACAGAGGGATGGAGGACATTAACCGGCCCTGAAAAACCTGCCTCACCGTCATTTATCCCTCCAAGAACAAAGCCGAGGTTGGATGCGATAGGCAGCACGCATACGTGTTCTCCCCGCTTATCTTGTTTATGTGATGGAGTTTTTCAAACGCAAACATTTTCTTTAGATGGCACAGTGGACCTCTGCTCTGAGATAAGCATCGAATGCAGACTTAATTGCCTGAGATAGAAGCTTATTATTCCCATTAAAACGGGCGTTCGAGGCCTCGCTCCCCGGGTCTCTCTGCTGCAGGAGCCTCTCTCTCTTTCATCCCTCCTCCTCCTCCTCCTCGGCTCCCTGCTTGTCTCTATTGTCCGTTTGATGTGGAGATGAAGGGGAAAAAGGGCAAACAAGAACAGTTTGGTGCTGAAAAGTTTGGAAATCTGGCAACAATTGGAATGTAATGGAAGTGTTTGGAGGTCTTGTCCCCTGATGTGCTTAGCTAATGATTTTTGCCGCCCTGAGTGCACCCTGCGTACGTGTTCACTGACACATAATAACATTTCATTTGACTTCTTTTAAAGTGGGCTTTTTATTTCTTCTACTTCCAATCTTTTATTTCACCCTTTGACATCTTTTATTGACTCCAAACTTTTGCACAGAAACAAGTTCTTCCTCGTTCGTTCTCCGCTCGAAGTTCGGCTGCACGGCTGTTTGCATCTGTGGGATTTGTGCGTCTCCGGCGGCGTTTTCCCTCGCCGGTCGGCACTGAGCCGGCATTCCTTCATGGGTTCACTGGCAATGCTCAAGTGGCTCCCTCTTAACAGCCCCCCTAATCACTCAGGGACATAATCACAGTCCACTTTGAAGTAATAGTCAATTTGCTGCGAGTCCACCGTTTAGCAGAACTGCTCCGACGCAAGCCAGGGCTGCGAGCCGGCCACTGCAGATGTAAAGATACAAGGGCGAAGAGATGGAAGAGAACTCTTGATTTTAGCAGAAACAACTACTAAAAGTGGGAAATCGTTGACAAAGAACAGGTGAGGTCGGTAAGAGTCGGAAAAGCCAAACATTGTGCGTTCAGTTGACGAGAAGTTCACGGGAAGTGTTCTACATGTCACTCATCCCTGCACGCTCTGCCCCTGAATGCACCACCGATTGCTCACAATGACACACTGTACCTGCCGCGATGCCTGTGAGGTGAATCAGGTACAGGAAAAAGGTGCAGGACGGCCCCGAGTTGGCCCATGTTTATTGTTTACAGGACTCCGGGTGGCGCCAGGCCCTGAAAAAACAGGAGCTGAAAAACACTTTGTTTTGCTGCTGCGGTTTTGTAATCGACGTCTCTATCAGGGGCCCTGATCGCTTCACAGAGAGCGAGGGGGAGGAGGGGGGGAAAGGTATGTTATTCCACACGGTGCATAAAGAGAGAGCGAGTAGAGAGAAAGAGATGTGGGTGCTTGGCAGTGGGTCTGTCTGCCCTTTATTCCCCTCTTTTCTGCATCTTTTCAAACTTCTTGTTCCACCTTTCTCTCGCTGCTCAATCCGTCCGCACAAGCAGCTGAGTCAGGGCAGGAGTCACTCAGACTGTCGCCTGTCTGCTGCCGCTGACACTGCGGTCAGAGGTAACGTCTCACTGATGTGTATTAATCATGGGCTCCGTCTGTCTCTGATAAAAAGCTTTCAAAGTTTATGACCTATGAACGTGTTACAGTTATTAACACAGAGTTGGCGTGGTGAGTTTGGTTGATCAGAAAATCTGATTATTCATCAGATCGTCTCTCAGTTGGATGCTTTCATGAGTCAGTATACGCTGGTATACTGAGGAGGTTAGGCTGCAGAGTAACGTGAGCAGAAGCAGGAGTCCTCTTTTCTGTTGTCTACAGGTGTCTCTGAACTTTTTGAAGAAGACCTATTCGCTTTTTCTCTGTTTGCATCCACATTGCTATGGTGATGGCTGATATGAACCATAAAGTCAACAGTGTCACAACCCACCTGAAAATATAGACTGAGCCGCTCATCCTCGGCAGGGCCTTCTTCTGGAGAACCGCTGCACTTCTGATGTGGTCACATCTGACTTGAATGGAATTACTAACCAGCTTAATTCGCGGGTATTTCAATATCTGAATGTTTTTGTTTATAAAAATAACTCACGCCACTTGCACAGTGGCCAAAAAAGTCAACCTTAGCGCACTGTCTTATGGTAGGGTGACCATATTCTGAATACCCTAAAAAAGGACACGACTACGCAGGGGCGGAGTCACAGAGCCATGTGTAGTAAGTTTTGAGAGTTTTTTTAAGTTGGGTCAAGTGTTTTTATGCGCTTGTAACTCAGTAAGTCCAAGTGACACAAACTCAAACCTTCCATACAAACCCTCGACATTTGAAGGATTTTTTAAACTTCCAGGGACAAGGCCGGACAGCCACCCAAAAAAAGGACATGTCTGGGCAAAAGAGGACGTATGGTCACCCTATCTTCTAGAGTCTCAAAATTCACCATAAAAACTAGGAGTGTCACGATACAACCTTTTTACTTCCGATACAATACTGGTATTTGACCCTTCAGTATTAATATCGATATTGATCCAATATTGGCACAAAATTGTGCATGAAAAGTTTTGCTCTCAGCTGCAACGTCTTTTTCGGACTTAAACAAAAAATACTGCCACACGGCCGACATCAATCCTACTCCTTGCTACTTTGTTAGTACCTTAGTACACACTGTTGTTGTGTTTATGTGGGCTCTGCTTGGTAGAGATGCTGGAGTGGAGTTTGGAATGGACTACTTGTATTGGAGAGCTGATATCAGAGATTTTAGATGCAAGCTGATATAATCCGATATTCGTTTTTTTGTTGATATTAGACTGATATCTAATATCGGGACACCCCCTGCTTTTCGGCTTCAAATCCGTATACTGGTGGAAGGTGGAACCAAGTTGTCCATATTATATACAGTCTTGGAGATTCCCATAAGCATGAAGAGACTTTTGGTTAACTCACGTCCATGTGCATATGAAACAAGGTGCAGTCTTGTAGCTCTTTCTAGCACAGTCTGCTATCTCCATCCTGCTACACAACAGTACAATAGTAGAGCTCAGACAATGGAAGCATTATTGTTGTGAGGTATAGGTGGAACTACCACAGCAACAATTCACTCAGAGTCTCACCACCCACCTCTGCTGGTAGCTTGTCTAAAATTCAGGAGTCTTTTCTATCAAACCGGCAAACCACAAGGAATAAAAAAGCTATTCAAAGTGAACTTTATACTTTGAATTTTATGGTAGTCAA